TGGTTTGCGGGTGGTCCAAGAAGACGGCTTCGCTCGTTAGCAGGGGTTTCGTTGATGGTATCCAGGTGGTCGTGGTAATCATGCTGTTCATGGTGGTCCGCGATACCGTTTGCTCCCTCCTCCTTCTCTTCACGGACAAGTGTTTCCTCCAAGAAGATCATACCCTGGAGGATGGCTAGCATAATCCCAATGGCTGCGATGAGGTTAGGGAGAAGATACGGGTAGCGTCCGAAGAGACCATGCTTGTCGAAAGCATGAGGGTAGAGTCGTGCCGGTTGGGCGAGGAAACCACCCATTGCTGAACCGATAATACCGCCCACCGTCCAGACGAAGGGCTGTGTCGCATATGCACGCGCTATCTCTGGTTAGATGGACATGCGGGATGGGGTATTGCGCGATTTACTCACGCTCGTGGGCCGGATTCTTGACCGACTCTGCGACCATGGTTTGCATGATTGCAACGTTTCCATTCAATGCACCGCCGATAAAGCGCGCAAGCAGCGCGACCCAATATGTCTGCGCAACACCGAACAAGAGACTTGACAGGGCAACGCCGAGCAGACCAATAAGCGCGACGGGTTTCCGGCCGTAGACATCAGAAACCATTCCCCATAACGGGGCTGTCATGGCCTCGGCGATGGCGTAAGCGGACACCAAGAGTCCAGCGTAGAAAGAAGCATCGTGTTTGCTAATTCCCAAGTCCTGAACCATGAGGGCCGAATAGGCCAGGATAGAGTTGAAAGCGAGAGGCTCGGAGAATCGGCATATTCCTACGCGGTGGTCAGAAACATCCAATTACAATGACATCACTGCAGCCGCCACACATACCGAGAATAATGAGCTGCTTGGTGGGGAACGGCGCGTCCTTTGGATCGGGAGGCATACTGGCAGTATTACGATTACTAGAGAATGGAGGTTGAGGAGTTTCGCATAATAACAGAAGATGGGAATCAAGGTTTTACGGGCAACAGCTTATCATAGCGCCACTAGGTGAGAGCAAGCGCGGGCCGACAGATTCCCCTCAATGGATTCGCGACATGCACCGTGCCCCAACAACTAGCGTTTCCCGCATTCGCGATAAACGTGCTGCAGCCTCGCCGTTCCCTGTTAGATGCAGACACAAAACTCGCTTGTGCCGCCTCAATTCCGATTGCTTGAAAACCCCCGGCCGTTGAACTCATGTTTGGAAGCACCCTTCCGACGAGTGCGGCTGCGCATGCTGGGACCGATACACGCCAGCTCGCCGAACTCCGTCAAATTTGCCTGCCAGATTTGCTGTTTGCAGGTGTCAACCCGTCGATTGAGTTTTACTAGGCCAGATCTTGGACTTGCCCGGGGCGGGTTACCCTTGTCGTTCGATTCATACGTCATAGTGAGAATGACCGCCAAGGGGTGCTGCAGTTGAGGCAGGCAAAGCAACCCTGTCTCAACTATTGGCTTGCTCACCGTACTTTCCACGGTCGTAGCTTGCACGGCTGCCGCGGACCATGGAATCTCACCATTTGCTTTGTTCGACAAAGACATCGAAAACCAAAGCATCGATCATCCTGCTAGCAATGCCCAAACTCCACAGTGCGAGCATCTGAGAGGCCTGCGGGCAGTTCCCGCAGAGGTCGTGGTTCCTTTTAGATTTGTTGAGTAACATGTCAGGTCAAGCCCACGCGGAACTTGGTGGCGCTACCGAGCGTCACGAGGCATCCTTCTTTCGACACACCTTCCTGTGTGCTATGAACAATATCACTCTACTCTGCAGCCTCCGCGAAACCTCATATCTTTGAGTAGCATCCTGCACCAATGGCAGGCCAAGGAAATGACATGCATCCGCTTGCGTTATCTGCTGAGGCTCACGAGACCCAATCGCCATCAACACCATTGTCTACCCCGCGAGACCTGTCGCACCTCTTCTTGTAAGCGGTGTGACAGAGCACTACTGAGGTGCGGGTGCGGATCCGATCATCGCTGGTCTGCATTCTGGTGATGGTCTGATCATGTGATATCGCGTCAAGTCTAAGCTCAGCGGATACATTTACGTCAACGATCTTTTCTTTTCTCATTCACGATCGTATTTCGCACGCTACAGGCCGTACCTGCCCTCTCCACGACAACTACCGAGATGACACAAATCAACGCAGCCGCGGCTTCGCCTATCGATCCGATCGCTTTTACATGTTCGCTTCCGTGCGTGAAATGAGCAGCGATCCGTCTCATCTCCCAGTTCCGTGCCTGGCGCTAACAGTCCCATCAATACAAGGTAGGGGCTCTTCCATTGTTCTAGATGCTCTTGTTAGTTTGAGCTTGAATCATCTCGGTTTCACGTCTTTCACGAGTCAGCGATTATCCTCTGTGCCGCGTCGCAGGCAGTCCACGATTGGAGCATTGCGTTTCGATGGTTCGTTAATCTCATCCACCGTTCATCGAACGATCTCTATATTGCACTGCATCAAGCCACCATCTCCCATCTCTTTCATTGACGCGCCTAAACTTGAAGTCGTGACGAAGATGACTGCGACACCCATGCAGGTACCCACTTAAAGTGGTCTAGTCGGCTCGCTTCGTCCCGACCGCGACTTTCCAGCCCCTAGGACGTACCTTGGAAGACTGTCTTGTAAATGACAGCGTTATGCGGCGCCACGGCATAATGATTTCCTGCTATTCGACAACTGGAGCCACAGACCCCCACGCTATGTGCTGTCAATTCGCGCTCTACTTACGGCCTTGTTTTGGACACTTGCCCCTAACTCTTCCTGTCCTTCCAATGCTTCCGGCGGATTGTACGACTTTGACCTAAGCAGCACACGACGGATTACTATCGAACCCTCTACGGTCAACCCGCTGTTCTTATGCCAACAATGCTCACGAGCGTGTGTGTGTCAAGCTGAATTGACACTAGCAATCTTTAGAGAGCCAGCATGCGTACAGGTGATGTGATTTCCTTGTCTACATCTGGCCTCAGGAAGTACATGATGTTAAAACCAGTCTTGGGAGTCGCTGAGATCTGAGAAGAGACGAGGAGCGCTGGCTTTATCACTACGTAGGTCGATGAGGAGTACTACCGAATGGATTATGTCGGCAATTTACGGCCCAGACTACGACATCGTGCAAGACGTCTACCTGGAGTCCGTCAAGAATGCATGCGCTAGATGGTTGACCCCGCTCATAGCGTTGTTAGTACCGTCCTCAAGCCACGAACATCACCGGTCACTAGTAAACAGCTTCCCAACCAACGTGTGCCTCCTTTGTTTTGCCAACGATTTCCAAGACTGGAATACCTACCGTTATACATATTTTCAACATAGCGCTGAACCACTTTTGCTATCCGTCAAGCACCAAAATGCCTAGATTCAATTGCCGCAGCCGTTTTCGACGACGGTCTACATCATCTCCTGCAGTCTGCCAAAGGAATTGTCTGCAATGACACCAAGGTTACTGTGAGAAGGATACGTCCCTTGTGCCAATACTCTCTGCGGCGGTCTAGTCGCCACTTGCGATAGTGGTTGTACCCATTCACTGTATTGTCGTTAATGTAACACAGTTGTCAATGCTCTCGAACCTATACTCAACCAAAAAGACATGGTCGTTATGGAGGTTAGAGAACTTGAGCAACCTACGCTTATCTACGACGCTTGGGAACTGCGCTGTTTGGAGTCGATGTCAAGTACTGTAGATGAGTTTAGCAAAGGCACTGAACGGTCAGTTGATAGTATCGAGACTCTCATGTCAGGCCACAACAATATGCACAGATTCTCTTACGCCAAAATATTACTGTAAGGGCCATCGGGTGGAAAATCTCTAAGCGGTACAGTATTTCATTTCCTGTTAGCCTATTCATAGTATTGTTCGAGTTTTCAAACATATATGGAGGCATAATACTCCCAGTTGACATATCAAATGACATCTTAGGTTTGCTATAAAGACCAATCAACACACTACAACACACTACAACACAAACTGATCTCCGAGAATCCTGCCTTTACTTCTCGCCAGAATCAGCTGTATTCCAATTTCCGCTTTGAACCCCATCCGGCCGCCCAAAGCGCAAAGTTCAGCGACTGCAATCTTGCGCTCAAAACATTGATCTGAAACTACCGCAAGCTCGTGGAAAGAACGATGCTCCTAGCAACAGAGACCACCACCACCAAGGCAGATAAAGCGCAAAGTGCGACCAGAGAATATCTCGATACAGTCCTAGATTAAAACGATATTATGCAAGAAATCGCTGTTCTAATCTCGAGCATAACTAGGTAAAGCTAGGGCCCTGTTTGCCTTGCTCCAGGAGTAAATAATAGAGTCGGAGAAGATTGACGAACTGCAGCTGAAATTATCGCATAGTTCCGATACTGGCTGTCAAGGTCTCAAGACTAGCCATATACCTATACTGGCTGGTATGCAAATGCTGGGGTGGGTAAAGAAGTTTGGTGCCTTTGGTGAGGGTCCCTATGGTTTCGTCAATGAAGTCAACAAGATAGGGGCGGGTAAGCTAAAAGATCATGATGCGGTTTGGAAGAAGGCGGCGGGTCTGAATGGCGATTCTGGAGATGATGAAGAATCTATCAAGCTTGTAGTCATATGGAGTGAGATGAACCTTTGAAGGCAACATGCAACGGTGGTAAATTCAGGCGGTTACAGATTTCATAATAAGTGGATAGTGCAAGAAAATGGCTAAAATCAGGCTCACATCATTCGCGAGGAGCTGAGACTTGACACATGATATGGTTTTCCGGACATCTACCTGCCACATTGCACAATTGCCCATGATGCGCGATGTCAGCTTTCTAAGTTACTCGGCCGTCGTCAGTTCTCGTTAAGGTGATACAAAAAAGAACACGGCACCGCCTCACTTTCGAAGCTTCATGGATTCTTTACCTATTCTATTTGTCATTCTACGTTGATCTGCAACACCGGGGACCACGTCCACGTGGAACGGAACATAAGAAAACGTGGTACGGAGCAAATCCGGACACGCGGAAGCAGCCACGTACTTGAGATGAACGTCTTGTTATCCGTTTCATGATTAGTGCGGCTGAGGAGTGGCGTGCACGTCATCCTCTTGGTTGCTTTTTCCCGCCAAGAATACATCACACGGTGCACCAAATGAACAAGACAGAACAGTATAGTAAAAAAAATGCTGTTTCATCGACCGAATACCCGGGCTGAACGAGGCTGTATATGGGTTGGATTACTATTCAAAAACGTGTCGTTTTGAGGGATGTGAGGTCATTTGACTTTGAGTTATGTGTAATATGTTCCCGGGATGACGTCCTGGACGTGATGAAACTCCAGAAGACGAGTGTGAGCAATCACCTTTCTGTAACGGATACTGTAGGTAATCGAAACAGCTTTTGAACAAACCCGAAAGACTTCGGGCTTTTGACTTCGTGAGAACCATTGTCGCCGACCCCCCCACGACGCACAAACCTTCTCTTTGCATATGTATAGCAACTTGTCGGTACGAAGACCAAAAGAAAGAAGAATCTCAAAAGAACCATCCAACCATCCCAGGTCTAAATACCACCTCTCCCAGCTTCACGATCAATAGAGAAATCAAGCACCCATTCGCCCTTACAACCCTACAATCAATCTTCCTATCCTATACAACCATATCAATAACGACCACAACACCAAACCCCTACCAACCAACTACTTGTACTACGATCAAAGATGCCAGCAGCAACACCCTATCGCTGCTCTGGGTGCGATTTCCCCAATCCCGCTTCGCACAACGGCCCCTGCCTGAACAACATCGCCTACTGCCCCAAATCAAAGGGCGACTGGTTCTGCGCTAAATGCCCTAACATAGTGCCAATCGCACTAGGTCCCGACAAGGACGGAGTGTACCGCTGTGATAAGTGCAGGGCGCCGTTCGACCCAAAGTACAAGTACACACCGCCGGTTCGGAGTTGGAGCTCGGCGGAGAGGAGGAAGGGGACCGAATACGAAAGGATGGGGGAGAGATGATAGATACGGAATGGACTGCTCGACAGTGAACGATCAAAAAACATGTGTTGGGATTATGCCCATGGGGACGAGCATGCTCTCGGTGTAGTGGATGTAAAGGCGCACCTCGTTATGAGACGAAAAAATGGTCCTTGGCATGGCGCGCTCAGGTGCCTCGGAAGGACTTTGGTACGCCGAATACTCTGTACACTAATTGCAGTAAGAGGAAGCCGCGGGATGGTAACTTGGTTCAGGGATACGGAGTTTTTGGGACGGGCTTTGGGAAAGGGTCTAGTGTGCAGAAGTGGTTGGGATCGAGAGTAGCGGAAGGAAATATGTTTACTAAATTGAAGAAACAAATTATCAATGCGCTGATTTCAGTGTTCTTATTCATCCGTGTATTGTTGAGCATACCATATGCTTGTGGCTTGAATTACTCTTGATGTGTACAGTCGCTTCGTGCACCACTCACACCGATTGCAAAGTCTTCGCGTATCCGTGACAACGCACTTTGCTCCTCATCGTCTTCGACTTCGTTATCGACCTCGAGTTCTGCATCGCTGTTCCTGCTATCCGCGCCGTCGCTGCCATTCTCGTCTGGAACCTCTTCCTGCTCCTCGTCATTGTCCGATTCATCATCTGTGTCGTCTTCTTCCATTTTGTTCGCATCGCGAGGATCATGACCAAGCTCAGGTTTTGTCTTGCGCTCGAAGTCCTCAGCGTGTGCATCGCGGAAGATATCGCCGACGTGTGTAAATGCGCGCTGCAGGGGAGATGGGCGAAATTCGTCCAGGGGACCGCGGCGCTTGCGAGCAGGCGACTGAGACTGTCCAAGTTCTGCTCCTGTGGCTGTAGCAGGACGACGAACCTGGTCCTCTGTCGGTGTCCGTGGACGATACTCATCAGGCTGTTCCTCGTCAATCTGTGTAGGCCCGCGCGGAATGCCCGAGGTGTGGTCTTCCTCTACCTCAGCATCCATGGGTACATAGTATGGCAGTGGTACATCCCTGCTTGCCCGGAATCGACCAACGTTCGTGCAGTGCTCGTTCTCGACACGGAAGATGGACCACATGCCTCTCCTGAAGATCTCACTGAGCGAGACACAGAAAGAGGTGACAGCCGAGTGTTGTAATTGCAGAGGTGTAACAGTATACATCACCCAGTTGAATCGCAGGATTGGATCAATGCACATGGCAGTGTAGTACCACCACACCTTTTTGTATCCGAGTTCCTTCCGCAAGAATGGGTGCTTGGCATGCGGGTCACCGAGACTCCAGTCGTAGTAAATGTCCCAAAAGCTCGTGTAGATGCCGTTGATGGTTGCAAAAAGTATGAAGACTGCCTTGGTGGACGTCTTCTGATCCATGCGGTAGATGCTGATGGAGGCATAGAACAGGATAGTCGCCATGTACTTTCCGCCGTTAAGTAAATGAGGGAACTTATTTCCGGTGTCTTTGTAACGACGCAGACATTGCATCAATCGCCATATACCTGGCAACGTACTGAGAAACCCGGTAATGCGCAAGTGAGATGAGTTGCATTGCGGTGGGTTGTTCCAGTCGTGCGCGTAGAGACAAAAGAACAACGCGATACCCTAGGACTTTCAGTATTGAGACAAGGATGCGTTTGGCTGACTTACACTCATGCTGTAGGTGAGGGAACAGAACATATCGCCGAGGTAGAAGTCTCGCCATTCGACAGGGTAAATACCAGCGAGCAACAGGCGCCACTGGTATTGCGTTAGTAGAGATACTATCAAGCGTGACTAGAATACTGACTAGCGAGTATAGCAACCACATGCGGGTACGGAAGTAAAATATCTTCAAAGGATTGAATAACAGCAAAACCGATATGCCGATGAGAATGACCGGATAGTAGAGGTAAAGATTGTCTCCCCCAACCTGATGAAAGTTGATTTGCATACATAGTCCAAGCATGAACAAAGTCCAGCAAGGAAGCTGTCGTGGGTTAGTGTTAGAAACAGTATAGACATGGTCACTACTGACCTCTGCAAGTTGCCTCCAGTCCAAGTGGTGGCGGGTATCATATTCGAAAATGAAAACGTAATTGATCTTGTGCTCGTGCCAGACCCGACACGCCATGCAGAACAAGAGAAGAAGAAAGTTGATCAGGAAGTATCCAGCGTAGATCTGCAGTAAATAGCTCGTGTTCATCGCAAGCACGGAGCCGTCAGGATCATGCAAATCCGTTATCTGACTTGCTTTGATGAGCCCCTGGATGCCAAGTATGGTACCCGCTGACAACAGCAGACCGTTACGGAATGTGTTGTCTGTGTAATCGCCTGCTCGTGCGATCTTGATGCGTAACTTCCCGATGGCAACTTTATGGTTGCCTTTCTCGAAGTATCTTGCATATAGGTCCTCGGTTGCTCGAATGTGTCCCTCGATTACATCGCTATTCACAAACCAGGCTTGGTTCACCTTCTCGTTCATGTAACGCGATGACGGTCGCGCGTTGACGGTTTTATCGTACTTCTTGTTGATCTTTCGGAAGGCAGTCCGGTTCAGTAACGCATAGGACTTCAGAAGCTCCAGCCCTCGATAGTACTCTTGTAGTGCAACCTTGAGCTTCCGTTTCGCTGTTTGATACGGCACGTCAGGCAATTCGGGCCGTCTGGTAAAGTCGCGGCGACTATCGGGGTGGTCTTTGGGCTGGAGTGCTGCTGGCGTCGCAAGCTGTGTTATGTTCTTGGTGCTCTTCCCATACTTGCCCGCGTTGATGGCGTCTAATGCAGCATCTATGGGGTTAAGGAAAGCATCTTTGAGAGTGCCTCCGTTCGTCTTGTTGACCTGCTGATTCTCGTCACCTGAGCTGCTATTTTGGCCGTTGCTCAGGACATATTTCCCATCATGCTTCTTGCGAGCCTTGGCGTTCATCTTATCGGTCTGGCGCTTGATGACATCGTCGATACGTCGGTCCCGCATGATGTGAAGTTGGTCGCGGAGGACAGATAGACGCTTGGTAGCCTCGTCTTCCTTGTGCTTGTAGAACGTCTCGATCTTATCCAATTCGCCATCAAGAAAGTTGAAGAACTCGGCTTGGCGGAAGTCGAGATCACGGTAGGCTTCGAGTGGGACATCACCCGGGCTATCTGGAGGTGTCTTGTTGCTTAGCGAGAACATTCGGCGTACTGACGGACGCGACTTGTGCTGGGTGATGGGTCCTGGCAGGGAGTTCATGCGCTGGGGAGTGAAGACGCTCTTGTATCTGTTTGGCAGCGAGTTGTGATGCTTGTTGGGCGAGACAGTCTTTCCGATTTCGAAGGCGTTGTCATTGCCATCTTCGTTTTCCACAGGAGACGGAAGCTTGACTGTCTTCTGCCTCCGCAGTGACGCGCCTGACGCACCTTCGACTTGTGGGGAGACATTGTCGGGATCGAGAGCTGCGCCAGGGAGCTTCAGAGACGGCGGGGCTCTGGCTTTGGCTGCAGAGCTGTTCTGCGTGCCACCAGACAGATTCCCACCAAAGCTGCCGTAGTTGTTGGCCCAGTCTCGGCGATCGCTCCCGCCCTGAGTCAATGGCTCTTCTTCGGGTGTGCGTCCAGTCCGGTCGCCATTCTCTCGCTGCTGCAGGCTGTGCTGGCTCCGGCTGTTCGTTATGGCAAGGGCCCTCAGGTCTCCGGGGTCTCTCGTGCTGCCCGTTTCGCCTTGTCGCGCATGGTCGCGATTGAGGTACGTGTATTTCGGAGCCGCATCAAAGGGCGAGGGGAGGACGTTGGTGCCGCGTCGCCGGAGTCGTGGGGTGGATTCTACGTTGCGGAGGGCCCGACTGATGGCCTTGAGCTTCTTTTTGCCAACCTGTAGGCATCGTCAGTCAACTGCGGTGGTGCTAGATATGGGCTAGCGGAAGTCGGCATCACCTTGTAGTCTAAGTACTTGAGCCGCCACTCCGGAACGAGATCGCGCTCTAGTTCTCTGTTGCAGTCAGTCCTGTGGCTGGTGATACTCGAACGCGCTGTCTCACTTCGCAAACTTCATCACTACGTCGTTGGCGCGTCAACCGCGAAACACGATGAAAGGAGGGCACAAAAGCGCGTTTCTTGCAGGCTCATCGGATCCCACAGGGTGACAATATATCGGGATCCGACCTGTTGAATGTGTGTCGGTGACCGCGAAGATGGTCGTGTGCTACTTTCGAGCACTTCGAACGTAATGCGAGCGCCGTCACGCTGAGGTGTGTCTATCGCGGAGGAGATTTGCACGAATCATGCACGCACTTGGCAAGATTGGCGACATTGGCGACAACGTCATACCTAGTCAGGCTGTGGACCCCCTCATTCACCCTAATAACAGGACCCGATCCGAATGTATATCAACACATCTAGGCATAGCAGTGGCTGACACCATTCGCGAAACACGTTGACAGTTTTGAGAGGCTGACCAAAAGCAAGGGTGTGCATTTCGATAAGCTAGTCATTTATTGGTTTGTTCATTCCTTCTACGAGACTGCACCAATCATAGTCTTCTCTGCTCCGCTACCATCCGCGTCGCTCGAACCTCTCTGGGCGACCATATTGCTGGGGGTTGTACTGGTCGGCCTCCTGGTTCTCGATGTAGTGCTCGTCGTACATGCGCTCGGCGTGTTGTTCCGCGCTTCGCTTCGCCTTCTCGCGGTCGAACCAGTCCTCGCCCTTTGTCTCAGCAAGCTTGTCGACCTACAGATCCCGATTAGTATCCATCTCGTCTTCCTACGTACAAAATGCTTACCTCGGCACCTGCGAAGCCAGCCAGTAGCTCTTTAGCGAATTGGTGGGATACGGGCTTGCCTGCATTAGGTGTCAGCGTAAGATGGCAGTCACAAGAGAGGGAACACTTACCCTCCTTGCGCTGATGGTCCTCAAAAGCCTTGAACCCAGCGAAGGCAGCTCCTCCAGCGATCACCTCATGTCCCAAGCTAGACTTGTTCTCCTCGAAGTTGTCGTTCTCGTATACCTTCTGGTAGTTGTCTTCGTTGTTGTCTGTACGATGAAGATTAATATCAGATTCTCTTGAACGATCAGGATGGAAGACTTACCCCAGAAGCCCATTGTGAAGATATGAAGTGGAAATGTGAATATAAGTAAGGTTCTTTTGCTGTTGAAGTGTTGAGAGGATAGTGTTTGAGTGCAGTGTCCTAGAAAGCGTACCTGACCTCGCTTTAAGTATCTCTCCGCAGCCAGCTGCTGCCGGTCGGCGTCATAGGCGGCCAGCATTCATGCAACTGTTGGCAGTACCAAATCATCCACTAGGGCCGATCGTGCCCCTCTCTTTCTCATCGCGCAGCCATCCAGGGACCACTTGTGGCACAGCTATGAAGCATACGCAGGGTCCTTGAGCTCATTCTCGCGCCACATTACGCGCCAGCGCACGAACGGCTCCATCTTAGTGGACCATGTGTCGTGTTGGTATGTTTGGAGTATTATGATCAGCCAATTGTGGTATAGATGCGTGCGTAATGAGCCAGGATGTGGACGTCAGACCGGCGGGATGCACGGCAGGCCAAATAAGCTTCCTTGGTAAAGCTTAGCCTCGCATGACAGAGCGGCTGGAATCTGGTATCGAGGGGCTGGAGCTGTAGAAAGCTCCGGTCGTAAACGGCTGGACGTACAGAGACCTGCACGACAGCTTTTGTTTTTGTACGAAGGTCCAGAACCATCTGTGGGTGAAGATCCGCGTTGTTGCTTGATCTTCCTGTTGAAAGCTTGGTAGGCTAGCGAGCGAGCATCTCCCGAAACTCCGTGATCGTACCTGTTGCCTCGAACTCCACCATGTGCTCAGCCACAACGCCATCTTCACAGCAACATGCCGGGCCGACTCCCTACCAAAGCTGACTTTCCGTCGTCAGCGACGCTCAGCATCACGCCACGTATGTCGCATTTGGCAGTGTTACTCCTACTTCTACTGACTTTTGCAGCACCGTCTTCGCAGCCGCCCACCAACATCTTGATCCTCCTACACGGACTCGGCGATACGAACGCACCCTTTACGAAGCTCGGTGAGCAGCTGAATCTACCTGAAACAGCGTGTCTCGCCTTACAGGCACCGAACCCCGTGCCGTTCGACCTCGGTGGAATGCACTGGGGTGAAGACATGATCTTCGACTCCAGTACCGGCGAGATGGACATGGATACCGGTCTCCAGGGGTCAACACGCCTGGTACTAGACCAGATCATCCGCGAAGGTCTCATTGGGAAATGTGGCTACAAAGGACGAGAGATCATGATCTTTGGATTCGCGCAAGGCGGCATGGTCGGATTGCAGGTTGCAGCCGAGCTCGAGGAAGAACTAGGCGGGGTAATAAGTATCGGTGGGCCACTCTCACAATCAGTGTCCCTGAAAGCTCTGCAGAACAAGAGCAAGACCCCGGTGCTGGTGTGCAAGGCAAACAAGAAGTCTGCAGTCACGGACAGTGCTACGACGAAGCTGAAAGACGCTTTCGACTATATCGAGTTCAAAGAGTGGAAGAAGAACGGCGACGGTATGCCAAGTAGTCGCGAAGAGATGCTGCCCATTATGCAATTCTTCGCACGCAGGTTACGAAGTACCAAAGGAGTTCCTGCAGGTAGCGTTGAGATCAGTTAGGCAAGTCATTGATCGCGCTCCGAAAGGCCTTAGTATGGTGAACGACATCTTTCACAAGACCATCATGGACGTGTGGCGCCTTTCCAAGTGCTGGGTAGGTAGCAAGGCTAGATGCCAGAGTTTGGCGACTAAAGCGGCTGCGATTAAATCGAATTCAATACGAAAAGCTCACTGGTCTCACTCCATCATTGTTGCTCTTAGCCCTCCTGCTATCGCTCCTTCCCATTCTCGTGATGCGCGGGGTGTGGTCCAAGCTTCTTCTACGTCACCCGTATTCTCGACCACCATTCGCTCGTCTACTTTGAACCTCTTAAAATCCTCTCACATCTCTCACCGCCAAACACCATCATGGCAGTGCCGAGGAATTCCTTACGGGGCTTTCTTACACACGCGAGAGGCGCTCTCCGGAGCGCTATTGAAACCAGTCAGAAGATTACATTCGTCATTGGCAATGAGTCTGCGGGTGAGCATGACTTCTGCTCCACAATGGCGCTCCAAACTCATGAATTACAGACCTTGATTCGATGTCATGTTCTATTCTATACGCGTACATTCGGTCTATGTCACCGCCCAAGAATGCCTTTAGTCCAATTTACGTGCCAATCACGAATATTCCAGCTGCTGATATTCAGCTAAGGCCGGAATACCTTGCCGTATTTAAACACGCCAATATTGAGTCGAAGCACTTGATCACGCTTGATGACTTACCCGCGCTATCCGACATAGAGTCGAAACTTGCACCTGAGAATACCAAATGGATTTTGGTAGACCACAATGCTCTGCAGGGTCAATTAGGCAAGATGTACGCTGAGCGCGTCGCTGGCGTCATTGACCACCATGATGATGAAAAGAAAGTTCCGGAGGACACAGGTGAGGAGCCGAGGATTATCGAGAAGAGTGGCAGCTGCACTAGCTTGATCGCAAACTACTGTCGGCCATCGTGGGATATGGCTTCGCTATCTGCCCTGTCTTCTGGAGCAGCTCATGCGCAGGGTGATAGCATGTCCAATGACGCTGCCTTTGTTCAGCGCTGGGATGCGGATATTGCCCAATTAAGCTTGGCCAGTATTCTTATTGACACGGCTGATCTCCATGACGAGAACAAAACGACCGAGCATGACCGTAAGGCTGTCGAGTACCTGGAAGCTAAGATTATGCTTTGTCCCCAGCTAGCTGCAAGCTTCGACCGAACCAGCTTCTACAAGGAGATCAATGCAGCAAAGAAGGACATTGGAAGCCTAAAGCTGCAAGACATACTTCGGAAAGATTACAAGCAGTGGGACCAGGGTGGTCTGAAGCTCGGCGTCAGCTCCGTTGTCAAGTCTATCGAGTTCCTCCAAAACAAGGCTGGTGACGAAGCAAGCGCTCAGACAGCTGAAGCATTCCCCGCAGCGTTGAAGGAATTTGCAAAGGACCGGGATTTGGACATGTATTCCCTGATGACCACATCCACAGGTTCAGATGGCGGTTTCCAGAGAGAGCTGTTATTATGGGCCTTCAACGACGGCGCCGTGTCAGCTGCCAAAAACTTTGCCACGAATTCAAAAGACGAATTGGGATTGGAGGAGTGGCAGAATTCCGACGACATTGACAGCAAGAGGGAGTGGAGAAAGACTTGGTGGCAACGACAAGTGCAGCACAGTCGGAAACGTGTCGCACCTCTACTCAGGGAAGCCATGACTTGACTATGGGTGCAAGAGGGCAAGCTCTGATGGAGTCGTGAAGACCATCGATCGGGTGCAATGGTGCCGGTAGAGCGCTACGCTGGCGCGTTGGTGTCGGATTAGCGGGATCACCACACTTTCCTATGTCTTGCATTGTAGATAGGCGCTTAGCAGCAATTGGGCACGTAAGCGTCAGCCCAAGTGCCGTTGGGTACGTCGGTGGGCCATAGGTACCTGAGGAAGGAGCGGTCTGTATGCGGCAACTCGTGGTGGCGGGGTATTTCGCACGCGACTAGGACCGGCAGATGGGCACAACGATCTCCGACACCCAAATTTGGGGACATGTTTAATGGAACATTTCAACGCCCACGCAGAAGATTGTTATCTCGTAATATTACGATCGCGATAGAGCTGCCACCCACTAGGACGCCGGTGCAGACGCAATGCTGCTGCAAACATGCAAAAGGAACGAAGCTCCGCAGCGTGTGCAGCAATAGCTCCAAGCAGAAGATGCTGCAGATAGTTTAGTATGTGGTGCGACAGCGAGGCTCATTGGACGGCGACGGCATATACATGGCAAGATGATGAATGATCTGGAGATTGACTAGGCACTAGCCATGCACTGGGATATGAAGTGGGAAACCATGGGTTCACAGCAGTGCAGCGCGATGCTTTGGCGTGCAGCATGTTGCATGGCATGGTCTTTTTTGACAGGAATGCGCTGGCAGCGCAGGGGCAGCGCGACTCCACTCGACGGCCGTCACGTCAGGAGGGCGAGAAGACATGCGCTTATGTGATTTGCTGGGCGTCGCCCTTTGTTTGGCCTTGCAGATGCGCCAGAGCAGCGTGTTTGAGAGTTTACGAGCTGCTCTGCTGTTGAGCGTCGTCTGTCGTGGTGACGGAGAGGAGGGGTAGCGTCTCTGGGCGGTCGCAGAAGCGGCCAAGCCGATACCCTAGTCTCTCTATGGCGACATGGCTCGCCAGCACCAGCGGCGGGAGAGCATCGCCGAAGCTTCCAACAGAAAGACGACGGTGCCGATCAGAAGCGTGCGTTGTCGACGAGTCTCTGTGCGAGGCGGGGATGGCTGGCCATGCAAAACGTGTGGGCAAAAGAGGGTCCATGGACCTTTCAGAGCTGAGGCATTTGGGCGGTCGGCCCTCATTCGTCCCACAGCGATGTGCTGTTCCTGCAAGTCATCGCCTGGACAGTTCCATGGCGATGTGAGGCCGTGGGCAAGTCTGGCGGTCTGCCATGGCCACCAATCTGAAGCAGCTCCCCCGCTGCAACTATACACGGTATATCGCCGCTGGCTGTCCATCACCGCTTTCTGGTCGCTTTCGCGTCTTAGCCTTAGTATAGTCAGTATAGCTAGCATTAGTAGGGGGGCCGTTGAGCTGCAGTCGTGACTTGCCCGCCCTTGTTACAGGGACTCGAAACAGGCGCCCAATCACACCTACTTGGCCTCGCTACTCTGTATCATTACCACCTAAAGAGTCAAGACGCGCCAGCGCATACGTCCAAAGCTGTGGAGAGGTCGCGCCCAAAGCAGTCCCCATTCTCCCAATACCATCGCTCCATCTGGCAATGCCGTAGGGGATCACTGCCATCTTCTTGAGGTCCGCACCTTCCGTAGGGCTTCCATGGGGCTCCCTCATGGCGACATGATCCGACGAACCCAACTCACAGCCTCGCCGGCGCAGGCTGGCAATACTCCGCGTAGGTGCTTTTCCCTCCTTGGGCTTTGTGCTCCTTGGTGTCCTCGAGCGGTCCAGCGTCCAATAGCTGGCGCGAGCATCGATGCGCTGCTCTGTCCATGTACGATGAGCTGGCAGGCGAGCCGACGCTGACCTTACTCGTAGCCGTGTCGCCCACCGTGACGCATGTTTCGTCCAGAAGCCACACGCCCTCGCACACTACCGTGACTACTTCTCAAGTCGACGACCCGCCCACTGAGGCTCCGCCCCGGTCGCCCTCACCTCGCGCTCCCAAGCACCTGACGACCACCATGGGGAGTCGACCTGGCGGAACGCCAGACGTCGACAACGACCGCCATGGCCACCAGACACTCCAGCGACCCCAGATGCCCGCCTCCATGTCTGCACCCGCAGGCCGCCTGCCTCGACTGCTGCCCGCCGACCTTTCTTCCTACAGCGACTCGTACCTGCCGACTGCAGCCATCCCACCGTCTGCGACTTCCCTCGCCGAACTCGCTCATCTAATACGCCTCCAGGGCTACCAAGAGCAGCGCAAGACCCACGCCCGCGTGCGCCTACACAGGTGGCTGGTCTCTAGCGCCCTCTCCGCACGTCTGGTACACTGCGGAGAGCTTGCCTACCGCACGCTGGTGGATAACTTCCGGTCGGACGACAAGAAGTCCTTCGCATCCCTATACAATGCCCTGAACGATGTCCGCAACTCATGCGATGCCACGAGACAATACGCCCTTTTGGAGCCGGATCTGGAGTTTGGCAAGTCCAAGAACATGAAGAGCGAGAAGCCCCTCTCTGCTTCAACTTTCCTCAATGAAGTTCCGTCCAAGATTTTGGACAATCTTCTAGATTTCATTTCTGAGATCCGCACCAATCCTGAATTTCTTGCTGCTCGCATTTCCAGTCTTTCGCAGCAAGAGCTCACTTCTCTTACGTCTTTCCGTCAGACCATGGATCCCATTGACTCGGTCATGTTTGCAAACGCCCGCAGCCGCAATGCATCCTCGCAAAAGCCCCAACAGCAAGGAACGAGTCCAGTAGAACGTCTGTTGTCTTTTCAGCGCCACGACCCGTTGTCTGCCCTAGTCTACACCATATTCGCCAACTCGTCCGGACCCGACTCAGCCGAGGACCTCCGCCGCACTGATGTATGGGCCACTGTTTGTGCCAAATTAATCAAGAACAACAACCCAAACTTCATCAGAACTGTACTTGATGTCTGGGCAGGTATGCGAGAGTGGCCTGGCAAGACCAATTTGGAGCTTTATCTTATGCAGACCCTACAGGACGGCCAGTTTCTGCTAGAGAAGCCAGAAGAACAGGCAGCACGACCCGGAATGCCGGTCCAACGTTCGACCAAAGATACCATTGCAGCAGACGAGTTCTTTGACAAGGCTGTCAAACGCTTGTTCGAAGTCGTTGATGATGAGCCTAGTGCCGGCGGTATCCCGGAAGGCGTCCTAGAAATTGGAAATGCCATCCTCCGAAAGCTAGAGGACGAGAAGAACGTCCGCAGGGCTTCTCAAAACTTCTTCGTTTCGCGTTGGCTATTCTCTACTTTCCTGATGAACGCCATCATTCATCCTGAGGCATGTTTACCCTTGTCGATACGAGGTTCATGGCACTAACAACAGCTAGACTCACGGTATCATGATAGGCCACCACATCAGCGAGCATGCCCGCATAAAAATTCTGAAGGAGGTTGCCATCCGAGCGCAGAAATACGTCGTGGACATGACCTACAACTGGTATGATCCGATTCCCAGGTAACACTAATATCATCAGCTAACAACAAATCTAGGCAAAAGAAAGTACCGATACTTCCAGAGATCCGAACACATATCGAAAACATCTTGGCCCGATTTAAGCACACTAAAACTCCCTCGAAGCCAATTTTACTACCTGCAAAGGCCATCACGTCACCTAGGGAAACTGTGGAAGTTCAGCCCTTCATTGTTCTCTCTCCGGCAGACATTGTGACCTTGGTTAATGCCCTCTTCCCAGAGCGCCGACCATCATCGAGCCATATGGACAACGACAGCCAGCGCCGTACTGGTCTTGCTTCATCTGCTTCATCCATGTCCGGGATGTCAGTACCATTCCGGAATGCCGCCGCTTCCGTGACTGATGCAAGCTCTATTCTGAGTGCCAGTGCCTCTTCCATGACCAGTGACCAGACGTCGCGAGAGCCGCTCCTGGACGGCAATCCAGCATCAACCGACTCGGAAAATGAGATGAAGCCAGTACCAACAGAGCAATACGGAAAACAGCTGCGATCAGCGTGTTCTGAGATGACTCGCATTCTAGGTTTCGAGGCGACATCGGGTTCATGCCATCCGTGCGCAGAGCGATGGGCTGTCCTTTACATCTCCGCTGATGGAAAGCAGCTGAAGCCGCGTATGCGCAAGGATTTTGATGATGAAGATGAGCACGATGAAGATTCACCAGACAGTGACAGCAGTGACGACGAGGATGGCGGGAACAGGTTCGATCTTGGAAATGACTACCACCAGTTGAAAGAGGCCATTGCCAAGCTGGTTGAAGAGTACGAGATTCCAAAAGAACTGGCACCCGACAGCGAATCGAAGAATTTCAGCAACCGAATGACAACCCGCAAGAGCACACGTGGACGCGGCCCGGTACGCAATGTTAGCGACAATCTTGGCTCACGCAATCCGTACAACTCAACACAGAGCCAAAGTCAGCTCACAAACATGATTGCAAGTCAAAGAAACGTCTCATCTCGACGCTCACCACAATTCCCAAGGAGCCACAGCAACCCGCAAGTCGGCGAAAAGCAAGAGAACAATTCTGTTCTTGTTACAATGCTCGAGACAGCCATGTACCAGTGCCAAGCACGATCTGATTTCGTCAATGCGCACATGTACTACAAGACCTTGCAAAGTTTGAAAAGACTCAGCTCTCCCACATTGGTCAAGAATGGGTATGCCGCTCTCCTCAACTACTTCTCTCGCGGTCCGCGTGATCTCCTTAGCAAAGCAGCCAACGCCATCGAAGAGTTCGAGGCCTGGTTTGTATGGCTCAAGCAATCACAGGAGCGATCAGATGGTATGGTTGAAGAGATGATGATTACATTCAAGAACCTCCGCGACAAGATGTGGTACATTACAGATGTTCGTACCTCGAAGCCATACGAAGACGCCAGAAACGTCGCGCTTGCCCTCAAGATCATGGAACAACAGTCGAAGACGCTTAGTACCAGAGGTCCTTCTGGTTCCCAGCCACGGAGCACCAATAGCTTCTTACGGCAAAATGAAGCTCAACTCGTTGACCTCATGTCCGCCACTCAAGATTTCGGTGGTCCAAACAAGCTGTCCGATGAGCAGTCGCAGATCACCCTGAAATGGCTCATGCAATACGGCGTAGAGAACTTCTGCAAGGGCGAAGAGCGGATACATCGTTTCTGCCTTGAAGTCGACAAGTGCGTCACTAAGATCATTGGCGAGGGTGTTCTGGACGGACCCGTTCTTTGGTCCAGCGACTTATACAAGCGCGATCAACAAATTCTAGAAAGTGGACGACAGAAGGGTGATCTGTTCTTGACTGGTGTCGGCACGCTCTCTATCGCTGGCGACGAAGAGTACGAGACCCATGGCCGGCCTGGTTCACGTAGTCATGACTTTTCGCAACGACCAAGCCAGGGCAGTCTACGTGCCGCAGCCAACCGAAATGGATCTTCCAGCTTCGATCAGAGTCCCTGGGGAAGGAATCCCATGGACTCTCACGACTACTTCGGTGGCTCTTCACCTGTCTTGTCGATCGACTCTGTGGCTACTTTCTGGTCGCCGTTCCAAACTCAAGCGCAGTCGCCCACCAATGCGACCAGCATTCGTCCACGTACCGCATCGTCTTCAAAGGGTACAGTGATGCTGAAGCAATCTGCAATGGTCAACGAAGACAAGCGTCGTTTCATGCTCGATTTGAAGCAAACACTCACAGGCCTTCTCTTGAGTGATCTCGGAACGATGGTTTTCGCCAACGGGAGCGAGACCGACTCGTGGTTCTGTGGTGATCTACTTGACGACGTCTTCGAGCGCAGGGACGAAGAAGAGCGCAAGCGCAAGAAGCAACTTGCCAAGAAGAGCATGAAGAACATTCGAAAGCAGACGCTACCTGATCAACGTAACCTGCCCTTGGAGACGCTTGGCCGCAACGAGCGGGGTTCAGCTGCCCCACCTGTTGCGACATTCCAACATGCTAGCGCATCCGATGCTCATCAATCAGCTGGTGAGCATTCTTCAGCCTCAAGCGATGCAACTTCACGTTCGGTTGGCAATGCCACAGCGAAGAAGGCTGGACTCCTCGAGTTCCCCTACAACGTTGCTTTCCGGCGGCTGCTAGGCAGATTTCAAACACATCCCAATCCCTTCTCCAAGCTCCATGCATTGTACGAGCTGGAGTTGCTCATCATAGCGTCTTTGTCTTCTCGAACAGGTCGCTCCTACAATAACCGTCGCGAAACACTTCCTCCAGTTCCCCAATCGCCTACTCTTGGCACCATGCCGGAACTCAGCTCTCGTGAGCCAGCTACGCAGACTTCTCGTGCACAGAACCTGGAAGAGGCAATTGCCAACTGCGAGGAACGCCGCTCCCACAGCATGAATGTAGAGCGCGCTAGCAACGCCTCTCCTCTGCCTCGTAACGGTGCACGCTCTCCGGTTGGACCACCAAGCACAGACATGATTGTTGAAGTCATCCAGGGCCTCTTCCGCGATGCCAACATTCGACCCAAGACACTGTTCCGAGACCTACAATACATAGCATCTTTTGTACCCGCACAGATGCTGGACAAGACTGCGCGAGGCAAGGCATTCTGGGATGTTGGCCTTGCTGCCCTTGGCCTCAAGCAAGATGTCTGCCGGATCATGGTTGAGCTTGTTGACGAAGTCATCACCCAAAACTCTAAGCGAGATGCAGGCAAAGTCAGCAGTGGTGGTGCTGCCGAGAAGGCGGGCGTACCATCCACCGCACTGGCTCCGGTCGACGAACCACTATCCAAGTACACTATGGAGGATGCCGGGCGCATGCTTCTTATTACTGCCAAGGAAGGCGACGCAGTTGCTGAGCGTGAGCTTGCCATCTTTTACCTCACTTCACCCGAGCTCGTTCATCGCACTGTATTGCCACTCACCAGGCCCAGCGAGGTCTTCAAGACTGAGCTTCTCAACCGTGAGAGGAGAGCGTCACAGGATCCCGCTCGCAGCGATCCAATGACCATGTGTGTTGCACAGCACTGGATGGAGCAGTCCATGAAGGGTGGCGATCAACTTGCCGCCAAGTACTTGCGCCAGCGCAGCGAGCTGGAGAACATCAACCCGAGTAGGGCATAGTATGTCTTTTTCCGCATTTGGTGTTCGACTCTGCATTGATACCCCTGTCGACCATTCCTATTACCATCGACTGCGCGACTTTGTTTTAAGTTTTTCGTAATACGCGCAATATCGTTAACGGTCTATATAACATGACGGCCGGTCATGCATAGCGAGGAGTTTCCCATTCTGTTTTTCCACCAAGGTTTTCGACTTTAAGCAAGCATGATTCCCCCTGTCGCCTTGACTTTTCGTTCGCGTCCATTGTTCTCTTCTTACCTTTTACTCTTTATACCGGCGCAACATGAGGCTCAACGATATATGATGCTTGTAGATCCATGGAAGGGTACACAGATGGTACCAATATACCAAGGCTTAAGGACATGGGCTGGTTTGGCGATACCCCGTTCCCAGATGTTCAACGATAGTTCATATACACGAGATAGGACCAAGGATACGACAACGAATCTCCTTGGACATGACATATTTCTGGGCTGGCATCTGATGTTTACATATCATATAGCGTAGATCTTGCGGCCAGATATTAACCTTTGAATGAAAACCTGCATGAAAAATTAAGTACTTTGCACCTTTCAATTTCCGACTTGCTGTGCTCGCAGTCGTTTTTAGACTACATACTCGTATTCATTCTTCACTTTCGCTTCCTCGGCAGCGTTTCGCCCGGCAGCAGCAGCTTCTTCCAACTGCGCACCGGAGTTCCGGCTCAGTCTGTTTGCCTTCTTCTGTTTCCTCACATGTAGCTCATCGCACCTATCGTTGTCATCCTCGTCCGTCACTTCCTTAGCCATCTCCTCCCCGTCTCTACCAACGGCCTGCCAACCTCCCACATACCCTTCCTCGCTCTCCAAGTCACCCCTGTCTTTCCTCTTTTTCAACTCACTCATGACATTTCCCAGCGTCTCTTCTCGTACACCCTTAAATCCCATGATAGTCCCACTCTTCCTAACAAACAGCTCATTCGGCACGGTCTCCTCAATCCACACCTTCAAATCCACCAATACCCTTGTACTCAAATCCAGTACTTGTACGCAAGTCACTGGATGAATGATCCACCAACATGCGCTGTGGAACGGGCTGGTCTGGTTGGCGGCGGATGCGGGTATACTGTCGATTTCCTCGTAGTAAGCGTGAGTTTGTGCCATACCTAGGGTAGAGAGTGGGGAGATCTCTATGCGGGTACGTAGGGGAAGAAATAGCGTTTGAGACGGTGGTGATCTGGGTCCGACGCTGGAGTCGTGGTATTCAAGAAGGTGGGGTGGTGCATCTACGCGGTTTAGTTTTGTGGTTTTTGGTTGTCTTGAGGGAAACAGAGTGAAGACGACATCTAGAGCACGATTATATAAAGACATTTGGTGCGGTAAGAGCGACATGCTCTTAGTGTTTTGCGAGCAGGATATCAAGTGGCTGGGGGATAGGATTTGAGGTAGGCTGTTAGTTGTGTGAGCAAACTCTTATGTCAGTTTGGTGGGATTCGGGACTCTGCGGTGACTTGCTGTTGGCAAGTCGCTTTAGGTTGTATACGGTGACGTTGCGCCTTCACCGTCGGTAGGAGTTACACACGAACGAACTGGAGTGAATAGAATAAGATGGAAAAAGGCGCGACAATAAGATACACCTTAGAGTCATCGGTGAAAGAAGGAGAATTTGATACAATTGGGCTAACATCCTATTTACATCAATTTCCAGATCGAGTGACCATAGTTACTTTATACGCATCTCGGCAAGATGTCCGACATTGACTCCATTTCATCACACATCCCTCCATGAGCCGGATTTAGCCCCAGGTGAGTCCTCTGGACTGTCTTCAGCATATGCCTGATAGCTCGAAGGTCTTGCTGTTGCCTTCGGCCAGTTGAATAGTCGAGTTGGGTTTTGGAATGGCACGGTCTGGGAAGCGTTAGAATGTCCACAGACAGTGCATCGACAATCTGAGGCTTGATCGAACATATCTTGAGTGTCGTGTTTAAGTTTCGCAGCAGTTTCCCGAGCGGATGAAGTCCTCTGCTCACGGCCTCGAAAATGGGTAGCCCGCTGCCCAGTGTTTTGGGGTGCACATTCTTTGACTTCCTTTGGCTCAGATACAATTGAGGTTTCTTCGAAAGCACTTTGGGGTTCTTGATCGCTATAGGTTTGATTGCGCTCTTGTCTCTTGGACTCGGAGAGCTTCTTAGCAGCTCCAGTTCCTGCCATAGGCTCCCATTCACGATCAGAAGGAAGTAACGAGTTGCAATCATGGAACATTGACGACTGATGGTAACCAAGTGGTTGCTGCATGTTATGCACACACTTTGGCGTTGCGTGTCCTGGGAACGTAGACTTGTCAACCTCCTGGTCGGATGGTGGCTGTACAAATCGAACCTGGCGCTCTGGACCTTGACCAGAATCCTGAATTTGTTTCATGCAACCTTCTGACGAGATATAGCATTCTTCGGCACATTTTTCAGGATGACAACACGGCACTGTCTGTTTGACAGTCACCTGAGGAGTACGATAATCAGGCTCATTGGGGAATGTGTAATTGAACTCGTCGTCGCCCCATCGCGAATGATCTCTCCATACAGATCGCCCAGGGAAACTCTTAGGATTAGTCGACTTGATGTTACTTACTTGCTTCAGAGAATCTCTTTCTGACGAGCCCTGGTCGCGCATAGCTTTGTATGATTTGAGCAAGTACAGATCGGCATAGGGCACCAGGGAACTGTTTTCGGCAGCCAGACCGTAACATATCAGCCCTCGCTGATAGAAGTCTTCCCATGCATGCAGAGGCTTTGGAGAATATCTCTCGGTCGCCATCGTGAGCTGACGAGTACGTTGCTGGATCTTGGTAGGTTCAATAGTCTCCGCATCGAGTCTTGAAGTCCGCGAAACCCGGTCAGGGTAAACTTTCACATTCTGTCCTTGAATGCTGCGAGTACCATGGTGGCTGTTACTCTCAAACTGAAAGACTCGGTCTTGGGGTGGGGCGAAATTGAGGTCTGGAAAGTAATCACAGAAGTCCGAAATCTCGTTGTTGTTCGCACAGGCTGCCACATGCGTGCTGAAAGGTTTATTAGACTCAGATTCCATATAGTCCGGGTCTGCGCCTCTGTACAGTCTACGATTGACTGGAGTATTGGGTGGGGCGGAAGCGTGCTCAGTGGGGGTGCGGTATATAGAATGGTAGACGGAACGGGTGCTTGCAGGATGTACCAGTTCGAAGTATTTGGAAGTAAGCCCCTCAAACTTGATGACATCCCAGTTCCAATGGAAGTCAACTGGATATTGGTAGTCATCGAATATTGGGAAGCCCAGACCAGCTGCCCAACCATGCGTCTCCAAATCGCCAAGGCACCTGGCGTTTTCGAGCCAGCGCACTATGATCGACTGCGCTTACAGAACATTCTCGAGGGTATGGTTACCCAGGTTTTCTGCAACCTCATCTTGTATCGTATCCAAGAAGTCATGGAGGGCTTCTAGCTCTTGGGGGCGCATGGGATGCAGAGAGCTTAAGTCGAACGGTAATGTGAAGTAGAGGTCATCACCAGTCGGAATATGGACTACGTACGCATCTGGATGCGACAAGAAGTCACGACAACGCTGGGCATTTGGGCGTAGGAAAGAGGGCATGCTTGGAAATGTTGAGTGAGGCTTGTGTCAGATGATCTTGGGACAAAGAAGATGCACGTCTTTGCTACTCTGTAAATTGATGTCTCGAGGATTTTGTGGATATTATTATTGAGGAAAGATAGATTTATATACCTCTTATGTATTGCTGTTTCCTTGTTGGTGTCATCAGTTATTGAAGATCTCAAGAGACTGTGTTTACGTATCGTGTTGGCCTCATACACCAAAGAATGGAATAAACACTGCGAGTGCTCGCGAAGCTTTGCAATAACCTGGAAAGTTCCGCAAGCATAGCCATCAATTCAAGAAATAATGCAACAGCTCCTACGTGCTCTTCATGCAAGCGAACACTATCTGTATGTGAATTGATGTTGTGATGTCATGCTGCGACGCTAACAATGGACCGAGGTCGCGGTTGTGACACGTCGATGCGACTTTACAATGTATCAACGCTGCGCAATACTACGGCAACACTACGCATACCCTGCTTCATCGAATCGCTCTAGATGTAATTTCTGCGATAGTGCTATCTACAATAATCTTCGCGTAGCCCGGGTGCTCGAGCATGATGAGTTAGTGTACACTGTGTAAAAGCTTCTCACGGGCACTCACAGCATCCGGAGCGTTTTTCACATTACACAGTATTCATCGACCCATTTGAGCCTATGATGAATGCTCGATACACTATAAGCAGTAAAATATCAAGTGTACGATACCGCCGTACTGATTAATATGCAGAAGCATTGAGCACATTCCTCTACTATCTCCTCCAACACGTTTAAACCGATCGCCATTTTATGTTTAGATTTGGAAAGGTTTCCTTCCGCTAAAAATACGAGTTCCTGGTATATGAACACGAAGTACGAGCTCTAGAGCATCATCAACGCGAGCCAAGGTTTCTTGCACACGAGCATTGAACTCTGGGGTTCTATCGACATGTTATCGCTCCTCCTCCAATTCAGTGCCTAAATTATGGAGGCAGACTGGAACCAAGTTCTGGAGCTGCTTACGAAGGATTGAATGCACGGAGTGCACGACTAAAGGTCCCTATGGAGCGGTGCCAACAAATGAGCAACAAGAGTCAGATACACTCCCTTGAAGTTAAGATAATTGCAGTGACGCTGATACCAAATATATACATTATAGCACAGAAACTCTACGACAATTAGCACAAGGGCTCATCCATTCTTTCACTCCTCTCCTGGATGCATGATCCGCTCGATGTTGCGTACCGTTTCATAAGCTCGTCGTGAGAGCTCACTGCCGGGCCGAAATCGTTTTTCGGTGAGATAGCTGTGCACGAACTCTAGTTGCTTCGGTGTGAGTTTCCGGAGATACCGTATTGGTACTGGATGGACGGAGTGCAGAGCTAGACTTTGATCTGTTGGTACGTGCTCAGCTCGCTTGTCAAGGTTTCCAGAGGCAGCTGTGATGTATCTGTGAACCGAGGTAGATCCTGAAGAGAGAGTAGATGCGGTCGTGCTGTTTGAGGATATCGGTAAATCGACACAGAAGTAGTATGGCGAGGCACGCATTTGATTGACTGTCTGGTATTGATTCCATGCAGCAAGGATTATGTTTTCGTGCTCTGCTTGTTGTAGTGGCTCTACTTTTGAAGAGTGTGAGTAAGAATACAGGGACGAATTAGGCGACAGCCGAACTCTAGTCGGATTTGCTTCCTGCGATTCTGGAGAGGCATTTGCTGCGAGGCTGCTATCTGTAATTAGCGCTGCAGAAGGCAAAGAAGCTCTCCCGAGAACTGCACAAGCAGTTTCTACTGGCGGGTTGTTGACGTCGATGTGGTACATTATAATGGATGATGATAAATGAGGGTAAGAGTGAGAAAGAATACAGCAGCAAGTGGAAAGTAAATGGCTATGGAAACGAAAAGTGTGTCACTTATGGGGATAATTTAACCAAAGCTATTGAACTAGCCAGTACGATCAGCTTTTCCATCAATTCTAGTACTTCAGCTTGTCACCAAATATACACTTCAGCATCTCTGCGTTAGCAATCGTGCTGTACTCACGCGTTTTCTTTATTTTGGTAACAGTGTCATTGGTCAGGTTCATGCAGGTTGTCAAGCAAACTATAGACTATTTTTGCCCACATAGGCTAAAGACGAATCCAATGCTATTACTAAAACAGAGGTTGATATGAACAAGAAAGCACGATATCATGATTTAGAGCAAGAGTACCTCAGAGTTCTTCAGCCTGGAATGTACTTACCACCACTACCACCGCCGAAACCATCTATATTAAAATCAGTCTCTGTGTTTGTGCTTCTTGATGCTTGACTTACTCTTCTTCTTCCAGCTTTTTTGTTCGTGGGGATATATGGAACCGTCCTCGTCGTAAGCTCTCTTATTCATGTCGTCCAAGAGTATGTTCGCTGCCCACTTTATCTCGACCAAACGTTTCTCTGCGTGCTTCCTCGTAGCTTCCTCGGTAGCATTGTCAACAGAAGTCTGATGGATTCTGTTCAGTACCCTTTGAGTGGTTTCAATATCTTTTACCGGTGTTCGCTCTCTGTCGGGTAGACCAATAAGCTTGTATGGATCTTGCCTCTTTTCTTCGTCGCTATCGGAATCATCGTCATCGCTGTCAGAGATGATGTGCTTTGGTAGAGTGGCAACAGACCCCTGGGTTTCTGTGTTCTCTAGTAGCTTTTGCTGTCTGTGATTGTCATCTGGCATGTCATCTTCATCAAAATGCCAGTGACCCTCCTGTTTATCTTTCCCCTCGAGTAACCCACGCTCCCCATACCCTCTCTCGAATGTCCTATCGGTGGAACCCCGGCGCATCTGGATGTCCTCATAGCTAAAACTTCTTATTTCCCACTCATTGGTCCGACTTTTGGAGTCATTGTACGATGGCTGCCTGCCCTGTGCCCTCTTCGCAGCTGCTTCCCGACGCCTTTCTTCAATTCTTCTTTCCGAATCACGTTTCTCCTGTTCTGCTTTCTGCATCATCTCACGCGCTTGATGCTGTAGTTCGTCTGCCCTGCTCACTGCTTCATCCGTGCGCATTAGCATATCTTCTTTCCTCTCGTTTTCGATTCTAGTCTTCTCAAGTCTTTGTCGTGCCTCTTCGAGCTTACGAGCGCTCTCTTTCTCCATTTCAATGGCTTTATTCTTCTCAGCTTCTAGCTCCACCCTTGCCTTGAGTGCTAACTCGTCGGCATACCTGTTCTTCATTTTCTCGTTATGCTCATTTTCCGCGTTGAACCTGTCCAGAAACCTCTCGTGTTTGTCTAGATCCGACGATGCTTGCTGTTTATCGGCAATCTTGGCTCCCTTTTGGCGCTCTATGATGTCCTGACTTTGGGCCTGGCCCATCATTGGCGTCGCTACTTTTTGGGGATACTCGATAGCCTGTTGATGTTGCGGTATAGTTAAGAGATGCTGTTGCTGCATTTGTTGGAGGAAGTATCGGTGGCCCTGGCCTAGCTGGAGGAACGCCCAGCCGCCGTAATCATCGAATACCAATTCCAAAATGTTTTGAACCGTCATCATCATACATGCAGTTTTAATTGGATCCCTGTGGTTTTTCTGACGCCATTGGACTTTGTCCAGCAGGACCTGGAAACCGCTAATTAAGTCATCGTGCAGTCGCATCAAATCACTAATCCCGATCGGATGAGGACCGTCCACGACGGTGATGTTGCCGGAATAACGACGTCTGACAAACATGTTGCTTTAACACAAGGTACACTAGATTCAAAAATGATGGGGAAAATGTGATGATGGACAGTAGAGTGGAGAGTGAGATAGCAAGAGCAAGCGCATAGGAAGCTGCGCTTTTGTACTGCGAGTATACTGTGGGTGTCTTGCTCGACAAGTGAAGGCCATTAGCAGAGTGCATTGAAGACATAACGTCAATGCATTCGCATAGCAATCAAGGCTTACAACAAAATCACCTTGTGCAAACGTGTTTATCATACATGTTCTGACACTGATGTCACTACTACTAAGCATTAATTCATACGGCCAACATCACCAGCACAACTAAATTGGGTGCGAGTATGATAAGCCTCTACCAAACTTAACTCGAGCATTGTCTATGAGAGGCGTAAGCTTTGAAGTGTCTGTGGACACTGATTATCCGATAGTGACGTTACGCATATATGTACGATAGCCTTCGATCATATCAATCCCAATGCTCAGCTTTCAATCCCGTCAAGTCTTATCCAGTAAGAAAACAACTTCAATTTGATCAAGACACTACTCCTTGCTTCGTACATCTTCATGCCTGGTTTGGGCTTCATCATGCACACTCTATCGAATCACCTATTCCCTCATCCGACCCGGGCTAAGCGGCTCCTACTTGACGCCAAACTTCTCCTTCCATTCCTGAAATTCTCTATCACTCTTCTCCTGTTCTGTCTCGTCACGCTCTTCGACGATATTGCCCCACTGATCACGGAATCTGAGTCGCTTGGGAAGTTCAGGTTGCATGAGGGAAGCAGCAGGCTGGGGGGTCTGCATAGTCTGGAAGGTAATATTTGGCGACGGAGCTTGGATGGTCTGAATAGCGATGTTGGGCTGGAGCGCCGGAAGGTTGATAACTCTCTGCTGTACAGTCTGTCCGATGACGAAATCTGGGGACGCGCGACGCAGGAAACCCAAGTCGCCCGAATCTTCTAGCCTGATATTCCACGCATCCAACATATTAGAACCGAGTAAATCCCTCCCCTGAAGAACGCGCCTGATTCTGCGCTGCGTCAGGCGCACGTCACTCAAGAGACCGGAAGGTATGCCTCCGTTGTTGAATGCCCTGTCGATTTGATTGTAGACGCTCCTAAGCTCGGAACTCGAGCAGGACCCCAGGTGCTCCAAGTCCCAAGGATGTTCCCAATGGAAAATAGAAGGACTGTAGGAACGGAAACGAGACATTTCAAATGTGCGTACCCAGTGTTGTTCGAGGTTTTGTTATGTTTCAGCGAGTACAGACTATCTTTGCTGCAGGAGGATATCGAGTTTTGGCTTGTAGATTATGGTAGTATGTAGCAAGGAAAATCATAGTGCGGAGATTTTATATGCTATAAGCCTGACCATGAATGGCGACATGCATGTCAAAGTCTCGAATGCCGGGATTGCCACGCGTGTGTAATCTTTGGACAACATCACGCTAGATCACTATCACAACCTCATATGTGAATATCACGATAAAATTCTAAACCTTGATACCCTTCAATGCACACCTTGGGCAGTGACGAAGTTGTGATGTTATAGTTCCTAGTAAATAGCTGTATGACTGCCTCTTTGTCGCTGAAGAAATAATCGCTTTTGACGTCGTTGGCATGTACATGCCGCTCATGATTTCCAATCACACAAATCCATCACACGAGTTTGATCATCTACCATGATCGAAGACGGCGCAAATTTGGAGCTGAGGGAGATGATTGAGTCGATGAAACAGACTATTCCCCATGTTTTCCTGTTGTCTTGATGTATTGATTGTGTATTGTTCTTCGAGTCAGTCGCCAACTGTATTTGATGAACACAAGCGCGCATCAGATTGGATCATTCTATAAATATTTGCTTGGTACAAGATCAGTGATTTCGGTTTTATGTTACTAAAGAGCCAACATATTATTCAACATCTTTGTCATCGCCGTCACCCACCTACAATTCCCATCCACAGACAGGTCAAAGACACCCATCAAACTCAATCACTGTCATCACTATAGTATAGCAGTCCCTGGTTGCGCAGTCTCCTACGACGACTAAGGTATACAATCCTTGGGCTGTCAAATGGTTCAATCAGAATATTCTGCACCGGTGCAGATGCCAAAGTAAGCGTAGACACTGGAGTGGTGATGTTGAATGACTGAGGCTGCTGTTGTGGGTGATAGAGAATGCTCTGTTGGAGTGGAGCCTGTTGCTGATACATGAGACCCTGCTGTATGGACTGTGGCATAGGCTGTTGTTGAGCGAAGGGTACCATGGTGAATGCTTCCTGAGCTGGCTGCTGAATTTGCAGTTGCGACTGTACTTGCTGTCGCTCGATGATGTCTTGCCGTAGCTGCGCTGGTGCTGGTGATGGCGCTGACAGCTGCATGTTGATGCTTCCACCACCTCCTGTTGCTCCAATGAGCTTCCTCGCGCCGTGCTGCTGAAGTCGCTCCTGAATCCTGCTCGCTGTAACTCGAACCCTCCTACGAACGTCATCGTCTTGGGTGCGCTCTTGCAGGTAGTAGTACATTTTATTGTGTACCGAAAGAAGTTCTTCTAGTGGCAACATTTAGTAGATTATGAAAGGCAGATGGGTCTGTTTTGTTGCAGTTCTTGGGCTGCAGAATTCGATTTCTTCGTTGAGCTGTTCCTCTGATGATGAGGAGAAAATGTTAGTGTGGAGCTCAACAGCAGAAAATGAGAGACTGGATATCCGCTGTCTGACCGATCATGCCGCCGGTCCAGGAAGCTGTGAATACCAATCTGGTTGAACGCTACCATGTGTTCAACGGCTGTGGGTACGAACAGGGCTGCGCAAAGTGTACGTGCCAATAATGCACACTGCACCAGCTGCTCGCGATTCCTTTGTGACCATGGTAAATAGCAACAAAGCGTTTCTTCACAGTAGGCAGCACTGATGTTGCATTTGTGATAACACATCTCCTACGTGTTTTCTTGTCACGTCAGCGAGCCATCACAGATTTGCGACTTACATTACAAGACCAAACCCTATTTCTCGCACATCTCCCACTCCAATCATCCAACTATCCTTCCACACCCAATTCATATTCAACCTCCAGGGTCTCGAAATACCCAATACCACAACATAAGCACATCATCAATTGTCTAGAATGTCATCCTCTTTAGCCCTTCACGCTTTTACCCATCCCCACCCCTGGGACCCGTCTGCTATCCGCCTCTCACCCACTCCCTCACTCATCTCTGCTCAAGCTTCAATAACACATCAGCTCTACATCTTGGATTGCCGCGGCCATGACGCGCGTGAAATGCAAAGAACATTGAACTATATTACAGCCGAGCTGCGGATACGAGAAGTTGAAAATCTTGCTTTGGCAGAAGCTAACCGCAAGGACGCAAGTGAAGAGAGCAATGGGAATAATAGAATCGATGAAGAGAAGAACAAAGACCTGAGTGAGTTCAAGTCAGGAAGCTGGATCAAGAAGAAAGATGGAGGTGCGAGGATGAGGGAGATGGAAGACGAAGATAAGCGCTGGGAAAAGGAGAGTGGTGGTAATCCTCGATGGGGTGAGGGTAGGACGGCACATCTGTACGGCAAGTAGACATTCACGTTGGTGACACTGAGCGTCTTTGAATTGAAGAGGTAGAAATGAATCGAAATCCTGTAATGCGCTATCAAGTAATATGTGATACACGTTGCGATCCAGTATTGCTTGGGTATCATTGTTAGTTATGACATACCTGTACGCCTGCAAATGCCCAAATTGCTGAGACGCTATGCTAAATCAATCTTCTGCGTCCTCTCCGCCACGCTCCATACGCGCTCTAATGTCCCTTACTAGCGCTTTTGCATCTTCAACTTCTACACCATCTTGGCAAAGTTCGTTTGCCAATTCCATAGCTCGCTGGTACATGCCACGCATGTACTCCCATCGAGCGAGCCAGAGCCGGGCTTTACTAGTGGTTGCAGTGACCCCAACACCACCAGCGCCTTCGGAGCCCACTTCCTCGTAATCTGGGCCTTCCTCTTGTGCAAGCACCAGTTCCATATATGCAGCGCATTCGTTCATGTTGTTTATCCTCTCGTACAGCAAGGCGATTTGGTAGAGTACTTCTGGATCGAGGATACCACCTCCAAGGCCAGTGACTTCGCCGCTGCCGAAAGAGGCACCAACACCAGCGTCATAGTATGAGCCCGCCACTAAGGCGCGCTTGTATGATCGGATACCGTTCATGATCTTGCCCACTTTACCGAAACATTGGCCGACAGCCATCCATAACTTCGGGTCGTAAGGTCGTAGAGCAGCGGCGCGCTGGTGATAGAAGAGAGCGTATGAGTGCATTTCCAGCACTTCATATGTTTGACCAAGTCCATACCATGCGCGGTAGTCTTTACGATTGACATCGACAGCACGACGGTATGACTCAATAGCAGCATGAGTGTTCTTCATCTCAACGAACTCATGACCCATGAGCGTCCAAGCAGAAAGGAACGTCCGATCAAGAGTCAGAGCTCTCCGGAAGTACATGACGGCCTTCTCATGCTCCGATTTTAGGGAGTAGTAGTTTCCGACCACGCAGCAGGTCTCTGGCCGAAACTTGTCGGTTGCTGTGGCAAGCTGAGCCAAGAAGGCAAGCTTAGGTCGCATGCCCATCACGTACAAGATGTTGGAGTAGTTGTCCAGATGATCGACGCGGTGTGGATCTGATATGAGCAAGTCGGAAAAGATCTGTTCGGCGTCGTCGAAGTCTTTATTGTGGTAATGCAACAACGCCCGCTGGGTCTTTAGAAAAGCCGATGAGGGGAAGATGGTCAGAATTTGCGACAGCGAGGTGTGAATCTGTTCGTTGACTACATAGAGCTCCTGAGACGACGTAACGTGGAAGATGAAAGTCATCAGATTCTGTGGTAGCCGTGTGACGATGTTGTTAAGCTCTTCCATAGTGCTGAGTAGTGCTTGCAGCTCCTGCCACGCACCCCAGTTGTAAGTATACTGGTGAACACTCTTGATGAGGTAGTCGATGGCAAGTTGCTCGTTCTTTCCCTTGGCCAGCACCATGCCATACAGGTACTCTAGCCAACCCTGCGGTTGCCGTCCGCTGTTAGGCAGATCTCTGAACCATTCTTCTAGAACAGCGGCGACTGTCGGTAGCTCCTTGTTCAGAGTCACGCCGCCATCTTGAGGACCAAGAATCATCTCACTATCCTCGTTCATATGCTTCTCCCCAGCGATGTACTTTGCATAGAGCGCAAGGAACAACGACTTTTGACTGATGCCTTTCATTGTGTCGTTGGAAAGCTTCGACTTGGACGGGGTGACCATCTTCGCCTTTCCCTTGGCCCCCTGCTTCGACTTGGCAGTAGGCGTGGAAGGTGGCTGCGACGCGCCCTTGGGTAAAGGGCCAGGCAGGAAGACGGCGGCGCATCGGTCATATTCACGGCAGTCGAAGTATGTCTTGGCGAGGAGGAACTTGTGCGCTTCACGTGCTTCCAAACGCGCTTCCGTGGGGTCTTTCCGTATGAGGTTGGGTGTTTGTGGAGGTTGGGCGTCGGACATGGAAGAGTCAACGTCGGTGTCCGAGGCGTCGTCGTCGTCATCGGCCGAGGGGAGCGAATTGAGTAGTTCTGCGGCCCTTGTCAACATCAGCATGCAAAGGTCGGTACATTTCACACTCGGCACTTACCATTTGGCAGAGTGGTAGAGACAGCGCTCTGTACACCCGATGACGGCGTCCTGGAGTTGCGCCTTCAATTGGGCCTCGTCGGCCTGAGATAAGGTGCCCATCGCGTGGATATCAGAAAGACAGTGCCCGGTCTCCGCTTCAAATCATTGTCCGATGCTCTTTCGCGTGATGTCGCTGCCGCCGATGCGCGTGTTGATGGTGAGCTTCCTGTAGCGGCAGGGTGGGGCACAAACAATGGCCCGGCGGAACCTTTGACCGCCGCGGAAATTAGACTCCTTCACCGCCCGCACCCCTACATCTGCTACTGCCCCTCTATCTTGACCCTGCTCTGTAAAGATACCCAATTCACTGCGTGCAAGATGCCTACCACACTCAAAGAATTCGAAAGCGTATGGCCGCGCATTGTTGCCGACCTCCAGGAGCACTGCAATGGGTACAAACTGCCCAAGCAGTCCCTTGATTGGTTCACAAAGGTACATCCACATCCCGAACGGTGCATTCAGGGTCCAACTTGCTTACCACATCACATAGTCGCTCGACTACAACACTGTTGGCGGAAAATGCAACCGTGGCATGTCTGTCATTGACACCACTTCAATCCTCCAGAAAAAGACTCTTGACCCCTCATCAGAGGAATACTTCCGTGCTGCTCTCCTAGGATGGATGATCGAACTCCTCCAGGCTTTCTTCCTGGTTTCCGACGACATCATGGATTCTTCAAAGACCCGCCGTGGTAGCCCTTGCTGGTACCTTGCACCCAAGGTTGGCATGATTGCCATCAACGACGCTTTTATGCTCGAGTCGGCCATTTACGTACTTCTTAAGAAGCACTTCCGTCAAGAGAAGAGCTATGTCGACATGATGGAGCTGTTCCACGAGGTTACATTCCAGACGGAATGCGGCCAGCTGTGCGATCTGCTGACTGCACCCGAAGACGATGTCAACCTTGACAACTTCAGCCTTGACAAGTTCACTTTCATCGTCATTTACAAGACTGCCTACTACTCTTTCTATCTCCCGGTCGCACTGGCCCTCTACTACGCCGGTGCAGCAACGCCAAAGAACTTGCAGACTGCAGAAGACATTCTCATCCCCATGGGCGAATACTTCCAGGCACAAGACGACTACCTTGACGCTTTCGCCGACCCCTCCGTTCTCGGCAAGATCGGTACAGACATCATGGACAACAAGTGCTCGTGGTTGATCAACCAGGCTCTGAAGAAGGTCAACCCCGAGCAACGGAAATTGCTAGAGGACAACTACGGCCAAAAGGACTCACAGAAGGAGGCCAAGGTCAAAGAGTTGTACCACGAGCTGAAACTGAAGGACTTCTACGAGCAGTGGGAAGAAGAGCGCGTTGCCGACTTGAGGGCTAAGATCGACAAGGTCGATGAGAGCGAGGGCTTGAAGAAGGAGGTCTTTGAGACCTTCCTCCAGAAGATTTACAAGAGGAGCAAATAAGCCGATGACTAAATATACCATGGACCGTAAAGCCACTTAATTGCTGACGATATATAACGAGTCAATCTGAAACCCTTTATACCACTTATGTTGACCTGCTAGTCTACCTCTGTTCTGGGGTGTTTGCTACTTGTCTACCTTCGGAATTAGGGTCCTTGTTATCCAGAGCGGTGTATTTCATATATGCAGCTATGAGCACAAGTATGTGATAAGGGTGAGAAAACAATCGCGAAATTCCTAGAGCGCTGCATGTTGGGATAGTAGACCAGAGCGAGTTGCCTGCCCTCTTGTACGATGGCCAATTGCGCTAGGCCCGGGCCGGCTAATGTGGGGACATTCCATCTGTCGCGAGATGACGCCGCGTCGCGACATATGCCACGCGTATAATCTATCTGCTTCGTTCTCGCCAGAACGACAACACCAACGCGCCTGGTCCCTTGTTAGCCACGCTTCATGACTTATAATTGCTCGCGTCTGTTTTCGTGCCGGGAGTAACCCAAAGGATGGTGGTGCCCGATATCATGGGGGCCTAGCTCTGCGACTCAGGCGCCCAGTCAATCAAGTGGCGCAGTTCACAATGCACCATCCCTCGTCACTAAAAGTATACCCACGTATTCTGCTTCTTGATGCTCTACTAGGCCGCCATGTTTTCGAACTTTGCCAGTGCGATATCTGGTAATGCTCCAGACAAGACAACCAAAGATGAGGGAGCATCGCTTACATCGGTCCTCGAAACACCCACACTACGCGTCGAATTGGCACTCCTCGTGCTCTTAAGCATCGATGCCATGCGAACCGATATCACTGCTACATTCGAGCCATACAACAATCCCGAATCGAACCCCTCCGTTGCGACCCGATCGTCTGCACCCAATACCAAAACACCCACACCAGACCTTATAAGCCTCGACGAGCCGAGACAAACTGCGATAAGACCCTCCCCTTCGAGGGAAAGATCGCAAGAGCATGATTCCACCCAAATGCAAGCTTTGCGACGAAGCGCTTTGACATTCTTCGATCAATGGCGCGCGAGTGTTATGCACCGCATATGCGATGTTGTCTCTGTTCGGGGTGAGACTGTGCGACAGGCAAAAGCGAAGCGAAAGCAAATATCAGAGCAAAACGAACGGCAAAAGCAGGGCATCTCCTCGCTTATCGATTTCGACGACGTCGACCCTTTTGCCAACGCGACATCTAAGCAATCCGAGAATACAAAACATGGTCAGTACGAGGTCATAGAGACTAGACTGCTGGCTCTTGAGGAAAAGAAGCGTGTCCTGATCTTGCATTGCCTTTTGCTTCTCTTGCTGAGCTTGGAACAATACTCGGCACATTCGCGCATCTTGCTGCTACGTCTCGCAAGTAGTCTGAAACTAGAGGTTGATCTGCTGGGCGAGCATGAGAAGTCGGTTGCACAAGGCCTCTTAGCAACGGCTGCCTCACAGATGGACGCCGAAGCAACAGCAAAGAACCAAGCATCCAACGATGCCGTGTCACGCCGCTGGAAGGTTGGCCTCGCAACTGTAGGCGGTGCAGTTCTGATCGGCGTCACGGGTGGTCTTGCTGCACCCCTACTCGCCGCCGGCTTAGGTACAGTCATGGGCGGACTTGGCCTTGGGGTCGTTTCAACGTACCTTGGTGCGTTGGCGGGTAGCTCAGTGCTCGTCGGATCATTGTTCGGGGCCTACGGTGCCAAGATGACAGGGCGTGTAATGGAGCAGTACGCAAAGGAAATTCGAGACTTTGAGTTTCTTCCAGTCCAAGGTATGTCAGCGTCTGAGATGAAGCCTCGTCTAGCAGCTAAGCGTGTCAGATCCTGATCGACCGGCAAACCAGCGCCAACTCGATTGGGCTGATGAACAAGATGCCCGTGACCCTCGGAAACGTGAACAACATCGACTGCGTGTCTTCATTGGTGTCAGCGGGTGGCTGAACTCGCCAGCTGATGTCAGTAAGCCCTGGGAAGTGGTCGACTCTGGAACTACTGAGCCATTCGCGTTGCGTTTTGAGCTTGACGCGATGCTGCGTCTCGGAAACTCACTCAATGACGTTCTTTTCGGATATGCTTTTGACGGTGTCACGTATGCTGTAGTCAGTCGTACGCTTCTCGGAGCGTTGTACGCCGGTCTATGGCCACTCGGCCTTGTCAAAGCTGCCAGCGTCCTGGATAACCCCTTTAGTGTTGCACTTGCTCGAGCTGATAAGGCCGGTAAGGTTCTCGCGCATGCTCTTATCGATGGCGTGCAAGGAAAGAGACCTGTAACCCTCACCGGGTACTCGGTCGGCGCGCGTGTTGTATATGCATGTCTGATTGAGCTTGCGGAACAACACGCCTTTGGTCTCGTCGAATCCGCTGTTCTCATGGGTACTCCTGCACCAGCAAACCCCAAACGCTGGAGGCAAATACGATCGGTCGTTGCAGGGCGTATTGTCAATGTCTACAGCAAGGAAGACTACGTACTCGGCTTCCTCTATCGGTCAGCGAAACTGCAAGTAGGTGTGGCAGGTCTACAGGAAGTCGAGGGCGTTCATGGTGTAGAGAACGTTGATGTGAGCAAGCTTGTCAGTGGGCATGATAGGTACCGGTACTTGGCGGGTACGATAATGGTTAAACTTGGTTTTGGTGATGTGGATTTCAACAAGGTGGCTGAACAAGAACGCGCTCTCGAGGAGGCAGAAAAGCGAAAGGCTCGGGCCCAAAAGGAGGCTAAACGCAAAGCAGCAAATGAGCAAACGCAGAAGCCTATCCCCCAGCCTCAACACCGGCCAGCCCCAACTACTCAAGACTCTTCGAACTCTCTGATAGATTTTTCAGAGCCAGAACCTGCAGCTGCTCCCAAAAGCAACTCCGAACTGTCTGGTTTATCTCTCACACCCTCTGGTACACAAGAGGATCTTTCTCCAAACGTCGATGCATCAGCATCGGTTTTATCTAACGAGCCCTTTCCGGACAGCTCTAAAAGCATTTCTAACTCTACGACATTGCTGCCAGACTCACATGACCATCCCAACACGGAGAACTCGGCCGTTCGCTTAAAGAAGAACGGCACTGACGTCGCTGTTACTGAAGTCCTTGTCCTGGAAGGATGCGATACTACCAAAGATAATAGCACCGGCGATGAACATCAAGATGACTTTGATGATTATGACTACGACGCTGAAGAAGTTAGTAGTGAGTTCGGCGAACTCAGTATGGTCGAACCGTTGCCCATGGACGACAACGACTACGGCTTGATGTAAGGGTACGAGCCGAAGCTCGTTCAAGCACGTCGAACCATGTCCTTGTTGCAACAAGATTGGCCTATCTGTCAGCCCAGAACTGAGAGGTCGCACTTATAGCCATTTAGAGATTCTCCCAAGCCATGCTAGACCAATTGCGTTCCCACGCGAGCTCGCAAGGTCAGCCCAACCTCGTTAGCGGCTCATGTACGCCTAACCATGCATGCTTACACTCAAGGCACCGGCTTTTATGGATACAAGGCGCGCTGCTACAAGCCTCGGGAGGATTTCGTAGATTAGTGAACGTGTGTAAAGAAATAAATTCATCAACAAAGTTGATGGACCTTCATGCATAGCCCATTGTTGAGTAACATGTCCACCACCTCAACAGCAACGCGTCCTACGCCCACACTACCGCCGCCATCCTTCTCCAAACTCGGCCCAAGCATATCAATTTACACTCCACCAGCATACAGCCCTGGCGAGCTTATCGTTTTGTGCACATGGCTTGGCGCTGCACGGAAGCATATCGACAAGTACATCGCGTCCTACCGTACTATTGCTCCCAACGCCAAGATCCTGCTTATCCAAAGCGATGTGGCAACGGTAACAAGCTCTTATCCTACGCAACGCAAAGCTATAATGCCAGCTGTTGAAGTAGTGCGCGCGGTACTTGGTGAATGCACTTATCCGGCATGTATCGCCGCGTCCGTGTTGGAACACCAATCAAAGAAGTATCAAGGGCCCAGAATTCTCCTTCACACCTTCTCAAACGGCGGTCCAATCTCTGCCACTGCACTACTACTCGCCTTGCATACTCAAACCTCCGCATCCCTGCCTTTGGTTGGCATCATCATGGATTCAGGACCCGCAGCAGGCTACTACTGGAAATCCTACAACGCCATGGTTTTGTCACTACCACCAGGTATCCTGCGGTCGGCAGGCTATGTATTCGTACATGGGATCCTCCTTGGTCTGTTTGCGAGCGTGGCATTGGGACGCTATGAGTATCCAGAGGTCTTGGTTCGCCGGACACTGTTAGATGAGGACTTCGTGTGTGGAGCGGAAAACGGCACAAAGAGGAGAATATGCTACCTGTATAGCAAAGCTGACCGCATGACGGATTGGAAAGATGTTGTTGAGCATGCGGATACGGCGAGAGAAAAGGGCTGGGATGTTAGTGAAGTTGTGTTTGAGGGAACGGCACATTGTAATCACTTTGTGAAGAATGAAGGAGTGTATGTGGGGGAGATGAGGAAGATGTGGAGGTTCTAAGCGTTCTAAAGATGAAGTGTTGGTATGGTTCTCAAATGCAGGTGGAATTGACACAGGTACAGACAGTTGATAGATTCGACTGTTCTGACACCAATCTCTCAGTTTCCTTGCTTGACTTGGATCTTCTTGACGATCATGACTCTGGTACTTCGTCGGCCCACGGTATACTGGACTGCGCACCTGCTTTCTGCACCGTCATAGACGCTGCCCTGTTAGCATGCGCAATGGCAGTATCGAGATCGAAATCTGCTCCTCGCGCCATAGCTTTCCAGCGTGCAACAGCAACTGTATACGCGCCAGCGAACGTATCACCAGCGGCTGTAGTGTCGACAACCTTGACTTTACGTGCTGGCACAATGTGACCTTGCTGAGATGCTTCCTGTTGCTTCGCGGTCTTGTAGAACACGCCCTAAACTCGCGTTAGTACAAGTCACAGTGTACCATGAGGAAAGGTTTACCTCGCCACCAAGCGTGATGATAACATTCTTGACACCCCTCGCAATAAACACAGCAGCAACCTCGTCCCACGAAGTTGGCTTCTCGATGCCCGACAAAATTGCAGCTTCGGTCTCGTTAACGATGAGGTGGCCTAAGCCGTGATAAGCCTCATCTGGCAAGGGTATCGCAGGCGCTGGGTTAATAATAGTCTCGACGCCTTTCTCCCGTGCGGTCTTCATATTATGCAACACAACCTCCAACGGCAGTTCCAGTTGGAAAAGCGCAACCCCTGCATCCTCATCGACAAGATCTTGCACTTTCACATCCCCATTGGCACCAGGACAGAACATGATCCTGTTCTCCCCAGAGCCGGTCTCAACGATGATAACGGCAACACCCGTCTTCTTTCCTTTCAAAATCTGTACTTTCTCTGTCGATAATCCATCCTCTCGCAAGGCTTTCAGGAAACCCTGGTGAAACTCATCATCACCCACTGCACCCACCATACGTACTTCCACATCGGAAGTCTGAGATGACGAAGCTTGAGTTTTGGTGCGTGAGAGGCGGGCACAGGCGACAGCTTGATTGGCGCCTTTCCCGCCCCAGCCAATGTTGAAAGATTCACTAGTTAGGGTTTCACCGCCAGTGGGGACGCGGGGTGTGCGGGTTACGAGGTCGACATTCAGGGAGCCGATTACGGATATGACCGCTGGTTTGGAAGACATCTCGATTGTTGGTTTTCGGGTTGTGAGGATTCGATGGTGTTGTATAAGGTCACGCGATGAGGCTCTGGTACGTTTGCCGAAGACGCTAAATTAGGCTAGCCGAGCCGACGTTGTGGGCTCTTTCTTTGCGTGGCATCATCGTGGGGTCAACTATGGGATCTTCTCTTTTCACATCATACAGCATCGCAATTTCCCAGACTGATACAATTGCTAAGACGAAAAGACACATTGAATTAAGACAGTCGGCCAACTCTTCTGTCTACGCTGTCTTTGGTCACTACAGACACCGGAAAACTTGTTCAAGGCTCTCCTATCCCAGGCTTACGAGCCACGAACATATGCATCGGGCTGAAGATGCCCAATTTCCCACCATCTCTGCATGAGTACACACATTCTCCGACTGTATACGAAGCAGTCACACCGTATTGCGGTATGAGACCCAGGAAATACAGCGTATTGATAAACACCCGAGAAGCATAGTAAATTGGCCTAGTCATCCACACACAATAGCTCCAGTCGTACCACGTCGGATAATGTTTGTAATCGATCGCGTGCCTGTATCACATCGGATCAGTACCAAAGTCGCTCATTCGAACAAGAAGGCAGAGGATTACTTACCACCAAGGTATCGGATTAGCCTTAGCAGTAGCACGATCCTCTTCGCGAACCATTTCAAAACCCGCTTTCACCAATGCCGCAATTCTAGTCTTGGGCGTGATCATGTGCGGCACGGCCCCATTTCTTTCAATCCTCCCTCGTATCATCCGATGTTCTGCATTAGAATCATCGTACTTGTCAGTTATGACCCAATCCAAGATACCGATCTTACCCCCAGGTTTCAGCACTCGTAAGGCTTCGGTATATGCTTTATGCTGATCCGGTGCACAACATAGCGCTTCGATGGCAAAAACCATGTCAAACGTCTCATCGGCGAATGGAAGGTCTGAAAACGTGCCTTTAACCATATGCACTTGGTCATGCAGATTCGCTTGCTTATTCAGCTCGTTGCTCCGCTCGACGTGTAGGTCGTTAATGGTGAGGCCAGTGACGTAGACTCCAGCAAAGATGGCCATTTCACGTGCGGGACCACCGACACCACAACCTAGATCGAGAACCTTCATACCGGGTTTGAATTCCATAATGAGTGCTAGGTAGTGTTCGTGACGGGCTGCGGCTGTGGCCCAGGATTCATCGGGTTGATAGCCGCTGAAGTGGAATTTGTTGCCCCATCCGTTCTGATAGGCGTCGGTGACAAAGTCAAAGTAACTGATAGAGCATTAGTATACCTGAGCACTTCATTGTTCGAGTTAATTGGTATGAAACAGGCTCGCACGCTTCGTTGATCTCAGCAGCATTCTTGTTGAGTTCTGCTCTCTTCTCATCCGTGAGTTTATTTCCCACGACATAGTCATTGTCGTAGAGTGTGTCAAACTTGATGCCCTGTCCATGTTCTGTTTGCTCGCCTGGTATTCGTCGTCTCGCTTTGTTGTTCGTCATCACGGGCAATCCGTCCCAATATCCTACTCCGATTGTAGAAGCTCACGTGAAAGGACCCAGCAAAGAGAACTGGAGCTGGAGGAGTGGGGAATGCTGCACTTTAACGTTCTTACTGTTACATGCATGGCCTTGGTGTTGCCGGCCCGAGTCGACTTCGATAAACGCGAATTGTATACTCTTTTGGCTTAATATTGTTCTTCTTGCTTGGCAGGCTCGACTTCATTCCTCCCCGCATGTAGCTGGAAGCAAGGACGCCCCACTTACAGGAAACGAGAGTAATCATGTAGGTACACCGGACGAAATGAACTATGAGATCAATTTCTGCTACAAGAACTACAGCGATGTCATACCATTTCGAAACTTACATGGAATACGCCACAATTGAAGAGGATGCATGGAGATTATGAGCGGGGTGTATATGTGAGCTGAGCTGACCACACTTTTTAGCCTGCCGCATCCTATTCTCGCCCTTGGGAAGTGGAGATGATTCAAGCTCGTGAATTTCATGATATGCAAGTCGATGAGCACAAATATCGCTAAGTTGATAGTCATACCAAAACTGTGAGACATTCATTCTATAATCTCTTCATCATGCGACCATACCCAAGAACCTGAACTTTCAACAACAACGTGTGAACGTCACACTTCCTGCACACCTAATTCCCACCTTCAACAGGTACGTTGATTCCCAGACTCCTCAGCCTGTCCACAGCAGCCTCTACTAGGAAGTCGTTCCGCTGTATCAACTCCTGTACCTGCTCATTTTCCGCCTTCCTTGAATGACTTGGTACTTTGACACCAGTACTTCTTGCTTGTTCGCTTTCGCTTCTTTGTTTGGCGTTCTGCATGGCTGCTTCAATCTGCTTCGCCTGCTCCTTGTGTACCTCCTTGATCCTGTCGAGACGTTGCCAGGCGGGGTGTTCGCTACCGTCAACATTGTCAGTCAACGTCTCGCTCGAGGGGTCAATGGCGCTGTCCATAGTTTGTAACTCTTCAATCCAGTTGCTCTCTTTTTCGCTGAGCTCACTGGAGCCGATGCTGACCATCTTCCGTCGGAGGGCTTCGTAGCGAGCATTGATACGATCTTGTCGCGCTATAGCCTTCTCCATGCGGTCGTCTATGTTGGCGCTGCCGTATGTCGATCCGTTCTCCGAGCCGGCTTGGTCATTACCAGTGACGCTGTCGATGTTCGTTGCAATCTCAGACGTCCTGTATATTTGATCCCTGAACTCTTCCTGGAGTCGTGTCGCGCGGTTGAACAGATCGGATACGGCGAGCTGGAGTTTAGACGTCTGTGCAGAGAGTACGCGATGGACATCCATGAGGAGCCCCAAGTTTGCAGGAGATAACCTGATTTCATCTTTAAGAGCGCCTCTGTGTCGCGCGGGAATGTTGATAGATCCATAGAGATCGAACGGCTCGTAGAGTTCCTTTGATGGCTGCCACGCCTGACGTACTTCCTTGGTAGGACCGGTGATTGCCATGTATTCAGCAAGCTCTTCCTGGGTAGGGAGACCGTCTTCAGGCGCATCAAGTAGGGCAGCCTGAGGCTCACCGTCTACAGTGGTAAGAAGAAGGTAGCCCACGTTTCCATCTTCAATGACAGCAACTGCGGTCACTTCCTGTTCCGCCAGGTCGCCGGATACGCGTCGCTGTAGGTATTGGTCTACAACGGTGTTCGCCGATTCCAGTATACGCTTGATACGGAAAGGCGAGCCCTCGGTCTGCGGCTGGGAGAGTTCCGTCTCAAGCTTCCTGACCCAAGGCTCCATGGAAACGTAGAAAACTCCACTGGCATGCGATACGAAGAATGAGAAGTCGGTATGCACATCCGGCGTGATGTTTTGATTGAATGAAGGATCGTCGCCTTCCACCAATGTGACGGTTTCCGCGATAATCAACTCATGATCGGTGGTTATTATGGCATCGATTTCGTCTTCCGGAGATGGTAGCCATCGCCCAATGATACCCTCAAGGTCTAGGCAGACATGTACCTTGCTCGTGTCTGTGAGCAAGCACACAACAGCAGTAGGAAGACCTTCTGCAGCCTCGTCCTCTTCGCTTTCCGAAAGGGTCTTGAGGGAGAAGACGATCATGTCGCTGAGCTCAAAATCGTCTACTTCGGGCGAGATGGTGAAAGGCCCCTGTAGCAACGGCACCGCAGGCGCGCTTTGTGGGCGAGCGAAGACCTGCACTGTGTCACCCTGTGGCCGTTCCTCTACAAGAGGTTCCTCGTATATGATGTCGGATAGCCATGAGACCTGCTTCTCCGATGTCTTCAGTTCGTGCTTGGGCGACGTATCATCCTCGGACAGCTCAGCGTAAGCGATGTTGATGGATGAGGTCAGGGTCTGGAGAAAGGTATGGCTGCCGGGTGATTCGATCAGCTGCCATTTGCTCGGTAGCAAAGGGCAAAGGGCGTATACATCTCCGAGCACAGTAGCAATCCACAACGTCATTGGCGCCCAGCCATGGACACCTTCTTGGTCTGGAAAGTCGCCAAAGCATGCAGATGCAACTTCCAGCTCCACCGAGTCGGGAGAGAAACCCTTGGAAGCTCCGAACTTGGAGGCGCTCAGATCGTCCTGATCGCTTGTAGCATTTGCGAGTTTGGGCAGATCGATGGAGAGCGACGGCTCACTGAAGGTAGACCTGTCGGCGCGGTTGATCTCCCATAGCCGGACTACTCCCGCCTTTGTGACGGTGAGCAGACAGCGTCCATGGTAGCCCAGAGGATGCCATAGCGTTGTTGCGACGGGCGACTCTTCCAGCACATGCACAGTTGGTCCCAACTGGAACGTCTTTGGCTTCAAAGGGCCGTCGTCCTCGCCGGCTCCAAGCAACGACGAGTCGGGAAGGTGTATTACGTGTACGGTGTGCGAGGTGGAGACGGCGAGGTAGTCTTCCTCGGGAGAAATGGCAAGACGCGTGATTGGTAGAGGTATCGAGACTCGTAGTGTTCGGTATGCGGGTTGTTGTTCTTCCTTGAGATTGACCAGATCCGCCCATCGTATTTCGTTCCCGACGGCGACGAAGATTTCGGAGCCCCGGGTCGCAATTGTCTTTCGTGGTCCAGGTTCCTGTTTCTTTGCAGCGACTCCATTTCCGTTGGTCTGCTTCGGCGCAAACAGATGATAGCCTGGGTTTGGCCGACTGAGCCAGTCCGGCGTGTAACCCAGTACTTTTGGCATCGTAGAGAGCTGCCCCGAGCAAGATTGAGAGATTCGGAATGTGGGTAGGTAATAGTCGGGTGGTCTGTAAAGGTAAGAGTCTCTGGACAAACAAAAGTTCCAGCCGCGCGATACTGCGCCAAGGCCGACGCGTCTGGGGAGCTCCGAGCTCAACTTTCCACTTCCGAACCTTACACTCGCTCCACAACCACGCTCGATAACTTCTGAACGCTCCGGATACGGTCGCTTAACGTATTTCCATTTGGAACTGGGATAGAGAGTACGCCATCATGCCGGCGCTTCGAAGTACCATTGACCGCCTCGACAAGCCGAGTTCATATGCGACAGCAAAGGTACAGCAGGCTACAAGGCACTAGACAAGCACAACAAGGCTGACTTTCCTCTAGAAGCGCAGACGCGATCGCAACACACGTGACGAAGAACGTGGCCGCTCACCGTCCCCCGAGGACAAGCTCAAGGACGCAACTACCCTCTACGTTGGCAACCTATCCTTTTACACTACCGAAGAACAAATCCACGAGCTATTCAGCAAATGCGGAGAGATCAAACGATTGGTTATGGGTCTCGACCGATTTCAGAAGACGCCATGCGGTTTCTGCTTCGTCGAGTACTACACACATCAGGATGCGCTAGATTGTATGAAGTACATTGGCGGCACTAAGCTTGATGAACGTGTCATCAGGACCGACTTGGACGAGGGTTTCGCCGAGGGCAGGCAATACGGACGTGGAAAGAGCGGTGGTCAGGTGCGCGACGAGTACAGGGCCGAGTATGACCCTGGTCGGGGTGGTTACGGCAGAGCTGTGGACGAATATCACGAAGCGCAGTAGGTTCGCCATCGAGATCCAACAGCCCGAGTTCTACTCGCCCATATTTGAGACGGAGGGAGGATGGGCAGCATTACCTGGTAGTTGAGGAAGCAGTCGATCAGCCCAGTCTTCATCAGATCTCAAAATACTGCACAGGAGGCGTCTGGCGTCTATTATTCGGCATTGCTCATTAATTCTTTAGTCATAAGCAAATGCTTACAGGGAGGAGAGATACCAGTTTAGATACCTTCCCAAGACTTACTACCATCTTCCAAACGCCCTGTCACATGTTCTACAAGAATTGCTGTCTGGGCATGTGCCCTAATTGAAGTGCCATCTGGCACCACCTACATCTCATTTAGTTCGATCCGCAAGTTCAAACTGCTTTCGCCTCTCCGCAGCTTTCATGACCTCTCCCAACCACCAAACATGTATCCGCGGGTCGTCGGTCAGTTCTGGGTGGAAGCTACACCCAAACACGTTGCCCTGCCGTACCGCTATTATGTCCTCCGCACCTGGGTGATTGTGTTCCTGGTTCTCCTGCAACGGCTGGGCGTTGGTCGACAGCGTTGCCATGATCTCGACCTCGCGATCCAACTCCTTCCTCGCCAAATCATCCGCTGGTGTCTTGCTCGGCGCAACAATTGTATCGTCCCTTTCACTCTCTCCTTCTTGTATGCCTACCGCCTTCTTACTCGGAAGTATCTTCTCTACAACTGGCGCGCGGATGAAGACGCATCGGTACGGATCGGTCGCGCTTGTCTTGCTGGTCGACTCTAAGAATGGCAGCTGTAGGTTTGCCTGGAAACTCTCTTGTTGTCGCCCGAAATGATTTCTGTTCACTCTCACGTCTAGGCCTCCGATCAAGTCTTGGCCTCCTTTCTTTGTTCTATTCGCACTCTCTGCTAGTAAGATGAGGCCGGCGCATGTACCCCACGTTGGTTTGCGTTGGACCTTGACAAAGTCGCGGAGGGGCTCGAGAAGAGCGCTACGTGCGGCTACGAGGGACATGGTTGTACTTTCGCCACCAGGGATGATGAGGCCGTCGCATTGTGCGAGTTGGGCTGGTGTCCGGACTTCGATGAAGTGGAAGGTTGGTGACGAGGGGATGTTCGAGGATGCCGCACGAAGGAGTTGAATGTGCTCGCTGAAAGCGCCTTGGAGGGCGAGGACGCCGACCGTTATCTCTGTGTTTCCTTCTTTGACCGCCATTGTGAATCACGAACAGACGCCAAAAGAACTCCGTTACAGCAAGGAAATAAGGAATTGGAACGTCTAGAAAATGTACAGTCATATCACGGAAAGCGACGGCAAATGCTAAATCTGTATCGATAAGCTCCATCCCCACTGTAAGCGGTAACTTGCCCGCCGGGCACATGTCACTCAGATACGCTCAGCCCTGCTCGATCGCTTACCCCGAGGAGGTGCCACCCTTCGATCTGCTCTCCATCATCGACATTTCGGGTTCCCCACTGATCCCGTGAACGGCCATGACATGTAGATTTCCGTTTGTCGCACATCACGTCAAGAGAACCACAAACAAAGGGTCCCACGGTGCATATAAGGCCAGAGTCCTTGTAGTAGTCTAGTCTTACGCGTCAAACTACTTTAGCCGACGCGCAACTCGATTACAGTCTAGAGGATTCAGGTGAAGGCGCTATGATCGACAAACAGGATGGAGGCTCAACGGGACACGGTCTCACGTGCTGGCTGCTGGATACAAGATCAATATGGCCTGGAGAGAAGATTACAGATTCAGAATCCGTATGTCCATGCCATCGCATTGTGTCTATCAACTGACAAATGTCAGGCCCGGGAAGCACTCTCGCTCATCAGCCAGGAAGAACAAGACCTCATAAAACGCAAATACCACGTAGCGGATGCGCGAATGAGCCTGGGATCCGCCCTCCTGAAACGTCTTTTTGTTCACAAAACTCTGAACGTCCCTTGGAAAGACATCCTCTTCGGCCGAAGACGCGATCCCAAACATGGAAAACCAATCGCCCTACTGATACCACCCCAATATGGCCCTGCGCCCGTAGAATTCAACGTCAGTCATCAAGCCGGTCTAGTCGCCCTCGTAGGCTGTTCAACCCATGAACTCGATGCCGAAGTCGGCGTAGACATAGTCTGCGTAAACGAGCGGAACGATTATCGCGTTGTCGACGAAGAAGGCTTCGACGGCTGGGTAGACATGTACGCTGAAATCTTCAGCACAGAAGAGTGTTTCGATATCAAGTACAACGTCGACCCATTTCCTCTTCTCGATGGCACAATGGTCACACATGAGATTCTAGGAAGACACGATCGTTGTTGTCATCGAAACGAGCATTTGAGTGTTACGCTACCGAACGGGGAGCAGAGGGAGCTTGATTCAGATCTACTCATTGATGCGAAGCTAAGACGGTTTTACACGTTCTGGTGCTTCAAAGAGGCCTATATCAAGCTTGATGGTGAGGCTTTGCTCGCTCAGTGGATTCCACAATTAGAATTTAAACATGTTCGTGCACCGAGGCCGGGGACTCCAGCCCGGTGTAGTACACACGGTACCTGGGGTGAGAGATACAGCGATGCGGAGGTTTGGTTCTCCATGAAGGGAGAGGAGAAGGGACCTGCGGGTATAAGGGGTTTGAAGAAAGGAGAGTCCAGGAGGTTGGAGGATACAAGGGTAGAGATTCAAGCTTTTGAGGAGGACTTCATGATTGGGGTTGCGGCTAGGGAGAGGAGGGATCCTGTGGTCGATGGGACTAAGAAGAAGCTACCGGATGTGTTGACACACTTCAGGGGACTGCATTTGGAGGAGGATGTCATGAGTGTTGCCAGGAGTGCGTAATGGCGACAGCTAACCAGCTGCACTGCGCTAATGTTCGCAAACCATAGTCCATGAGCTCAGAAATGTCTCGGTGTCTAATTCCAGAGTGTACGTGTCTTCTATGGGATGTTGGCTGTTTTGCTGGTGCACGAGTTAGTAGAAGCGCACCGAGACTGGGATGTTTGGTTGTGCAGGTGAGTAAGCTGACCGACCTCGAAAGGACCGAACGGCAGGCGCGTCAACTTTGTTCCATGCTAAGAGTCACCTACAACATCACCTGGGACGGCTGCAACTCAGATAGACTCTGCAAAATTATGGGGAAAGTTGAGATGTTTGAGCACCTCATGTCAGTGGTTAGCGTGAACATACGCGTCATGGTTGCTGGACCCTGAGCGCATTTCATGGCTACGTCAACGCTTAATCCACAACCATATACACCGCGCCTACCCCAATATCCGCCGTACCAACAATTACCTATTCGCTCTCACATAACCAATTTAACGATACGTCGAGACGGCCACATTCAAAACTGCAAAAATGTCCTCCAACTCGCTCAACTACCCACTGCTCGCCATCCCGGCCTACTATGTCTTCTTTCTCGTCCCGCACATGTACGCTGGTAGCATCCTCTCCGCCAATGGTTACAAGGTCAACAACGCAAACCCCAAGGCTTCGTTGTCACCAGATGCCGTGAAGGGCAAGGTTCCCGATGCTGTGTAAGACTTGCCCGAGCTCGTTACTTCGAGGCCTCTCCTTCGAAATGTACTAACGCATGTGCAGCTTCCAGAAGTACCAGCGTGCCGAGAATGCCCAGTCCAACAACATTGAGCAACTGCCCCTCTTCGCTGTTGCCGTCATCGCCAGCATCATCGCCGAGCGCACCACCGCAACTGGAATCGGACGGGAGGTCGTCTCAGGCGATGCAACAGGCTTGACAACATTCGTATCAGCTTTCTTTGCAATCAGGGCGGCGTACGCTGTTTCATATGTGCAGATTGCCGACCACTCGAAGAGCTTTATCAGGAGCAGCTTTTGGGCAATTGGTTTCGGGCTATCTGCATACCAGATCTACAAGGCTGCTGCGATCCTGGGTTAGAAGTAGAGGGAGACAAAGTACTGCAATGAGCAGGAAGAGCATGACACATCATATTCGATTCAGGAACTCGATAACAATAATACAATACCAACCAATCGAATCTTCGAGAGCGCGCAATGAATACTTGCATGATATGAGTGTAATATGGTTGGAATGGCAACCAGAAGAAGGCCAGTATGTACTGGATTTACGACCAATTTCAACAGAGAAAAGGCGCGGCACGGAAAAGCCGTACACTTACTCTGTTGAGGGAGCTTCACCTACGTCATCGTACATATGCGCATGCGAGCAATTACTAGTTCAGGCAACGCGCAAAGCACTCAATTGATGATAGCGCAACCATTGAATTCATGATTTTCTTCAAGGTAGGCCCGACCTTGAATCGTAAGTGTGGGACCGTTATCTCGGTGGTTCACGTCGGCAGTATTCGCGTGTCAGGGTTCGCGTACCTCAGCCCCGAACTATTTCTTGTGGGATCCCAGCATCCCCGACGATTTGGTTCTGTATCCTCGCTCGTTCGCTTCCTGTCCTCGTCGATTCTTTTTGAGTGCTGAAGAGCTGGTGATAGAAAGAAAATGTGGTCGACAGCTCCCCTCAAGGCAGCCACATGGCTTGCATTCGCAACTTCGCTCAGCTCAGCTACACCGCAGTATGGTGCTCCTCCAAAGATCCAATTCAAGCACTGGCCCGAAGAAGCTGCGACAGCTCTCTCCAACATGATCACAAAGAACGCGAATCAGAGCAACTATGCAGTCTTCGACATGGACAATACCAGTTATCGCTATGATCTTGAAGAATCGCTCCTTCCCTTCCTTGAGAACCGTGGCATCCTGACACGCGACAACCTGGACCCCAGCCTCAAGTTGGTTGACTTCAAGGATACGGCCAACTTCACCGAATCGTTGTACAGCTACTACAACCGTCTATGTGAGATCGATGATTTCATCTGCTATCCCTGGGCGGCGCAGGTCTGGTCTGGCTTCACGCTGCGCGAACTTAAGACTTACGTGGATGAGCTTATGGCGTACAACTCAACAATCCCGACAAAGTACTGGGACGGCGATGAGGTGACATCCAGCAGCGTTAACCCGCCAAAGGTTTTCCGAGGCCAAGCCGAACTTTACAACGCTCTTATGGACAACGGCATCGCCGTCTATGTTATAAGCGCTGCCCATGAGGAGCTTGTACGCATGGTCGCCAGCGACCCGAAGTACGGATACAACGTCCCACCTCAGAACGTCATCGGCGTCACCACCGTTTTGAAGAACACTACTTCCGGTGCGCTCACGAACGCACGTAAGCAGATTACTGAAGGCACGTACAATGAGACGGCCAATCTCGATCTGGTCGTGACTCCGTACCTCTGGACCCCTGCCACATGGTTCGCCGGTAAATGGGCCGCTATTCTTACCTACATCGATCAATGGAAACGTCCTGTCTTGGCTGGTGGTGACACTCCCGGTAGCGATTCGTACATGCAGTTCCACGGCGTAGATGTAGCGAAGGGAGGTGTGCACCTGTGGATCAACCGTCGGGACGCGTACTTCGAGCAATTGCAGGAGGAAATTAGGAACAACACCCAGGCGCAGATTGCTAACGGTAGAGAAGTTACGGCAGACAAGAACTGGGTTGTTGTCACTCCTGAGGAGATCTTGTAAATAGATACGCTAGATTTTTGGAAATGTCAACATTCGGCGCGCAATGGCACGAGAACAATAGCTTAGCACAGGCGGGGCCCCAAGGAGACCAATTACGCTAGCTGACATAAGCACTCGGCTAAGCCCTGTTGCATCTTTCGCTCGCGTCCAGCCTTCTGCTAGTAATACCATCGACGCGTCAAACTCACCAAGCATCTTACCTATCATCTCATCAAGTATCTTGCCAAATGACACGCTAGCAGCGATTTTGTCAAGCACGCGTAAAAGCAAAGCGTGCGCGGGACTAAGGTACGTCATGTCTACTTTGCTTTCCAATCCATTCCTACCCAAATGATGATTCCAAACTATACTTGAACCGAGAATCTTCGATACTGCTCTTCCTTGGTGAGCCATGTGGTTTGCATTTGCTAGCCCGGGTGCATTGGGTTGTGGCAGGTTTCAGATTCGATGCGCGAGTGAAAGAGAGCACTGATGGTACACGAACATTGCACGAAAACAGCTGTCTCATGGTACTGTCAGTACTAACATCGCTCAAATAGCTTCAAAATATACCTTTCCGATATGAACTCAATTCAGTGGTATCTAAAACGCCGATCCAATGCAACTCGAATATCATCGAAAGAACCTGCCTCATCATGCTTCTCTTTCTATCAAAACCACATCGTTGTCCAATTTACTCTCCTCATCTTTCCGCACCTCTGTTGGTTGATCTTTCGGTACTGGCTCTTCGATCTTTTTCTCTGGTTCCTTGTACCACACTTCTTCCGGGTTTGCTAAAATACTCTTCTGAAGCGCCTCGCTCAACACCTGCATCACACTGGCTGCACTCGCATCCTTGACTCGACTCTTCCCCATGGTTGTGTAGTGCCGAACGAAGTTCCCATTGCAATTGGAGATATCGTGATTCTCGGTACCGGGTCGATTTAGCATATCCTCGCGGAAGCCCGGCCATCCTACTGCATCGTCACAGGGTATGCTAACGATCGTTTCAGGCGTCTTGTTGAAATCGTAACGAATGTATTCTGAGAAGGCGCGTTGTTCGTGGCTCCATTCGGTCTTCCACTTGGCGCAGCCTTTGTAGCGTTTCTCAGTCGTGCAGTCCCGCCACGCTTCGAGCAAATCCAGCGTCAAAGAAGAATTCTGCGCGATAACCAGACCTGTGTTGAGGACGCGCATCCCCTTGCTATCTATGCTGATAGAGCCTTCGTCGCGGAATTCTTCAGTATCCCACGGAAGGGCTATGGACGTGTGCTCTTTGATACCCCAGCGGTTGAACATCCACTCGAATGGAACGTCAAGGTGTGGGATTGTAACGTCGGCATCCATTACGACCACGAACTGATAACCAGGTATCAACTCGCGGAGAACATGGGGTAAGATCCAGGTGTTGTAATGATCCTTCATGTCCCGCGCCTGGTAGAATTTGTAGTCATATCCATGGACCATGGCATACAGGTAGTGATTCATGATGGAGTTGGACACCATACCGGCTCCGGACGTCTTAAGATTCTCCCAGTCTAAGCGTTCTGGATTGAGAAGCTCATTCTCCCCAGTTGGCACACGCGTGTCGATATCCACAATCAAGACTTTCTTGCCGAGGGGTCTTGTCCAGACTGTCTCGTTTCCACCTTTGTAGTATGTGCCTGACGGATCGACGTATGCAGAAGCACTTGGATCGTGTTTTATTCTGGCAAACAATGTGTTGATTGTGTCTCGAGTGGTAGGTTTCGATGATCTGCGCTGAGTGTTGGTGAACAGGTACCATCTCAGGATTTTGGGTCAACCTACAGGTATGGCGGGTTTGTGATTCTTTCAACCACTAATGCGCCTTGGTCGCGGAACACGTAGAACGACAGTGTCGCGACTACCAGGAAAGTGGCAATGGCCAGGACATATGAACGTTGTGTGGCGAGCATCTTTGGACGAGGGGTCGTTGGTGAAGCGACAGCGATCACGTTATCGCAAAATCTACGAGCCAACGGGCGGTTAAAGGAATGGAATGGCAGCAGGACGACGACGTTTGTACGGGGAGAGATGTAACTTTCTAATCAAATTGTGCCATTGCGCCGAGGTCTTGAGCAATGCGCGTCTCTGACTTCAAACCCTGTCGTTCAGCTGAAGGGTACATGGCCGATCCATGTGTTGTAGACTAGCTAAGCCTCCGTTACAGAAGATCTGGTTAACAGCACAGACCCCAAGCCCATTGCTTTTGGTATTCCTTGTGGTCAGTTTGGGTGAGGCTGCACGTTACATCCGACCTGCCCTTCCGACAGCAAACCTTAGTCGTAACAGACGATGCATGTCGCTCACTATCATCTTGCGAGTTTTCAATCTATAGGAGACAACCACTCCATGACAACAGGACGATCGCGGGACATTGGCACACACATCGGTCGATCGTCAGCCGCATGCCATTACGCGTAGCGACATTGCCATTGCTACGGCAGTTGCTGACGTCGGGTCTAAGATAGAAGCTGCTAGCGCAGTCGATAACGTTCTATCTCACCTCAACAAAGTACGTGGCTGGCTGTAGCTAAATAGAGATACGATACCCTTCAATGCCTTCTAACAATCCATGGTAATGCTTTTGTGAACATGAAACGATACCTTGTCGTCGCGACCTCAACGCACTTCTCATATGCGCAAGAAACCACAAATATGGTTGAGATAGCATTCCGCATAAACGTGGCGGCTTGTTGGACACAGAATGATTGCTTCGGTGCGCAGCGGAGATGAAGCCGCACCACAGAAGCGAAGAACCGCCGATCGGCGTATCCGGACGCTCCCGCCCACGCAGCCCTCTTCCTAAGCAGATTACAGGTCCATTATCGTATATAGATCGCGCCACGCATGTGTTAGAGTAGTCATGTACTAAAATGTTATCCTTCCAGCATCAATGTGGCGCGATTTATCACGCTCAGAAGCAGTTTTAGCGTCAACTTTTACGAAGCAGCGCATAACGACAAAAGGATGGTAATTTCGCTCGGTGGTATAGCATCTTTTCACATGTACATACGGAAGAAAATGCATCCAGAGAGCGACAAGATGTAAGCGCTAACGCGCAACGGTCGAATTTCTTCGTAAATACGGCCATCTTCCCAGGTACCTTCATGATGATCGTAATCACATACATTACCATACTTCCGCAAGAATTGCATTCTCGAGCCCTCACTACTGGCCTCCTGTTCTCCTGGCTTTATTCTATCGCTTCAGCAATGGACTTACACTAGTGTTGAGCTACAAAGCCACAAAAGTATAGGATAGACCAAGACCTCTTCACATACCCGTGCGCCTTTCACTGTTACTCGCCTTCTCATCCTTTCCGCGAGCCCCTTTATGCAGGGAAAAAACCTAGCGCCAGATTTACTGTAAAAAAACTGCGGTTAGAGAATCGAAGTTCGGCGACCATGTTGAAAGTCCTGCTTTGTACCCGGTATCACATTAGTGGTCGCTCTCTGTAACGTCTTCTCTTATATCCTCATCTTCTGCATTGATTGTCTCGCGCTTGTGTGCCAAGCATAAATCCTGGAACAGAACTTCCGCATGTGCTGTCTCAATTTCCCTTAACAATTGCCCAGACTCTGGTCGTTCTCCTGGAGACATCGCTAACCCTGCCATCATACAGTCACTCAAGGCATCAGAGTGCTTTGGGCTTGGTCTACATTGACGGAATGCGAGCGCTTGTTTGTCGTATCCAAGATCTTCGTCGGCCAAGATTGGGATTGGAGCACCGGGTTCGATATTGATTGGTATAGGTCTCCGCGGCGCTTTACTTGACCAGTAGTTCTTCTTGAGATTATCCGGCCAGGAATCCAAGTACGGTGCTTTGTCATTCTGCAGAAACCATTTCTTCTCGATGACTTTGGGGTCAACGAGCGGTCCAAAGTTATGAGCAAGTTCATGGATAATGGTTGCAGCACTCCATACATCACTTGCTGGACCCAGACGCTTATTCTCCCAAGTGACTTCCGGCGGCCAGTAGTGAGTTGTGCCAATATGCCCTCGAGGATTAGGATTTTTTGGATCATAGTAACCAGCCATTCCAAAGTCGCCTAGAACATCGATGTACAGAGTCAGTGTATGCCTTCACGCGCAATGCGTATATGGAGACTATTACCTAGCTTGACCTCAATGTCTGACCAGTCATCCTTGAAGCCTAAGTTCTTTACGAGTACGTTCTCGAACTTGACGTCTCGATGCACGATTGGCCTCCACTCATCACGACCTCTCCGATGCTGATCATCGATTCCTTCATGAAGAAACGCGATGGCGTTCATCAACTGGCTGTACACCGACCACATGAAGGCTTTTGAAAATACCATACGACCTTTGTCGGCAGCTAGTGCTCTTACTGTAAAAAGATCGCCTTCTGAGCAGTATTCAAGTAATATCGATGTCTTTTCCGCATATGGTTGTCTCTTGCAATATCCGAGATAACCTACGATGGATTTATGCGATGGTAAGTGTTGGAGAATGCGGGCTTCGTTGGGGTAAGGATGATTGTGTCGGACGACCTTTACCGCAATTATAGTTTTCGATGCTGTGTGAGTCCACTGCTCAACATACCCTTCCGAGCCTTCCTGAAGTCGTCGATTGAACTGGTGGTCTTCTGGAAAGCCGATGGCGGGATCGTTTCTGGGAGGCGATGTTACACGCAGCTTTCTTAATGGGTTGAACCGAGATGATATTGCGGCCATCGCGGTGATCGCTGAACGCGGGCGACACACTTCAGTCGAACGCTCATTTAAATTTTGCGACTCGTGGTGTGAAAAGAACCCCATTTCTTGTCTTTCTCCTGCGATAGTGAGAGAGTTGAGGTACAGGAGGCGCGCGGGCAACACGCATTGTTTTCTCAAGTGAGTAAGTAGACTAGAGCTTACCAAACCTAGGTATATCTTCAAATCTACAGAAGATAGTGAATGAAGGCTAGAATGGAACAAAACACTTGCCTTACCACCTTTTGTGAGATAATCACATTCACCATCATTGCTACCACAAAATGCGGAACAGTATGTTCATTCGCCCAATGGCTAGGTCGGCTCTCATGGTATCGATATCAATGAATGTAATTGGACTCGACATTGTTAGGTTGTTCGGCTCAGACTGCAGGTTTCGGTTCGTTAGAAGATCGTAGTCATATACAGAGCGTCGCAACTCCATGCTCCGTTACACCTCTGTCTTGACAATGCATCTTGGGTCTCTTAGGTCGTTTCGCGTGATAGTCGCGAAGTCAGACTGGTAGTGAGGCGAATCAGATTCCGTCCGTATGCACTCTCGCTCATGCTCGGTAAAAGATTGAAGTGCGTTGGCAGAGAGTCTGTCTATTGTAGCTGGCGGTAACCTTGAAAGTGTGCGGGATGAATTCAAGGTAGACCTGAGCATACTATAAAGATAGAAACGACCAACGCCCAACTGGGTGATCAGGTCTTGCGCAGGTCCAACCGGCAATAGACCTCAAATGTTGTTGTGCTAGTCCAGGGATGTATGAAGACATCTTTCGTGCTACTCGAATATTATGGAGGGGTAAAGTGTGTTAATCAAGGCTTACAGCTTATTGTTCCAAGCTTCCTCGCGGGCGCACCCTAAGCCTAAGGCAGGAATTAGGACGCAGACTAAGGAAGTAGCGGGATGAGAGACACGGCTCGTTGAGCCAACCACGCGTCTCCCAGCCATCTCGATTATGTCATCAGCGCCCAAACATCCGCACTCGCATTCGTTCTCGAACCGCATGTCCCTCATTGCGCCCAGCCAGCCAACCCGCATTTTCCATCCACTCACAGACACGTCAAGTTCATCTCGCGTAAATGCCTAGACTCGGCTCGAAGAAGAGTCGCTCAGGATGCACACAGTGTAAAGCAAGACGCGTGAAGGTAGCTTACCCTCAACCTTCGCCACGTCATCCCATACTGACACAGATATAGTGTGATGAGAGTAGACCATGTGGCGCGTGTACTAGATATCGAGTCGAGTGCAGTCTTCTAGGAGGTGCAAGCCAAAGTCCACCCCGTTCGGATACTACTTCTCCACGTAACACTCAAGCGCATGCACCCGATGATCCGCTCACTACCAACGCGTCACCACCTACAAATGGGAGTGCTGCAAGTCCACTAGGCTCCGGCACAATCCAGGAAGAATGTGTATCCTCGGTGCCCGGAAGTATTTCAACGACAGAATGGATGCAAGATCTGGAGTTAACGCATCATTACACTGCGCATGCGTACCAAACTATGCCTGGCACTGAGCACGTCAAACAGATCTGGGGCTTCGCTGTCCCACAAGAAGCATTCAAGTATCCTTTTCTCTTACACAGCATACTGGCCTTTTCTGCGAATCATCTTGCGTACATCAACCCTTCTAAGGCGGCACACTTTCGCATTGCTGCTTCTGCACATCAAAGTGCAGCATTGACAAGCCTTAACCACGCTGTTGCAAACATCGGCCATCTAAACTGCCATGCCATTTTTGCCGCAGCTTCAATGACTGTCATCAATGCATTTGCCGACGCACGAGCGTACAACTTGGATGTTCTAGTTGAAACCTTCCAATTAGTACGCGGAATGGATTATGTACTAAACAATGTCACCGACATGTTGAAGAAGGGCCCCTTCGCAGCCATTGTCCTACCTGTCGAAGAGACACCCAAGCCGCCGTCCCTGTTGTCTGCCTTTCTTGTGGAAATTCAAGCGCTGAGTCGTCCCACTACCGCAGAATCATCACCAGACGATCTAGCTGCTGCTAGAGCGGCTGAGGTACTCCGGAATGGCCTTCAATACGCGATGAATTCCTCCACTCATCCAGCCTTGCGGGCAGCAATGATATGGCCGATCAGCGTCACACCAGAGTTTATCGAAGCGCTCAAGTCAAGAACACACCCAGGGGTCAGGGCCATTTTGAAGCACTATTGCAAGCTTCTGGAGTATGCAAGTCTTGACTTCTGGTTCTTCACGGGATGGAGAGGAATTTCGCAGCACTTATGATGTCTCATACAAAACCGCCTTTCTGATGCATTCTAAAATTCGACAGTAATCCCGTTCAACGGCTAGGCACCGTTTTTGCCTTATTCGGGTATCGGTCTACGAATAACCCAGACTTCATGCATGAGCAGACGACTTCCAACTCAAGGATATTGAACCTTCCGGTAGTTAAATGTTAGACACCAACGCCCCTGCTACTATGAAGCAGAGGATCGGTAGACGAACGCTGGTTTGAGGCCTTAATCGGGCTCTGATCAGACAAACGCCACTCGAAAGACTAAGAACCTCATCACGAACAATTCGTCAACGGTGAATATTGAGTCAAACACGATACAAAGGGGCTGTAAACATCTGCGTCTGAGTAGTGGCTATCCGGTGACTAAGATAGGCCGAACAACTGGCTGAAGCATCACACGAATCAACGCCATTGGATCAACCATGTGTATCAGGGACGACTTCATATTCGTTTCTAAGGCCTCATCATGGCTAACCTCCCAACGGACATGATTGCAATCACATACGACCTGTCGCATGATTCTATCCTGATACTGTTGATCATAGTGCCGTTCCCCATGCTGTTGACCTCAACTCAAACTCAGAGATCTCTGAAACCATCTCAGCCGCCTTCTGTCCATGGCACTGTCCGACAATCCATAGAGAAGTATCAATTCCCGAGCTGACTCCTCCAGCTGTTATGATGCGCACACCAGCATCTGTAGTTCCAGCATCAGACCATCGTTGCCTAACGACGGTGACTTTTGAATCCCCGCCCGCCGCCTCGTCGGCGAGCTTCTTCTGCAAGTCGAGAGACAAGTGGTGTGTCGTTACGATGCGACCAGCAAGTACTCCGGAAGCTGCGAGGATGAGACCTCCAGTGCACACCGACTGTAGAAACCTCTTTCCCGTTTCTTTTCTTGGCTTCAGAGTCACAAATTTCCGGATCAGTTCACCTAGCTCTTTCCCATCTTTACTACTGATGAATCTTTTGATGGTTTCATCATGAGCACCTGGAATGACGAGAATGTCATAGTCTTCAATACGATTGGAGACGTCCGCAAAAGTAGTGTTGGGGACGTAAACCATAGCGCTGGAGGCAGACGTGACGGGGCTCGTGTGGGCGAAAGAAGTGACTGAGAAGGGAGCCGGCTTGCTTCTATCCATATCATGATGGTGGCAATAAATCTCAGCCGGTCCTGAGAAATCTAGGAGGTCGGCATCCTTGTAAATGTAAATTGCGACTTTGAACTGCGACATGGTTGTTCTTGGTAGATGGTATACGTGTAATTAGGTGCGGAAAGCTGAAGTGATTTGGTTGTGCAGCTGTATATTGATGGCAAGCGCAGTTATAATTGATCGCGTATTGTACAGTTGGAACGGAGCGGATGTGAGTTGTTGTCCGGCTTCCGCGATCACGTAACGCGGCAACCGGCAAGCCGCTAGACTTATAACACTAGAATACATTCGTTGACTACACTAGTCTGTGCTTTTTGTGCAAAAACCCATCCAGGATTATTTCCATAGGGTCAGATGACGGTTGTCAGCCCTTGGTGCGCATGCTGATGACGGATGCAGCCGATATATCGGTCGCATGAGTACGGTAATGCGTATGACAGCATGACATGATGAATCCGCTATGAGCAATCATCTCGAAGAGAACATACCTTATAAGATGATCAATGAATGGAAGACTTTGTCACCAACGAGAACGAACGCGCCTGTAATGTCTCAAGAATACTGTGGCGTATGTCCCAAGCCCAGTACCGAAACATGCGCAAACTGCTTGAACATGCCTTATTGTTCTCGGGTCTGTCGCAAAAAAGATGCGGAAAATCATGCACCGCTTTGTAGCACTTTGTTGGGCAATCACACGAGCTTTCGACCATCTCCATCTCACTACCGCTGTATCTTCTTTCCGGCGGACGTAACAGAGCCGCGCTTTGTCTGGCTGAAGTATGACGGACCGCCAGGCCAGCTGGAAACTGATCGCGAGTATCTGAGGAGTTATGTAACTGGTGTGCCTTCTGGTGGCGACGCCGCCTTTGACTGTTTTCGTGAAGGCAACCGACAACTGCGCAACAGGATCGTTGTGCACCATGACAGCAATTCTCTTGGTAATAAGCAGCCATATAACGAATGTGTGATGGAACTGCTAGGTAGAGTCGCCGGTGAGCACTGGAGAGGGCCACTGTTGGCTCAATCCTACAAATATCGCATCGATGATGACCTAGAAGCTTGGGTTACTGAGGATCGGCCCAGGGGGAGCAAACCGTTGATCCCAATAGATTTGGATACTACGTCTTTGGCACCTGTCCTCTCTTTCTTGAATTGGAGATCAATATCGGCGGACGACTATGGTTTGAATACTGATGCAGGTACAATGACGCCCAGTAAAGCTTTTCCAAGGACACCTCCAAAAAAAGCTTCACCAAAGAGTAAAAACCGGAACCCCGCCCAAGCGACACAGATCAAGGATGAATATGATGGCGAAACTGAAGTCTGCTGGAACATGACATTTTCAGAAGGATGGGCGAAGATGTGATTCAAACATCGGTCAGGTAGAATACCATGCTTGTTCGGATTTTTGAGCATGGATTGCAGATACGGGCAGTGACAAGGCCCACGACCAAGACTCGACATTGACTTACTGTCAGGTACTGTCTCATGAAAGCACATAGAGTTCATATAATCAAGAGGGTATCCCAGCGTTTTGTCTAGTGGGTGTCTTGTGGTAGACTGACATTTATACTCTCAGTACTCAAGTGTTGAAACTGCTGATAAGATCAGCCATGCGCACGAACACTGAGCTGCTGTTGGAAGTTTTCTAGTGGTGGTATGTATAGCCACACTCCTGCATTAGCCGTGCCCTTGAACTGTGATGTCTTGGCTCCGAACAGATAGCGGAGCCAGGAAGCTGGTACCAATATCTCGGCGCAGGTTATCGTTCTAAATGTTTCTTGACCAGTAGAATGGGTCGATAAGCCGTAAAATCTATTCTACGTAGAGCTCGCGGGCCCAGAATTTCCTGGTTGATCAGCATGGGTATGCAGTTGCAAGATGCCCTGGTCTAGCATCCAAGCAGACGGGACACTTGACATCTAGCTCTTGGAAAAATAGAGATGTATCCGCGAGAGTGGTTCTAGTACACTCGTAGATATGGGGTCGACCTGTATCGTCTCTGAATGGTTCCTATCGTTTCAGTGATGCATCGGCTCAGGTGATTATACTCCTCACCCATCTCACATTTGAATATTCTTGAGCCGATGCTTGCCCTATGCCCTTATCATCAGTCTCATCTTAGCACACGCGATGGCAGCAAGCGCCCAGACGCGGTGCCTTGCCAGCCAAGCATCGACACATACGCGACGAAGCACTCAGAAATCGTACTCCTCCACACCAACATGAGCCACATTACCCCACAGCGTTCCATTACCCAAATTAGTCCAATAGTATGTACATATTCCGAAGAAAGTGATGATACCAGGGCTTGGCACGAAGAGCCGGTCAACCGACCCATGATCGGCCAAGACCCGACGAGACGGAACTCGGAACGTGAATTTGCTTGTAACCTTCCAGATCGTGCAATAGCTGCCAGCGCCGCCAAATACTCCAAGGCTTGAGCTTTGATGTTCGAGCTCTCTGGGGAGGTAAGCGTGGACTATCTTCGGGCGTACCGTCGCGACCTAGACTCACATATAGCGAATCAACGTTCATGGACATGAGTGGCTTATCCTTGTGATAGGCTGCAGGAGTTGGCAACGGGAATTGTGCGAAAGTACGGTCGCATTCCGAAGTATTGGTAACAGAATCGTTATCTCTTGGTTGCCACACAAGATGATGTGCAAATACCAAGGGGCGGGGTTGGATGTATAAGATGCCCTTGTTGCGCGCAATGTAGTAGACTGACTGCTCGATTACTGTTCTACCGTCGACCTGGAGTTAGAGGAAGTCCCATCCTTATCACTTTCTTGATACCCTGCCAACCATGGGCGAAGTCGAAGGAATGAAGCACGGTGAAGCTGTTCGCACCTCGAGCCCGAACAGCTCCCCGTCGGAAGACATCATGCCGCGACCCACTGTTGCTGAAGAGGAGAAGAAGACATTTGTCCAGAGAGTTATGACGCCAGGTTCGGTATGGCAAATCATCATCGCCGCTCTTTTGGCTATCGCCATCGGTCTAGCCGTTACCACCACCGTAGACGAGGTGCCAGCCGCAGCCATCACCATTCTTGCGATCCCGGGTAACCTCTGGTTACGCGCTTTGAGGGCAGTCGGTATGTCATGATAGAGCATCTCCAAATGCATATGCTAATAAGCTCAGTCCTTCCCATGATTGTCACTGCCATGATTCTGGCTATTCAGCGTCTGCGTAACATGACACAAGGAGGTGGTGCAGCCGGTAAACTCGCTCGCTGGACGATTGGCTACTATGTGATTACTACCGTCATCGCTGTCGCCCACTCCGCCCTCCTGGTTGGGCTGGTATGGAGCAAATTAATGAATCCAGTCTCAGGCAGTGCCTTGGATCTAGACGAGGACAACCAGGAACTTGTGGACGAGAGAAAAGAAACTGCTATTCACGATGTCGTCGAGGACATGTTCTTCTCGCTGGTCCCACAAAACGTCGTCAACGCGCTAGCCACCGATGCCCTTCTCTCGGTGTTAGTCATGGCAGTCGTCCTGGGCTATGTCATCAAACCAGGAGGCGCGATCCACCGAGCAGTCGAAGAAGTTGAGGTTATTGTCCTCAAGATCATCACGGTCCTTATCCACCTTGCGCCAATCGGAGTGTTCTTTCTGATCATGCCAAACCTCTTCCGCCTCGACATCGCTGAGATTGGCGCGAACCTGGGCATACTCATCGGAGGAACACTAGTCGGCATGTTTATCCATCTGTTTATCATAATTCCCATCATCTTTTTCGCATTCACCAGGAGCAACCCTTATACGTTCTGGATGAAGATGAGTCCTGCTTGGATCACCGCTTGGGGTACCGCATCAAGCGCTGCGACCTTGCCGGTCACCATCCGTTGCGTGTTGAAACAGGGAATACCCATCACAGGTCAGTTCGCGTGATCGAATCTCTGTTGCCAATTCCACTGACCCTTGATAGTAACGAAATTTGCCGTGCCTCTCGGTTGTTTGATTAACATGGACGGAACTGCTATCTACTTTCCAATCGTGGTTGTGTTTCTGGCTGCCACTCAAGGTATTACGTTGAATGCAGCTGATTACATCATCATCATCTTGCTCTCGACCCTTGCGTCGATCGGAACGACGCCTATTCCAAGTTCAAGTCTGGTCCTGGTGGTTATGATTGCTTCCAGTGTTGACATCCCTATCACTGGAATGTACGCCGTTGTCATCGCCATCGATTGGTTCCTTGATCGCTTCCGGACAGCAATGAACGTCAGTTGCGATACTTTTGCCGCCAAAGTCGTTACGCACATAACGGGTATTAAGGACGAAGATGGACAGTCGTATGATGAGGCCGAGAACGTCGATCCTAATTCGCTCGGACGAACAGACGAATCAAAAGTCTAGATGTTCTCTCTCAGGTCCAACCTAAGGGGATTTAAGTTTCCTGTTTTGTGTCACAGGAACCGAATTTATAATGCCATACTCTTTCATTCATGATCAATCGTTTCTCCCTTTTGGTGACGCCAGAATTCTGTTATCGTGTGAGACAAGCCCTACAGCATCGTCCGTTGCCGAATTGTATCTCGCGTGAGACAACCGTGTCGCTGAACCAGTGTGTTGAGAGAGAGTCATGGAGGTGCGCTGCGTGATACCTAGGTAAGTCAATGCCGAATTGTGCGATGCAGACGCTCTCGAAGAATACAGGATGACGAAGGAAGACTCAAAAGCAAAGAGGATGTAACATATAGACAGAGTGGTATCCCTTAAGTACACCAAAAGTGTGCTATTGCTGCCGATGTACATGTAGTAGAAGGGTATCAGGCGTGAGCGATAACGCGTCAACCTCCAGATCGACGCAGATGATTTCCTCACTTTTTCCCGCGTCTCGGTCTTGGCTAATCAGCCACCCCTCTACTCTCATCGTTGCACCACGAAAGGAAGACACGGCCGAGCAACGAAAATGTCCTTGATGCAATGCAATACAAACCCGGTGCGAGCTTTTTGAGTATGATCGAAGCCATCCACCAGAAACACTAGCATAGGCGCCCGCGTTCGATGATGTCATTCCGACCCAGGAAGCACGCTGTCGATAGCGTTGTGACCCCTTTCCCATTCACCTCTCGTAGTGTTGTCTTCTTCCAAGCAGCTTACATGGAACAGGACGGCAAAACAGAATCACATGATTTGTCCTGTCACCCGAGGAGTCGCGTTGTCAGGCACAACGGATTGCAATACTGAATCTCGCGGTGCAGCATCCTGGCTGCTGATCGGCGTCGCATGCTACTTGCCCATAGTCCCGCTGTATTGCATCCAATTCTCCGTTTTGAGCAATATACTTCTAGAAGGCTCAGTTCGGTCTGCGCGTTACAACCTCGCCGCTGCACGCATACATATGCACTCATAAGAGCGTTTGTACATCGTCCATGAAAGCTCTGATACTATAGGTAACCGAAGACATTTAAATTGATGAAAAACGCCACGGAAGGCAAAGCTCGATAGAATTCTTAAGTCCAAGGTCACAAACACGACAAGGCTATTCCCAATATAAGAGACAAACTCACCGGCAAGCGAACCTCCGGCTTCAAAATCGACTAGGTCATGGTTAGCTGCCATTTTACGTGGACCATGCTTTGGCACGTGGTGCCCGGGTCAAGATGGGCACATTAAATTGCACAGTAGCTGCAGGCCCGTTATTCCAGGTACTCGGTTTCCCATAGCTTTTGTATGTCTCTCCCGGCTTTAAATGTTCTGGAAGAGCTGGTTCACGTTACGGAAGCTTGACCCAGTCCGTTTGCACCAATCGACATGCGGATCGGACACTTGGCGAGTGCGATCACAATATACCGCGGGGAAGACTAACTTTGGATGCAAGGCGATCTCGCGAGACGTCTCTCCGTGTCCGAAATGGTATAGCGTGGAAATGCTCATGAACCGAAAACGTACATATGTTTGCAATGCGCGTATACTGTATAGTGCTGTACGCAAGAAAAAGCCTATTCAACATGCTCTACAGTCTTGCCTCGCTCCTACTGCTGACTACTAGCACCTCGGCTGCAGTAGTGAGCAGAAAAGTACCTGCTGGCTTTGTCACAACCAAAGGCAATGTCTTCAAGCTAGATGGAAAAGACTTCTACTTCGCCGGCAGCAATGCCTACTACTTTCCCTTCAACGACGTCAGTGTAAATCATCTCGACTTCGCTACACCTACTGACAATCAATAGCTTCAATCGGATGTAGAAGCTGGCCTCGGTGCAGCTAAGAAGGCGGGCTTGAATGTCTTCAGGACGTGGGGTTTCAACGACCGAAACAGGACAACTCTCGCAAACGGACTACCCCAGTACGGTGGTGAAGGTGCTGGTCCCAGTCCAAACGTCCTGCAATGGTGGAACAACGGCACACAAGAGATCAACCTAGAGCCGTTCGATAAAGTCGTCAAGGCTGCGGAAAAGACAGGAATGAAGCTTATCGTTGCTTTGACTAACAACTGGGCCGACTATGGTGGCATGGATGTATACACGATCAATCTGGGCTACAAGTACCATGACGATGTAAGTTAGGAAGTCTCAACGGGTTGATTGTGCACTGACATATCCTTCACTAGTTTTACCATGTTCCAGCCATAAAAAAGGCGTACAAGAAGTACGTAAAGGCAATCGTCAAGCGTTACGCGAAGTCCTCAGCTATCATGGCGTGGGAATTGGCGAATGAACCCAGATGCGGTGCCGATGGAGTGCGCAACCTACCCCGTAGTGAGAATTGCACTCCCGAGATAATCACGGAATGGATCGATGAGATGAGCACATACGTCAAGTCGCTTGACAAAGACCATCTCGTTACATGGGGTGGTGAGGGAGGTTTTAACAGACCCAGCGATGACGGCTTTTACAACGGATTCGATGGTGGAGACTATGACAAAGAATTGGCGCTCAAGAACGTCGATTTTGGTACCTTCCACACTTATCCCGATTGTACGTATATCCCTTCGAGGCGAAGCAGTATTTCTTCATGTTGCGCGCTCACTAACTACTATCAAAAACAGGGTGGTCAAAGAGCGTCGAGTGGGCTAACCAGTGGATCATCGATCACGCCTCAGCCTCTCGTACCGTCGGAAAGCCAGTGGTACATGAAGAGTACGGTTGGTTGACTGACGATAAAAGGCAAGAATATTTAAGCAAGACTTCGAATGTCACTAGACTCGAAGCCATTGGACTATGGCAAGCTACCAGTCTGAAGGAGAAGATGCCAGACATGTACTGGCAATTTGGTTATTCAGGCTTCTCGTACGGAAGGAATCACGACGACGGATTCACAATATACCTGGACGATGCTGAGGCTAAACAATTCGTTTACGAGCACGCGAAGAAGGTCAATGCTCTCAACAAGAAGTGAGACGTTCACTTGTCTGGTTTGTCTTACAACACCTTTAGAGCAAACATTCGCTGTTATATATATATACGCCCCAAGGTTTTCCTCTCAAAACCAACACCGTCTTATTTGGCACCTTGTCCGACATGAACGACTTCTTTGTCGATACTGATTCAGTCTATTATACAATCTTGACCCAGTATATAATCGCATTCTTTCACGTCCGTGTCACGTCACTTTCTCTTATAGACGACATTGTAAAGAACCTTGAGACGCAACACGAGACCGCTCTTTGACCACATCAAGGAGTGCTCAGCCCTGTATACTTTCACACTCTCTTCTGTTCAACAGTGCTGGGTGAATTTGCTTGCTTTTCCCTAAAAAACCAATTCAAACTTGACCCCCGGTCTAGTCACTTATTAACAAGCCCCGAAAAGCACCAGCTCGGTGGCTCAACCTTTTTATTGCACGATCATGTGCGGCTTTACTATAATCCATCACACAGTGTGTGGCCACAAGCATGTTTCTACCACTGTGGAGCATACGCTACTTTGCGGCTGGGCAACGGACAGAAATCTTCAACAAGGCATCGATTGTGCTCCGGCACCATGCAAGTTCTCGAACGATACTGCGACATGTATCGTGGCGACAAGTCGGCTTTTCAACCACTGCGAAGACTGCCGCGCCGAGCTCGACATCGAACCGCGAGGGGAAGACGAGGGTGTCCTCCAGAAGTACGCGCACGTCAAAAAAGATGCCGTAGGTCTGTATGACCAAGCTGAATATCAAGACTTGGAAAACCTCCGCAACTACCTAAGAGAAAGAGAGAAACGAGGGCTCAAGCTGCAGGAGGAGTTCGATGCCTATGTTGACACTCAGCCCGGCGGTGTGCCGCATCCGCAATTACGAGACTTCTTCTCCCAGTTACAACCGGCCGGCTATCATGGGCTTTATTTAGACAAGCTCCGGGCTTGTATTCAATGGTTATCTGTACTAGAGCAGTTGGCGACACAAAAAGCGCCGAACAAACTCTTCACAGATACAGTGCTCTGGGTGTTTGGCCAAGCTGAAAGCGTTTCACTGGTGCTAGACCGCCTGAGTGATGTACTCGCTTGTCTTCGTCAGTTTGAGCCTTCAAAGCCGAAGACAACGCCTGAGAAAGCCGATCAGTCATCTCAAAAGATCAGCATCGAACTTAATGGTAGTGAGACACAAATAGATTACCTCGTCTATTTGTTGATACTACAGCATCGGGGATGTGGTCTGGGATTGACAAACCCGGACTTCGCACACTTCTTCAACCCCGATTTTCAGCCATCCTTCAACAGGCTCTTGACATTTCGCATCCGCGAGGCAGCGAGGCAGATCCGCATTGACAAGCCAATCCCGAGAAGCATACAAAAGCACAAACGGTACAAAGCCGGTACAATGAACATGCGGAACTTGGGATATAAACTTTACAAAGGGTTACTAGCAGATGAGCCGGCTTCCAATTGCAAGGCGGAGCATATCAAGATCCCATACGTGGATCATGCTGAGCGTATTGACATTGAAGATGAGCATGGAAATAAACTTATTTGGGATGCAAACGGCACATCGAAACTCATGCTGGCAAGGTCTGCACCAGAACCTTTTCAGCCGATCGAACAGAATCAGGTTGAGGAGCAACCCGAGACACAGCAAGGAGGATATGGCTTTTCATACTCCAACTCTGACTCTGATACCGAACCCGAAGTCCGTAGAGCACCGGAGGAACCTGACCTGTCAATAGCAGGCGGAGTTCTGAATGCAAGAGTGGGTAGGACTGAGCAGCTAGAAGACCGAGCCACGGAGGACAGTGATGACTCTCCGGCGTTGGAACGAGCATGACGTGCCTTTCTCGCCGCAACGTACACGAGCACCTCTCTCGTTTGTTGATCCGAACCGGAAGATCAAGGCCCTACGTACGCGCCGATTGAAGGAAGATACGGTATCGCGTTCAGCCAGTCTGGAGGTTCATTTTACGGTAGCAGAAGACCATGCAAACGAAGATGGGTTATCCAACGGAAGTGGAACCGGTGCCAAGCGAAAGCATGAAGGCACACAGAATTCCAATGGTCGGACCGGTGGTTTCGACTTTACAGTAGCATCACCTGGCATGGACTCCTCGTCATCTCTTTCTAGTCTTTCGGGTCCAGCCTCGCCAGAGCTTCCATCGTCGCCACCGCCGAACAAACCCTCCAGATAGTGTTTCCATTCTTTTTCTATCGTGTGTACGTAGAGTAATAGATAATTCGGCCTTTCTTTTGGGTCAAGACGTGAAGTGCCTCGACAGAAGCATGAGATCAGTTTTGTTGAGATTAGCTGGCCAATTACACGAAGTAATTAAACAGAAATGCAAGGCTAAGAGAAAACACATATGCTTTTATGGGGTATCAAAACGTCCTACTACACCATCAAAGGACCAACTGTATGTATTAAGTGTGAGTCTGTATGCTCCACGTCGAGATGTGTACGTAAGAGCGGCTCGTAAAGGAGGCTTAGACTATCGCCAAAGGAGCTTATTCGGAGTCGTCGCCTGCGCTGTCGCTGCTCTTATCGCCGTTATCGTCACCGTCGTCTTCCGAGTCGGCTTGAACGTCGTCATCATCATCGTTGTCATCGTCGTCATTGTCATCGCCGCCTTCTTCTTCACTATCATCTTCGAGCACAACTTTCTGTTGTGGCACAGGTTTGGCTGCCGCCCGTCGGCTCGGTCGACCCGTAGCTGTGACCTCGCTCGCTTTGCCCCATGCGGCCTCACCCTCCTTGATAGCCTCGAGGTCCTTTGCAAACTCTCTCTGCTCCTTGATCTTAGCAGCCTTCTCAACAGAGTATTTGCCATCCATGCCCACGTCTTTCAGCCAGCCCTTTAGCACGCGGATCTTGTCTTTCGAGGTGTCGCACTGGGAGAGCTCAGGATCTCGCGACCAGACTTTGCGTATGCCACACTTGACGAGCCAGCCTTGAAGCCGCTTGACTTCAGCAGTGTCGGGGTCGTCTTCAGCCTTCGCTTTTGGCGCGGCTTTTGGCTTTGTGGGAGCCTTTTCCTTCTTGCCCTTGGCTGCAGGGGCTCTCTTCTTTCTCTTTGGCTCTTCATCTATGACGCTAGACAGCTCACTGTCGGATACGTCGCCTTTTGTGTCTGTCTTCTTCGCTGGCTCGGTTTTGGCGTCGCTGTCGTCCTCAGCAGTGGTGGGTTTCGAAGTTGGCTCTGGCGCATCCTCGTCGTCGGAGTCTTCTGCCACTACCTTGTTCCGTCGACGTATTGGCTTCTTAGTTGGTTCGCTCTCAGCGTCGGATATCTCGGCGGGCGGTTCTGAGAGTTCAGCCTCGGATTCTTCAGACTCTGTCTTCGCGCGCTTCTTGGGCTTCTTGGCAGGTGCCGCAGCCTTGCGCTTGACGCCTCGGGCGTTCTCGGTCACAGCCTTTGTCTTCTTTTCCGCGGGCTTTGCTTTGGGCTTCGGGGCGGCCTTTTTGGGGGTAGGCTCTGGCGAAGGCTCGTCGTTGCAGAATTTCTCCTAGACGGTCTTAGATGCTTGTTGGAAACATGGCCTGTTTGAATCATACCACTGCGTCGACGATTGTTTTCTGTGACTTTTCTTTCCAAGCCGAGTCCGTCTTGAAGAAGCCGTCGTCTAGGCCTAGCTCCTTCTCAGCGCGCGCTCGAACGCGCTTCACAGTCAGATCATCGCTCTTTCCAGATTTGTGTATGGCGATGACAATGTCGCGTAGTCTGTTGGTGATGGTCGCCTCTGAGGGCCTGTCTGCTTCCGAGTCCGACATGGTGCGCAGCGCGTTGGTGGTGTTGATGATCGACGGCCAGTACGCGATAGACGCGGCGACGGGCAACGGGCAATGGCGTCGGCGGTTAGGGCAGGCACGACTCCGGTAGCGCACACGTGACTCCGCGGAGACCACCCAATTGCGTCAAGTGGCATGAAAGGCTGCGGGGGATTTATCTAAGACAGCGACGGGTGATGTGCCAGTTCTGCATCAGATTCTCCATGCTATTCACATCAAGTGCATATGGATATCGGCAATGCGCATGTCCATAGTTAATGCTGGGCTCCGCCCTTTGGTACTGCGTTGGTCTGTGAGCGCCCCGCGTCCGTTGGGCAGCTCCACGACCGACGTCACATTTATCGCAAGTTTCACACGGACACCGCCAGCTTCATTCAGCATTTTCCAACATCGCCTACACCTGTCAGCGAACAAGCTGCATGCCGCCAGTCCCGACGCCCATTAGCCCCAAACTTCTCTAACTTTAGCATCTGCCCGGGCTGCAGCTGTGCCCTGTCTTGTGCCAACTCTGGACGCTTGAGCTCGGAACCTGCGAGAACCCACCTCCACCTTCGAGCGGGCCTTGATCTATTATCATTCTTTCGTCACCCAAGCACCACAATTAAAATCACTGATCCCTCCCCGCTCGCGCCAAAGGAACCATCCCACACCGCCTGCTCGCCGTCTGCAGACACGTTGCGGACGTGATTGCTGACCTCGCCAAATACCCCTACGCCGCAGATAAATTTCCCGCTTCACCAGGTGCACGACGCAACCACCCTCACCACCCCACTACCCGACCAAGACCCCGGCAATCACTACCAAAATGCCTGAGGAACCCACAAAACTCAAGCAGCCCGAGTCGTCCGAGGGGCGCCTGCTGCTCGTGTCAAATCGACTGCCCATTACCATCAAGCGCTCCGATGAGGGCAAGTACGACATGTCCATGTCCTCAGGAGGACTGGTCAGCGGTTTGAGTGGACTTTCCAAGACCACCACCTTCCAGTGGTATGGCTGGCCCGGACTCGAAGTCCCAGAGGACGAGACGCAGACCTTGAACGACCAGCTCAAGGAGAAGTACAACGCAGTACCCGTCATGCTCGACGATGAACTCGCGGATAGGCATTATAACGGCTTCTCGAGTGAGATCATCCAGACACATTCATGTTGTTGCCATTACTGACAGCATTGCAGACGAGATCATGTGGCCGCTCTTCCACTACCACCCTGGTGAGATTACCTTCGACGAGTCTGCTTGGGACGCATACACCGAGGCCAACCGCCTGTTCGCAAAGGCCGTCGCAAAGGATGTACAAGACAACGACATGGTATGGGTACACGACTACCACCTGATGCTCATGCCTGCTATGCTCCGTGAAGAGCTCGGCAACACCAAGCAAAATGTCAAGATTGGCTTCTTCCTGCACACACCCTTCCCCAGTTCCGAAATCTACCGAATCCTTCCTGTCCGTAACGAGATTCTACTCGGTGTTCTTCATTGCGACCTTATCGGTTTCCATACATACGATTATGCTCGTCACTTCCTGAGCAGTTGCTCGCGCATTCTGGGACTCGCGACAACACCAAACGGAGTCGAGTTCCAAGGCAAGGTCGTCACGGTCGGCGCATTCCCCATTGGTATTGATCCCGAGAAGTTCGACGAGGGTCTTCAGAAGCCCAAGGTACAAGAGCGGATAGCAGCCCTCGAGAAGAAGTTCCAAGGAGTGAAGCTCATTGTTGGTGTTGACCGTCTCGACTACATCAAGGGTGTACCGCAGAAGCTACACGCTCTCGAGGTCTTCCTTACCGAGCACCCCGAGTGGATCGGCAAGGTTGTGCTTGTTCAAGTCGCCGTTCCTTCTCGGCAAGATGTCGAGGAGTACCAGAACCTGCGCGCAGTCGTAAACGAGCTTGTCGGACGTATCAACGGCAAATTCGGCACCATCGAGTTCATGCCTATCCATTTCATGCACAAGTCAGTCTCCTTCGACGAGCTTATCGCGCTCTACGCTGTCTCAGATGTCTGCCTCGTATCATCAACACGCGATGGTATGAACCTGGTGTCCTACGAGTACATTGCGACGCAAGAGAAACGACATGGTGTCATGATCCTGTCAGAGTTCACGGGTGCTGCACAGAGTCTGAACGGCAGTCTTATTGTCAACCCATGGAACACCGAGGAGCTGGCAGATGCAATTCACGACGCAGTTACCATGGGCGATGAACAGCGCAGCCTCAACTACCAGAAGCTCTCAAAATACGTCCGTAAATACACTAGGTGAGTACCCATGATTGTATTGGGAGAACCGCAGTCTAACATTTTATAGTGCCTGGTGGGGAGAGTCGTTCGTCACAGAGCTTAGAAGGATCTCGGAGACCCCAGACCGCAAGGTGCACTTCGCCAATGTCACTGTTGCAGGCGCTGATGACGCGGCAAAGACCGCTGGTGAGACGAGCTCAGAGCTACCAATCCGTGAGGAAACCAGCAACAAGGACAAGGAGTCAGATCCTGCTGCTGCTGTCTAGGCTCATGAGACTAGCTGTGGCGCACAGACCCAATAGGTCTTGTACCCTTGGGCGGCACTCCTGATGTTTACGATGAACGATTTCATGTGACGGAAGTTCGGCGTGATGGATGTCTTTGGGTTAGACGATTGATGATGGATTCTTTCCTGAAAGTACCCCCTCAATTACTAGATCTTCTTACCTAGAAGCTGCAGTGAATACATCACTGCAGCAACAAAATATACCCCTTCTAAAGACGTGCTTTCTTTTGCAAGTTTTGCGCCATCTCGACTGTATCCAACGTGTATGTGAGTTATAACCTTCGTGAGGAGTAACCAAGCTGTCGATGATACGACGTTTTTTCGACAAGCGCGACGACTTGGCTACTCTTCACTTTCCTGTGTAGGCTCTGCGCCTTTCAGGTGAAGGGAGGGCTCTTTCCCCCACTCAGTTCTGTTTACTTCTTGATCTACTGTATCCGCCTTTCTCTACCGATTTCCCATAACAAACATCGGTCAACTTCAACATCTTCGCAATGGTACTACTCAGTATTGCCATCACCCTCACCGGTTTCGCCACGATGGTGCTCGGCTCCACCGTATCTCAGGACATGCTCCACGGGGTTCACGAGTGCACCGAGTACAACAGAGGCGTAACTGTCTGTTCGCCCTACACCAATGAGATCTACCAGTGCAATGAAGACGGCTGGGACTGGGTTACCACCTGTTATGACAGCAGATCACCCTGCAGTAATGGTGCCTGTGTCCTTTCGCCCACTGCAATCAAGAGCCGAGAGGCCGAGTGCGACGACGGCCAAAAGCGATGCCTGACTTTCTACGACCGCGGCCACGACGGCATCCAAATCTGCAAGAACGGAAAGTGGGAGCTTCTCGATCCATGCCGCTGCAACAGGGATCCTGAACCTCAATGCATGCCCATCGTCTCTCGCGACATGACCAAACCGCACCAGTGTATCGAGGGCGAACCGAAGTGCATGCTCCGCAACGAGGATGGAAACGGAGGCACACTCTTCAGATGCGAAAACGGGTTCTGGAAAATGCATATGCAATGTCGACCATCGGAACGCTGTCATGACGACCCAGGGTTCTCTACATGTTCGTGGCTGGATGCTGCTGCCGTTGCCGACGACCATGACAAAGTCACCACTCTTGCTGGAAGGGACGATAATCCTGCACACACACCTCCAGAGTTTCACTGCTGCGTCGAGGGCGAAAAGTATTGCGGCATCATTAATAGACGCAATGGCTCTATAACTGCTGTCTTCCTGTACGAGAATGGCACTTTCAAGACCTTGAAGGAATGTCGATACTCCCGTTGCATTGAGGATACGCGGGGTCCTCACTGCTAGATCTGTTATACTGTGGAATGTTCCATCGATAGGCTAGCGGGGGCTATTCATAGTGACTAAGGAGGCTTCAGACTTGTTCGACCGGTGGACATACGGGGTGGGGGTTCGAGTGTCTACACAGTCAGGTGAGATGTATTCTCGTCATGTCTAATGAAAACAAACACAGTTGTTATCCATGCATAGCTAGTCTTTTGTAGCAGAACAATCGAGTACTTTTTCCATTGCATCTGACACATTCTTCAATAGTGACTGTAAATGAGCAGTTTAGGTTTTCACATGATCGATATCTCGCTGCACGTGGAATACACGTTGTCATGGTCGACACTCGACTTTTCGCTATTCCTTACATCTGTTCAAACGCCATGCTATTCACCTTTCTCACGCTTCCTACTTCTCCTGAACTCCGCTTACTACTCAATTCTAACGACTCACACTACAAATTGGCCAACAGATACCTCAATCCAGCCCACATCTCCTCACCACTAGGCAAAATCTGCGCAGCTGGCAAGACAAATCCGTAGTTACCAGTATCCCTCAACTCAACCGTCATCGAGTAGTTTGCCTTGGCAACCTCAAAGGCATAGTCCACACTGTCGCCGCTGACCTGGTAGATAGTCTGGCAGATGGGACCACCAGTGAATGTTGTTCCGTGCACTGCTTTGACGGCAGCGATGGCGCCGCTGGTGAGGGAGGCGTATTTTGCAGAGTTGGGGAGGGTACCAGAGCAGGTGTAGCCGTAAGGGTACATCCAGAGCTGGCTGTAAGAGTGAATGTCCATGTACAGCGAGATTCCCTTGCCGGCAGCTACGCTGTCGAGCTGGGCCTTGAGCAGTTTAGTCTCTACGCCGTCGCCGGCGGAAGGGCCTTTGTAGTCCTGTGCACAGGGGTCGGTTGATGCGCCGCCACGCTGGTCCCAGTGAGATGGCCAGTTACCTGAGATAAGGTCATGATGTTAGCGTATATCATTCCACATGTATATCGTAGGTGTAAAGGGTGTGCTCACGGTTGATGTCACGGCCGACGCAAGACGCTCCGGAAGTCTTCTGGCGGTTCTTGCGCCACATGCGGTCAGACGATTGGGTGTACGCGAAGCCATCTGGGTTCACAATGGGGAAGATGTAGAAGTCGTATGAGTTTTTGAATCCGGCTGTGGTGGAGTCGGTGGATGTGAGAAGCTGGTACGCAGCGTATTCGACGACCTAGAAGTATTAGTATGGCGGTGAACGTTTCTCATTGGGTTGGTAGTACCATCGTCGTGATCCACTCTCGTGCGTGCACTGTACCATGCCAGACTACGCCTCGCTTCGAGCCTTTACCACCGCTACCCCAGATGTGGATACCTTTAATGTCTCGGCCCTCAACCGACTTGCCAGCGGAGATTACTTCAGCGTTGTTTGGGTATGCAGCTGCGAGATCCGTGATCCATTGCATGTGGTCGGCAATGGAATGGTACGAGTTGAACCACGTAGCACTTGGTGCAGCGCCGGCTGGTATTCAATGTTAGCGCCATGTTCACATGATGCCGCTCTGTAGAGCAAATGTACTGTAGAGCGCATTTTTCAGAGTTTTGCCCCACCCATACTACAACCCGAAGGTATGCAGAGTGTTCTGTGTTAGAAATTTACAAGGAAAGGAATGACGTATATGTTCAGAGGGGGGCTAGGTTTTAGGGTACAGGTTAATTGAAACGGTCTTTCACGTACCAGCATACACGCTAAAGGTTTCCTCGTCTGCAATAGAGAGACCAAGGTTGTCATGCATGACCTTGGTTTCGATGTCTTCCGTAGATGCTTCAAAGTCCTTCACGGCTGTAGGAGGCACCATGACGTCGACGACGTCACTGGACGCTGGCTTTCCCTTCCATAGCTCCAATTGAAGCTTGCTCATTACATTGTCGAGTTTGGCAGCGTTGGAGCCAACGTTGACGCGGTATACTTTCCAGTCGTCGTAGCTGACCTTTTTTGTAACTGAAGCCGCGGATGCAAGGCCTAGAGAGGCCAGAGTGACGTTGAGGAGCTTCATCGCCGCAAAGTGATGGCAGTACCGGTGAATGAGAAGCGTAAGAAATTATTTTGAGTAAGGGTAGTACCTATGTTATATAGTTGCAGAGCATCTCATATTGCGTAGCCATGCGACAAACACATTTTGATCCAGTAACGGCACCCCCGCAGCCCACCTGCCAAACTGGCTTTAATCTCCCACGGGGCAGATCCTCACCAAGGAAGCTGTTCCCATTACAGTGGTACAATCTGTATGTCAGCTTGGCATTTAATATCCCAAGACTACGATAAGCTCGAAGGCGACAGAAGCATTATGCGCCTAGCCGGTGATCTGCAGGGGGACCAAACAGCCGTAGCCAACGAACTGCCTAAACCAGTAGGAACATGAAAGCCTAGATTTGCCATCAACGAATGGTCACGCGTCGGTGTTTTTGTGTTTGTCTCTGTCTCGATTTTAGTGGAGTGCTAGCGACGGGGTCGGTGCGAATCTGGGGTTGTGTAAAGTACGACCTTCCGCATCTGCTTTGGAGGAGCCGGGAGTAGCCGTTTAGTGTCAAGCAGACCACGGGCGATCTTTGAGTGTTGCAAGCGAGGATAGAAATCGCCTTTGGGGATGCTAAGACCTGAAGCTTGTAGGGCAACGGTCATTGGTCTTGTGCCTCGGTGTAAGGTACGATTGTCATGAATTTGGCTGCGTTTCGCTGGACGCTGTCTAGTGGTCACCGTGGTACCATGATTGTTAGTGGAGCCTGATGACTGTGAGATGTTACTGTTCGAGCGGTTGATGGTGAAAGCGATCGGCTGTCCGTCTTTGATGAATGTTTGGTTAACATGTCATCGTGTCACAAGGCCAAGGGAAGGCGACAGGAGGCTCGGCGCGCTGAAGCTTTCCAAGTCGGCTGCGGCGCAAGCACGTGCACATGGTCTCTTGGCAGTACACATGAAAGGCAATCTTCATCCATTACATCTACGATCTCAGAAACATATAAATATCTGCTCTTGTCACTTCCTTGTCCAAGCTCCACAGCGGAAGGTTACAAAATTGTATCAGCAAGGCGCGCATGTTCTTATTGACTCTAGAGAGCCTATCACGTAGACCGACCGAGGATATGACGAATTGCGTGAACCACACCAAGTTCCGATATAAGCATTCTTCCAAAGGACGAATCGTAAATACATATAAAGAGTCACAACGTGGTAGAGCTACCTCAAGAGCCAAATTTGACCTTAGTCCGATGTGACTCGGCACCACGATTCTGCCATACAAAACTTCACATACCTCCCACAACATATGCTCCACAAAACAACTTCCACGCCGTACTATTACCAGAACCCGTGAATGCTGTCAGAGATTGTCTAATCGGCGTTCTCATACCCTCCTTAATTACTTTCACGGTCGTCCTTGCTAGATCCGAGCACACTGAATGCGGTTCCCACACCTATTGCCCTCTGGTGGTAGTGCTCGCGTGGACAAATTGGCACGAACGCTTCGTTCCTTGGCTTAAGAAAGCAGGACTAGACGATGAATATGAGATGATCTTTCGACACACTGTCCGACAGTACATGACGTCCCAGACTGTTCGGACCGTAGTGTGCTTCGCAACGTTGCTCGCAATATTTGTGCCGCAATGCTAGGCCAGGCCCCCGGTTCTGGAAGCTGCCGCATGTCTTGCAACCGATCCTTGAACGCATTGCTGAGAATCTAAGGATCGACAGTCTGACGATATGTCATCCTTTCGCAACTGTGAAAGCCAACCTGCTTCGTTTCTCATTGAATTGAAGCCATCAACACTCGCTAAAGTTCGAGCTCTTACTCTCTTTTCAGTCCAACCTTGCCCGCCTTCTTCAATCCTACAACAGCGATCATCATGCAAACAATCATGTAACCAAACATAAGCCAATAGCTCGCCCTATACCCCTTCAACAAAGCCACGTCATCTTGATCCTCAAACGCTGCTCCGCTTTCCCCATCACTGTGGCCGGTACTCCCAGTACTCCCACTCTTGGTCTGTACTCCCAACGCAACGACCTGGCAACTACCCATACCCAGGCTCATACCAAATTGCGCGACGGTATTGAACACAGCACCCGCCAACGCCTGGGTCTTCTCTGGGAAGTTATCGCTGACGATGATGAGACCGACAGTGAACAGGACATCTGCGCTGAAAGGGGCAAATATTTGGGCCCAGAACGCAAGCTTCCAGTAGCTCCAAGCTGGAGGTACGACTGCCATTAGGAGAGGGGAGAGGGCGCAGATGCATGCGGAGCCGGCGACGAGCCAGCGGGCAGGTATGCGGTGGATGAAGAGGCCGACGAATATCTGGATTAAGACACCTGTTGTCAGGTTTGGAAGAAGGTAGAGGGATGTTGCTAGCGTCGAGGCGTGTTGGACTTCTTGGAAGCTGTTTTGAGGGTCAGCTTTAAAGCACTACTAAATCGATATCATTTCAAGAACACGTGTGTTCCGGAAGATACATACTAGAGGCTGGAGAAGAGTTCAATTGAGTTCATGACGCCATAGGATAGCGCGACCATGATGCATGTGCTGGTAAAGGGCAGGTTGTTCCACAGTTTGTTTGGTACAAGGGCCGGCTTGCCGCATCGTTCACGGTAGTGCATCCAAGCTGGAAAGGCGAAGAGGAGAACAATGCTGACAGCGAGGAGTGAGGCCGTCTCTGCTGAACGGATGCTTGTCAGATCGGCGCTGATGATACTACACGCTGTTAGCTGTCTTATACGCTTACGGTAGAACGGAAAGGACATACGCGAGAACGTATGCAAGAATTGCTAGTCCGCCGCTGGAAATCATGCCACCAACCCAGTCAATCTCCCTGCCAACCTTCTTCCAGAGTGCAATGACACCATCTTGGTTCTGAGAAGGAAGTTTAGGTAGAGTCCAGATGGCTCCCACAGCAACAGCCAATAAACAGCCTCCGGTCAAGTAAAAGCCTACCCGCCATCCAGCTCTTTCAATCATAACACCACTTAGTACCAGACCAACAGCAAATCCCAGTGGCTGACTAAATCCCAGACACGCGAAACCAAGATTTCTCGCTCGTCCCGACGGCACAGCACCAGTGATGATAGCAACAGAAGCAGGTAGATGCAACGCAAGCGCCACTCCCTGTAGAGCCCGGAAAACAACAAGCTGGGCACCTGATTGCGCAAAACCGCATGCTAGCGTGAAGATACCGAGGAAGGTGATACCCGTCATTTCAACCGACCTGGCGCCGACTATATCGGCTATCGAACCAGCAATGAGCAATGCTGCTCCAGATGTTAGACCATAGACGGAGGAGGGCCATAGGTATAGGGATCGTTCTAGTGAAATGGAACGGGCGATGATGGGAAGTCCGACTGTGATGATGCCATTGGTAAAGCTGGCTATGAAGCCTACAAAGGAGGGGGTGAAGATTGTAAGGAAGGTATGGAGAGTGGACACTCTTTTCAGAGACGGCGCTGTGGAAGACTCGGCGTCGGACAAGCGTTGACCAAAGATGGGGGCTTCTTGCGATGGCCGCTGAGGGTCGGGGATTGCGGTCTTGGGTATCGCTTGAAGTTCGAAGACGTCGGTCGCTGTCACAGTCTGCGTTGCCATATTTGACTTTTTTTTTTCACGAGCTGTTAGTTTATGCAGTTGATACGGCGAAGAGCATTATAAACAATATTCTGGACCTTGCATTTTTGACATGTTAATAGACAAAATTTCTTGAGGACTAGCTTGCGCCCTACGAGTGTAGACATGTCAAAAACCAGGGTCCAGCGTCGTTGGTAGGATTTTGGTCCACAACGACAAGCTGTAAAAGAGAAAATTGACGCGGGTTTTCTAGAGCTCTACTAAAGAGTATGCGTCAGGCACGAGTACGAGCGACAAAAGAAAGGCTACGATATACGCGGTACATGAGGCTAGTCCGGGGATGCGGACCTCCCGCAGAGGGTCGGATGCAGGGCGCTGCAAGTCCTTTATGGGGCCTGGCTACACCGCCGATTCCAGGTATACATTGTTCGCGAAACAGCGGTAAAGAAGGGCAATTGTTGGGAAGGAAGTGTGCTGTAACATCTGATTTAGACTGGAATCCAATCAATCGAGGGCTGCCGCGTGGCATTGGTCGTGGTTGGTGTTCCAGGCCGTGCTGTTGCTGCATCAACGCGTTGTTTGGGTGACGTAGGTCGCGTCCCCAACCTCGTCCTAACCTCCTGCATTTGCTCACCAGCCACCCGCACCCAACACGCATCAAACCAAAAGTTAACGGGGGCTACGCTTCCACATTCCAAACCCCACACTACACATTGCTACTACTGCTCACCCAGAATACACTCTGACTATTATCTGCCAGTTGCATTCGCTGTAATCGACGCTGCAATCCACCTGCACCTGCGAAAACACAAACACGACTGTTCCGCCTACCATGGCGCCCCATCCTGAGATTGCGGCCGACGGGCAGGCACTCTCGCCCATGGCCGTGAATGCTCTGCAGCTGGCCAAGTCAATGGTCAAGCGTGAACAACCCGCACCATACAAGGACCTCGCCTCAGCAGGCGCACGTCCACCAAACGACCTCTCCGGACCCGGCTTCCAGGCTCTCTTTGCCCTGATCGGTGTCGGACTGGCACTTGGAGCCATCTGGTTCTTCTTCTGGGCCAAGAACGGCGGCTTCAAGTGGCGCGAAAACGATTGGGAGGACTACAAGTCGACGGTGCTGAGGCGCAAGGGACCAGATGGAAAGACACTATCCAACGCAACCAAGAGCACCAGGCTCGGTGGCGGCAGTGTCGTTCACGGTGGCAGCTACTTTGGCGAGCAGAGCGAAATTGCTTACACTGACGAGACCGGCACAAGCGTCGACGCCAGCGAGTACCGCGACGCCGAGCGAGGCGAGGGCGGTCTTCGTGGTGGAGATGGACGAAGGCATAAGAAGCACCGCCGCGACCACACCAACGACTACAAAGACCCTGAGCTCCGCAAGTACCGCGAGGAGAAGGCTGCCCGTGTCGGCGGCCTCAACCGCGTTGGCGACGGCATGTACACTGACTATTCTGGCTCTCAACCTTCTGAAGTCGGCGGCTCTCAGGTCTCGAGTAACGTACCACTGGTCAAGAAGGAACCCAAGGACCCTAAGAAGGAGGCCAAGGCTAAAGAAGCACGTGCAAAGGAACGTATGCGCAAGGCCAAGGCCGCTGAAAAGGAAGCTGCGAAGAAGGCTGCCGCCGAAGAGAAGGCTCGCAAGGAAGAACAAAAGGCAGAGGCTAAGCGTGCAAAGGAAGAGCAGAAGAGGTCCAAGAAGACACCTTCCGAAGCTCCCGAAATGGCTGAAGTCAACCGCCCCATGATTGAGTACCGATCCCCTCAGAGCGACTACAACCCTGGACCTGCATACACCGAGTACACTGCCCCATCTGAAGCCGGCACACCCACACGCGCTCCCACAAGGAGCAAGGCACCATCTGGCCCCCGTCGCGCTCCTCCCTCTGCTGCATACTCTTTCACTACCGGCGAAGACGACAACGCAACCGTCTACACTGGCGTCTCCACTAGCGACTTTGCCAAACCTCCTCCACCCAAGGCCCCCAAGACTGAGCGCTCCGCACCTTCTGAAGTCACTGAGTCGAGCTACTACTCCGATTACCGCCCCAACGCCGACAAGTCCCTCTACTCGGACCCCAACAAGCACGCCCCTCGCTCCCGCTCAGCCCGCCCATCTCAGGATCGCCCCCGCTCTGGTCGCCCAACCTCCGAGTCTCGTCCTCGCCCATCAGGCTCCCGCTCGCGCCCAACCTCTGAGTCGCCCCGCAAGCAACACCGCACTTCTCGCCCAGCACCTCCCCCATCCGACATCTTCACCACTACCAACGGTGACTCCCAGGGTCACATGAGCTACCCATGCCACATCCCTGGCCTTAGCCAGGCCGGCAGTGTACACCCCATGGAGAGTGTCTCTCAAGTCGGTGTCCCGACAAACGCAAGGAGGGAGCGTGGTGGCAGAGACGTCATGGACGGCTACCGTCGCGGCGGTGTCCGTGCCGTAGGACGCAGGGACAGCTTGAGCGACAGTGACTAGATTCGTGCACTTTCTTCTTCTACTGCATGATTTCGAGGTAATGAGCATGATTTGAGGCGGCATACCCCTTCTTGGCGTTATTTGGGTTTTGATAGAGCGACTTCTTTCGACTTTTCAACTTGGTACAGAGAGCGAGATGAGACATGGAATTGGTGCCACTGTATAGTGTACGGACTTGCAAAGGGTATACCAGTGGTGGATGGAACGACGATCAAGCGTCATGGGATCAAGATTCACGGACTGTATGTAGTAACAACAAAGCAATACATGAGACGATATCACGATATATATCACTTGTTTCCAATGCATGATTTGGTGAAAACGTTTGAACGAAAAGGGTATATCACATTTGCTAGTCTTCCATCGCAGAGACTGACTAGTGCTAGACTACAACGCTGCATAAGAACCAACGGAATCCAGTGCTAATCTTCAAATGAAAGAGCAGATAGTAAAGAAACAAGAAACTGAGAGACTGTTCATAGCTACATACATAGGCATTACCTCGTCCGTTTTCCTTTCCTTTCCCAGTTTCGTAGTCCAAGCCAGATCAACTGGCTTTGCTTGCAGATCGTGTATTGTGTTTGGAGAGATGACGGTGCAGTCTTGTAAGAGAGTGATTGTTGGGGATGATGGGGGGTGTGGTGATGATACATTGATGTCGTGTCGTAGCGAATGTGCTGTGGGGTATGGTGTGTTGGGGTGTGGTGGTGATAGGAGGTATGAGGAACAGGCTCATCAGATGATAGCCTACAACTCATCCTTCACCGCTTGAGTGGCTTGAGTAGCGGCGCTGGAAATGCTGCTGGCAGCCTCCTCGGCACTACCGGAAGCGGCTGCGTACATGGAGGCAATGCGGCTGTTGGCGGCGGCCACGGCGGAGGCAATGCGGCTGTTTGCAGACTCCATAGCTCCTTGTTCTGGTCCATAGACTGCGGAGCTGGCTGCTGAGGATATGTACGATGCGTTTTCACTAACGGCAGACGCGACATACTCGGCGTTGGCGCTGGCCGCAGACGAGATGGAGCTGTACACACCGCCAGCACCGCTTGTAGCTGAGGCGACGTAGTCCGCTGCGGTAGGCGTACCGAAGATCGCTGCGCTGATGGCAGCTTGGGCAGATACGGCGGCTGATGAAAAGCTATCTTGGGCTGATTGTGTACCGTAGAACTTCTCGCTCACCTGAGATTGGATAGATGAGTAGGCGCTCGCAACCGACTCGCTGGCCTGCTCTGCGGCACCCTTGGGCGTTCCATAAAGAGCGATGGAAGCACTCTCGACGGCAAGATCCAGAGAAGCGCTAGCTTGGCTCAGAACGTCTTCAATCATGGCCGGTGGTGTAAAAACGGCACTGACGACCGATGAGGCAGAAGCGTACGCGTCAGCAGCAGCCTCAGTGACGGCCTCATAACCATCACCAGCGTACGAGCTAGCAGCGTTGATACCTTCGCTTGCATATGATTGTGCGGAAGCCATAGCCGCGGGCAGACCAGTGGAGTATGCGGACGCGAAACGGCTCATGACACTCTCAGTGAAGTCAGGCTCCTTGCCGATGACAAGCTCCGAGATGAGAGCCTGAACCTCAGCATACTGTGAAGCGGCGGCAGCGGTAGCCTGAGCGCCGTACGCACCAGCCTGAGAGTATACAGACTCTGCCCATGGCGTAGGCTGCCCGTAGACTTGACTGCTCGCCTGAGCAATGAGTGCCTCCCAGTTTTGACTGGCTTGGGAGGCTACCGACTCAGTCCAAGGGGTTTCAGAGCCGATGACACCAGAGCTGATTTGGGAAGCAGCCGACTCAGCAGCAGCCTGGGCGTTGGAAACGGCCGACTGTGCTGAACCAGAAACGTAGGAAGCCGCAGACTCAGCGGAACCAGATACTGCAGACGCAGCAGAAGCTGCCGATGCGGAGGCAACCGAAGCCAAAGACTCAACGGTTCCTTGTTGAGGACCGTATGCAGCGCTCGAGGCAGCGCCAACAAACTCAGAGTACCGAGCGTGGGCTAGACCAATAGCTTCATAGTACTGTCGACGAGCGCTATCAGCAACACCAGTGGATTGAGGTGCAAACTGAGCGGAAGCCTGGCTGAGGCCTTCAGAGAGGCGAGAGGATGCGATGGAGGAGACCGATTCAAAGTAACCCTGAGTAGGGCCAGCGGCATAGCTCTTCACAGATTCAGTGTACTGCATAGCGTTTGACAATCGCTCGCTAGCGACTGCGAGAGAATCAGAGTAGGCCTTCTCGAAGTAAGAAAGCATGGTTTGGTGGGCAGGCTGGGGCTCTCCAGAGACCAAGAGGGATAGCTGAGCTTTCGCATTCTCCAACTGTTTGCTTGCCGCGCTGACGGCGTCGTTGTAGCGCGAGCTTGCCTCAATCTGAACGGTCTTGATTATCGCCGTGGGTGTTGGAGTGCCATAGATCGCGTATGATGCCGCAGTCACAGCCTGAGCATACTTGTCGGCTACAACGCTAGTGGCGCTCTCAACGGCTGGTTGCTCGGTACCGTATAGTGCACTTGAAGCTGCGGCGAGGGCCTTTGCGTACTGCTCACTCGCGACTGACGAAGCGGATTCGACAGTACCTTGGGTCTTGGTAGCACCTAGTAGTGCTTCGCTGACCGCTCGGCTGATTTCAGCCGCGCGATCTCCAGCATCGGCGACCGCGCTCTGCAACTTGTCAGAGTACGTGTCGTCCTCGTCGTCATCCAGAGGTTGATCGAGGACGACTTCTCTTGCTTCTGCGATGATTTGCGCATTAGCTCCGCCCCACACCTTCTTAGGCGATTCGTAGGCTGCAGAAGCTTTGGAAGCGGTGTCGTCAATCACTTCGGATGCTTTGGAGGAGGCTTGGGACAGCAAGCTCTCAGATGAGGGTGTACCCTGAACGGCTTCGGACGCTTGAGAGGAAATCTTCGACGCAGCATCCTGGACAGATGATGCAATGCTCTCGGTGAGTGGGGTAGAGCTGCCCGAAACAGCCTCAGAGACCTGTGATGAGGCTTTGGATGCTGCGTCCTTGACAGATGAGGCTATGCTTTCACCAAGGGGGGTTGAGCTACCCTGAACAGCTTCGGATGCTTTTGAAGAGGCCTCAGAGTATACACTCTTAGCAGATGATGCAATGCTCTCTGAAAGTGGTGTCGAACTGCCTTGGATTGCTTCAGCAACCTGAGAAGATGCTCCTTCGACGCTGTCCATGACTTGCTGGGCAGCCTTGCGAACACGAGGGGCGAAGACTTTGTCAGAGAAGTCGTCGCTAGCGTCACCAGCCCAGATCTTGGACTTGGAAACGTCTTTCAAGCGTACCAGTTCGGCAACCATATCCGACGCAATGGCCATGGCCTTGTCTTCGAGCTTCTTGGACTCCTCGTGGGCAAGGCGAAGACCTTCGTGTCTTGAGCCAACGGCTTCGACTTCGGCCTGCCACTCGTTGAGCGTGTTCCTTAGCTTGTGGTAGTTCTGCCAGTCCTTGTAGGTAACGCCATCAGTCCATGCCTGCCATGTTAGTTAGTGAGGCTTCTAGAAAGGGAAGCTGAGTATAACATACCCATCGCATGCCTACTTCTTGAAGACCAAGGCTGTGGATCTTCTCGAGTACTTCGACAGTGCTCCTGACAGCAGCTTGTACCAGGGAATCAGTCTCCTGGTCGTATGATGCCTTCCACACACGAATGTCCTGGGCGCGCTCCTTGACCGTGAGACCGAACTCGCGAGTTTTGGTGCCGCATTCTTCGTATGCAGCCTCTAGATCGGCATCTGTAGCGTCTTCCGGAAGAGACTCAACAGTCTTCTTAATGTAGCTCTTCAGCTTAGCGATGGTAGAGTCGGCAGTCTCCTCTAGCTTGACAACCAAAGCCTTTCCATGTCCATGGACAGCGTTGTCAATCTGTCGCTTTGTAATTTCTGCTACGCGTACCTCGAGGTCTTCAGAACCCTTGTCTGCCGCTGTGGCGAACTTAGTCTGCCAGTCGCGGAGATCCTGGTTGAGCTTTTCTTGCAGTTCAGCGCCAGTGAGCTTAGGCTCAGAGGGCTTCACGGAGGTTGCTTCAAGCTCACCAGAGGCGGTGTTGGCTGATTCGCTGCCAAAGAACTCGTCGAGGACACCCCAGCCAGACCCTTCAGTAGAGCTGGGAGGGACAATAGAGGCGGAGGAGCTGGCGATGGTGGGAGTATCTTTGATAGACTCAGTGGGAAGAACTGTCTCCGCATCAACCGCAGAGACTACAGACTCGATCTTCTGTTGGTCCCTGTAGCGGCCTAGGCGTTCAGAGATGCGGACCAGCTGAGGCTCGACGTTGTCTCCGTATAGGACGCGCAGTTGGGGCCAAACGGTGCGAAGAACGAAGGCCCAGGTAGCATCCTTTGCGGTATGGACGTGGGGGTAGACTATGTCGACGAGGACGTGGTGACCATAAGCGTGACCCTGTTGGAGGTACGGTTTGGATTGCTCATAGGCTGGCAGCAGGGTGTGAACGTAGATCTCTTCGGAGCTAGTCTTGAGGTCGTTGTAGTATGGAGCAGCAGCATCAGTCGCCTTCTTGACGTGAGGGCCCAGATACACGTCGTACTGTCCCTTGACTTGCTTCTGGGCATTCTCTAGCTGGGGCCGGATGGACTTCTCATACTGGGTCTCTGCGTATTTCCTGGCATGCTCAACCCTGTGTGCACCGTATGTAGCGTAGTTGTCCTGGGCGAATGTTGTGATTGGTGTGGTGTAGGGCTTGACCTTTTCGATGTGCGGGGCGACGTACGTCTCGTAGTATGGGTCGAGATAGGGCGCTGCGTAGGCCCTGGTCTGCAGGTAGGGTTTGCAGACACGCGGGGAGTCGTGGTTGAGCTGGTGGAGCGAATTGGGACACCGGAACAGGAAGGTGATGATGAGATACCACGTGGATAGTCTCGCAATCATGCTTGTGAAAGCTCCCACGATGCCTCGTCGGGGCTTTCGTGGCCTCGCCGACCGCGAGGTGAGCTGCGTCTTGTCCGTGTGGCCGTTGGCAGTGCCATTGGCGGAGCCATTCAGACTGCCATTCTGCTTGGACTTCTTCGCCCTTCCGTTGGCCTGGGCGGCCATGCTCGCGTGTGGTGGGCGATAAAGCGGTGACGCTGTGTGGCTGACCAGCTTCAGGGTGTCAGAGTTAGTCCAAGTGCGCCAGCAGGAGAGACGGATGTCGCTACGTACAGAAATTCAGCAACGGGCGGTAGCGTCTGGTTTGTTGATGTCCAGAGAATAATGGTGATGGCTGCTCAAAGTAACTTGTCTGTTAGCGCTGGGGGAGGACAACCGAGCTGCAGCAGTGATGTAATTGCACGTGCGGACGCGGGACGGGAACACGATATCAAGATCAGGATTTAGATGTGCGTTGGACGCCTGGAGAGCGATAGCTACTTTGCAACGGTGCAGCAGGATACCGAGATATAACAGCTGGAGAAGACGAGCTGGCTGTCGCGATTTCCACTCTTAAACGTGCGCTGCCTCAGGCTTCCCCTGCAGTTCGCGTCTCAAAAAGCACCGCTGGCTGCCGACGACGGTACCAAGAAGCGCGTCTTAGTGTGGCTACAAGGTATGCTAAACGTGTTTGCTGGTCTGCATCTTGTATCTTTGGTTCCACCCAAGGCAGCAAAGACCCTCGAGGCAAGTCGCCTGTTTGAGTGGCACAGCTTAGCTGGTAGGGCTGGCTATCTTCGCACCAGGACCCTGTGACGTTGATCAAGCAAAGACAGGACAACCATGCATGTGAAGATCCGATCGTCTGTCACTGGTTCAGACTAAAGAATCATTTACACTCTCGCACTAGGAGCTAGGTCGCCGTCTTTGCCAGGGGGGTGGATGGCCGCCAAGACCGAGACTGTCTGGCGGCGGCGACATCACCACTTCCCGTTTGTTACACTCAACCACGGTTCCGAGCACAACGCCTCTTTTGCGCTTTCCGCCCATCCTGTTTCACTTCCCTCATTCTAATTTCTACATTGCACACCACCACGCACTACCCATCTGTGCTATTCGCCCGACCTGATCGCTCTGATTCCGATGCCTACTTGAGGTCTCCGTCTGCGGCATCTGCCCGAACCCGAACCACGACTTGCATTTTCCTTCAACCCGCCTCTTATACCCCGCGTATACTTTTAATCACACTCCACCATGGCAACTGATGCCGACCCTCTCAGTGCGGGGCTGTTCGACACGGCCCCGACGCACTACGACGTACCCCAGACCTCCGACTCGCAAGCCGCCGATAAAGACGAAGCCGACACCTGCCGCATATGTCGGGGAGAGGGCACCGCTGAAGAGCCTCTGTTCTTTCCCTGCAAGTGCAGTGGCAGCATCAAGTACGTCCACCAAGAATGCTTGATGGAATGGCTGTCGCATACCCAGAAGAAGCACTGCGAACTGTGCAAGACGTCCTTCCGCTTCACCAAACTATACCATCCCGGCATGCCAAACCGCATACCCACGGCCGTCTTCGTACGTCGCGCCGCTCTGCACGTCCTCAATATGTTCGCTACCTGGTGTCGTGGGGTTCTTGTAGGCGCTGTGTGGCTCTTCCTACTCCCCTGGTGCATGCGCGTCGTATGGCGTAGCCTGTTTTGGGTCGGCGACGGGGGCTGGTCACAAGAATTGTTCGCAAATACGTCTCAGACGCCCGTCACGCCAGAGCGCAGCTTGTCCGCCAGAGATTTCGACTTGATCCGTTCCGCAGTCGACAGCGCCAAAAGCAGCAACTCGACTTCGACCGTTCGTCTGTCAGATAGGCCCTGGAACATGACAATATCATACACCCCAAACAATGCCACCGTTAGCGAATCCATCATCTGGACTTATGCCAAGAGGTTCTTCTTCGGTGTGCCGTACCCCTTCTCCCAGCTTGCGCAGAACGACAAACCAGGCTATTTCTCTATGCTTGACAAGAACGGTACAGCTCTCAACGCTACCTCAGACCCTCTCGGCATCCGCAGCCCTTCGCTATTGTCCGACGTCCCCTTCTTTAACTGGTTCCAGTCCCAAAGCGCCAATCGGTTCATCATTGACGTGATAGAGGGACAAATCATCACCTTGCTCGTTGTGGTAGCTTTTATCCTTGTCTTTCTCATCCGGGAGTGGGTGGTTCAGCAACAACCTGTGATCAACATGGTTGCTATTGGTGATAACGCTGCTGCGCAAAGGGCAGCGCTCGTAGAAGAGGAGGCTCTTGTGGACAATGTGGTTGTTGACGAGGGTGAGTTGGACGACGCCCTGGATGCACTGGACGCAGAGGTGGCTGGAGAAGCCGAAGAGGCTCATGAACCTCGGAATATTGACGAGAACGAACCGGCGGCTCCTGAACAGCTCGCTCACGACATCGATGAGCCTGAGGCCTCTGAACCTACAATACGCCGTGTTCGCCGATCTTCTTCGCTTCGCAGAGAACGCGACGAGCTTATTCGTGATATAGTACGGGATGGCCTGTCCGACGACGTCAGATCAATGATGCAGTTGGGACCATCTGATAATCTTGCGGACGCCTTCACTGAAGGTAGTCCGTCTCAAACCCTCCAAGAGACACTTCAGCGAGCGATGAACGCGAGAGAAACCTTGAATCGAGCTGAGAGCGACGGTGAGGCTAGCAGTCCCATCTTTCCTACGAGGGGCTCGTCCCTCTATCAACCTCCAGACTCAACGCTAGATGTAGCAGGTTCCGAGTCATCATCATCTTCGAGACCAAATATGCCAGCACGCGACAAATCTTTCATTGCGACTGAAATTCGCCGTAGCCTGGAGGAAGGTAATACATGGTCATTCGAGAACGTACCAGAAGCACCGGCGTCAAACACAAACACGACTGAGAACGTGCCTGACTCCTGGGAAGATGATGACAATGTGCGTCGACGAGACGACCAAGAGCCCGAGACCGCATCAGAGCAGGAGCCGGGTAGTGAGCACAGTAGTGGAAGCTGGCAACAAGTCCCTGAGATTGTGGAAGATGACTCTGACCAAGCGCTGGAAAGAGAACATGTTCACGACAAGGGTAAAGCCAAAACTATTGACACCAGCACAGAGGATGTTCCACAAGAGTCAACATCGTCTGCAGAAAGTGGTGCTGCTAATGTGGACAATGCAATTACAGTCGACACCACGATTGAAGTTGACAACAGCAGCAGCCAACCTGAACAAGATTCGAGCGTCGATCAAGGACAAAGAGATCCCGAAGTCGTTGAGCAAAACCAAGACGAGCAGGCTGCGCCTGTGGTCAACGCACAACCAGCAGAACCTCAACTTCCACAAAACCCAATGAACCAGGTCTTAGACTGGATGTTTGGGGACATAGCGCCAATGGCGCAAGCCGCCGAGGAAGGAGGCAACGACGAGCATATTGTGCGTGATCTGGCAGACGAGGCCCCATTTGTCCCATTCCTAGGGAACGAGCCGCGAGATCATGGCAATGCTGCACCTCAAGATCCTGAAGTCGCTGCTGCTGCTGCACAAGCTGGCATAGACGTCAACGATCAGGAAGCAATCGAAGACGCAGAGGACCTGGAAGGCATACTCGAGCTCATTGGTATGCAAGGACCTATCGTCGGACTCTTCCAAAACGCCTTGTTCAGCGCTGTGCTGATTTCCGCGACACTGGCTTGCGCCGTCTGGCTTCCCTATCTTTGGGGTAAAGTCGTTATCCTGTTCATGGGAAGTCCTATTTCACTCTTCGTCAAGCTTCCTTTGCAGGTCGTGGCTGCAGTTACAGACTTCATTGTCGATGTCACTCTCTTCCTCGTGGCTGGTACGACATACTGGGGCTCTTACGCCATCTCTAGTCTGGTAAAACTATGTTCCTTGGGAAAGCTATCTCAAAGCATAGACGGTCCACTCCGCGCAGTGTCCACACCAGCATATTCACTTGCAGAGAGTGCCATGGTCCGCATCGGGAAGATGTTTGTAGAGTCGCCTCTGTCACCTCGTCCCGACTACTTCCGACTCTCGGTCAATGCGCATGCTTCACTGCGAAGTCTACAAAACACGACTTCGTTCGCGCTGAACGAGACTGGTAACTTTGCAAATGCTATCATTGAGGAGATCTCAGCAGACTCTCCGTTTAGGCTCATATTGAGAGTCCTTGGGTACCTTCCTTACTTAGTCCAAAACGTCTGTACGACTGCCTATGGCCAGTGCAGCGCTCTACTCACATGGCTTTGGACCTCCAAGTCGTACAAGATCACTTTTGATCTTGATCTGAACCGCAACACCACTGCAGCATACACTGCAATGGAGCGGTGGACAGCGAGCGACCGCTTGATCGCAATCCTTGCTGGCTATGGATTCTTTGCCTTCGCCGGCGCAGTGTACCTGAGGCGCGGAACTCCTTTTAGCTCGTCGCAGCAAGGACAAAAAATTGAGCGCGTTCTATCCGATATACTACAACAAGCTGGCGGCGTGTTGAAAGTCATCCTCATTATTAGCATAGAGATGCTAGCATTTCCGTTGTACTGCGGTCTGCTTCTCGACCTGGCCATGCTTCCACTTTTCAAGAACGCTACGCTGTACACCCGGTGGCAGTTTGCGAGGGAAAGCCCCTGGACATCTGGATTCGTACATTGGTTCATCGGCACTTGCTACATGTTCCATTTTGCCCTCTTCGTGTCCATGTGCCGCAAGATTATGCGCAAAGGCGTATTGTACTTTATCCGCGACCCGGATGATCCAACCTTCCATCCTGTCCGGGACGTTCTGGAGCGTAGTGTTACGACCCAGCTCCGCAAGATCGCTTTCAGCGCTCTAGTGTACGGAGCACTCGTTATCGTATGCCTTGGTGGTGTCGTATGGACTCTGAGCCGCGCTACTACAAACGTCCTGCCAATCCACTGGACGACTGAAGCGCCATCGCTAGAGTTTCCTCTTGACCTTCTCTTCTACAACTTTCTTACGCCTGTCATCATCAAGTTCTACAAGCCTAGCGAAGGTCTGCATGTCGTCTACAAATGGTGCTTCCAGAAGTGTGCGGGCTTCCTTCGTCTATCCAACTTCCTTTTTGGCGACAAAGTCCCCACACAAGAAGGTGATGACGGTCGATATGTTCGTGCACCAGCCTCTGACCAAGCTCGCATTCCAAAGGGGCAGCCTGTCTTTGTCGAAGTCGACCGGGATAACGTGCGTAAAGATGGGCAGACTGAGGGCGGAGTGCACAACTCTGATCTCGTGTCGATGGTATTCATTCCACCATGGTTCCGCGTACGCATCTTCTGCTTCATCGTCACTATATGGATCTTCATGGGTCTCTCTGGAGTCAGCGTTACGATCTTGCCTCTTCTCTTCGGTCGCTACCTCTTCTCTCTCTTCCTCCCACCAACCGTCGAGATGAACGACATCCACGCCTTCTCCCTCGGCGTCTACACCCTAGCTAGCATTGGCTACTCAGCCTATCATGCAGGAAAGTTCATCTCCACCCTGAACAGATCCATCCCAGATCCCATGGCCACCCTCCGCACAGTAGCAGCGACAACATCTCGGGTAGGCGGCCGCGCCCTCCGCTTCTCATATGTTTGGGCCACGCTCATCTTTGCCATCCCCTTCCTCTTCGCCGTCCTCCTCGAACTCTACTTCCTCATGCCCTTGCACGCCTACCTAGGTCCCAAGGAACCCCACGTCGTCCATGTCATCCAAGACTGGACCTTGGGCTTTTTGTACTCTCGTCTTGCCGCGCGTCTCGTGTTTGCGAATCGCAACTCCCGCCCTGCACGCGCGTTCAAGGCTGTTATTCGCGATGGTTGGCTCTACCCCAATGCCAAAATTGCGACAAGGTGTTTCCTTGTCCCCGTGTTGGCGTTGTTCCTTGTCGCCATCGCTGTGCCGTCTAGTTTGGCGTTTGTTACCTCCAGAACGCTTTATCGGGGCGCGAGTGAGGCGACGAAGAACCTACTCTGGCGCTTTAGTTTCCCCGCTGTGGGACTTGCTTTGGTGGTTATGTGGGCTTCTTCGGCGGCTGTCAGGCTGCTGGTAAGATGGAGGTTGGTTGTAAGGGATGAGGTGTATTTGATTGGTGAGCGGCTGCATAATTTCGGGGAGAAGAAGGCGCCTGTTCAATCGTCTGTGTCTGCGGTGGATGCTGGGACTCAGACTGCTTAGATTGTTGCTAGTAAATCAGCGTATCAGTTGGTGTCGCTCTGTTCTGAGGTTCTTGTTGGGAGCTCTTGTGTCTTCCTATGATACCTTTTTCTGGAGTGTTTAAGCTAGTCATGATAGACGGCTGGCTCTTTAGCTATACCCCAATCTCATACTATCTTCGTTTAAACGTTATCTCCGTTACCTTATAATATCTTACTCATCTCCTCAAAACGCCAACTAGTTATCATATCGAGCTCGATTGTGTCAAAGCGTATCGTGCATCATGCAGTATATTCATATGAGGAACTCATACCATTGAGCAAAAAGGTAGGCTAGGCTGCTTGATTTGGGTATAACTAGGACATCACTAAATTGGTCTTTCTCCTCCCGTAAGCATGCGAAAGGACCCGTTGATTCCCATCTCGTTTCCTTTCGTCTCATTCAGTAATAGTGTACAAGTGTCGTATTCAAAAGTAGAAAATAAAACAAAAGAAGAATGCCTCCACGAACAGAACATGCATATGCAAGATGCTGAGGAACCTGGAGCTGCTAAAAGCTGAGGGTTCGATGCCTCCATGCTCTTCACTTCCGCTTTCCAGGTTTGGATCGTGTTGTAGGTCGTGATGAAGCAGTTTTGGCTTGACTTGATGCTGTAGGCGCGTCAAATGACCTTGTTGCTCTCTTCTTTAGCGCCTTCGTAGAGCCTTCGACACTCGGCTCGTCTTGTGCCTTCCGCTTCAGAGAGGATTTAGAGGTATCAAGATCGGGGGTGCTTGAGACGGTGTTCGAAGAAGTGGTGTTAACCTCGGAGACGCGAACACTGCGCTTGAGGTCCGATGAAGGTGGTGTTGGTGGTTGGTGTACGGTTTCCTCTATCATGCCCTCTTCTTCGTAAGGTGTTCCTTGACTTGTCCCATTCCGCTGTTTAGCTATCCATGTAAGAAGTTCCTCTTCGGCGGCATTGTGAGTTTCGTCATCTACGTCGTCTCCGTCGTCTTCTCCACCTAGTATCGCCTCTGCCATCTCACCCGCGACATCATCACCAGCACTCTCGTCCGCTGCCATGCGCATAGCGAACTGGAGCAGTTGTTGGGGATCCATTCCGCTCAGTGGTCCGCCAGCAGTAGCGAGTTGTCGCTGCAATGCTGCCATTAGCGCCTCCTGCGGTATTCCTTGTTCTCCATTGTCCATGCCATCGTCCTCCACGTCGCCGTCATCGTCCTCGTCGTACGGAGGAGATGCAGGCTCTGTGACGAAAGCCATTTTTGCTTTCCCCTTTCTTGGCTGTGATGACCGTATCTCTGGCGAGCTCGGTGGTGAGCCTCTGGCCCAATCTGGTATGTCTGCAAGCTTCTCTCTCCAGTTCTTGAACAAGGCATATGGCTGCGCGTTGTCGTCGAGTGTCTTGGGTTTTATGCCACGATCCGCCTGCGAGCGCCAAACAATGGGCGAGTGACCCATTGGTGTCGGTTCGGTCTTGGTGCTCACACTCTCCTTTATCAACCTCTTTTTAGCCGGAACGCTCCTCAGTAGTCGCTTCCGCTTTGAGCCTGCTTTTGCGCCCTTGACATCGAGCGCTTGGAACTGTGTATCATCATAGCCGTCTGATGCGTACTCGAGATCGTTGAAGTAGTCGAAACGGTCCCAGTCGTCCTCCATATCCTCATCGCCGCACGTTGCCGGTGGTGGTGAGGCAACAGCGTGCTCTGCGAGATCGTCGGCAGCCATGTACTCGTCTTCGACATAGAAGAAGTCGCCATCGTAATCATCGTCGTAGTCTTCGTAGTCGCTCATGCTGGGCAGGATCGAGGGTAGTGTATGCGATTACTTGGGCTGAATGCAGTTGCGGACGCTGTTTAATGCGAGACGCGAGCGCGCATTCAGTGGCGCGTTTCGGCGGGAAGGTGATGGGAAACGCGACTATATCGTTGCGCGTCTGTGTCGTTGAGTCGGAGGGTCGAGTCGGGGTTGCGTGGTCGGGGCGAGTAAGGGTGTGAGGGTATGACGCGGGCGTGCAGAGCACTTCCCTGAGCGCACGGTGGTCATCAGCGCAACCTCAAGCCACCAGCTCGAGGGAGTCGAGACGGGCGGAGAGGAAACAACTCGGCATGTGTGACTAGCCGTGCGACCACGGATGCCGCCACATGCTCCTTCCCTATAGAGATGGCATGGGTGCAGCTTCTGCAATTGTTTGCTGCAGTAAACAGAGCGCGCCTTCCCCGCGAATTGACGTACCGCGGCTCCACGCGGCTTAAACACCACCGAGGCTCCTTCAGACTCTCTTCCGCAGTTCCACAAAGAAAGTACTTTTGTAGCTGTTCAATCGATACTTTTTGCTCCATAAACTCTCCCCGTGAACATGCGTGCCTTCAAAAAGTCTTCTCACCTCTCCCGCCAGCTCTTCGCTACCAATGGCGTCCGCTACAACTCCACTATTGCGCCAGCTTCCAAGCCGCTTACCTCTGTGCTTATAGCAAACCGCGGAGAAATCGCCTTGTGAGGCTGCTGCTGAGACATGAAAGACTTGGAACTAACACGGTTTCTAGGCGAGTTGGAAGAACAGCCTCAGAATATGGCATCCGAACTACGACGCTCTTCACAGACCCAGATGCTCGATCACAACACGCACTGAGCTCGCCGTACGCCGTAAACCTCGGAGACCCTTCGGCATATCTCGATGGAGATAGAATAATACAAATCGCGAAGGAGCAAGGCTGTCAGGGCATTCATCCGGGCTACGGCTTTGTACGAATCTCCGTTTTTGACAACGTAGACTAGAGGCTAATGTAGACGATAGTTGAGCGAGAACCCTACGTTTGCCAGAAAATGCACAGACGCAGGTCTGACATTCATTGGCCCACCATGGCAAGCAATCGAATCCATGGGAAGCAAGAGGCAGGTGACACGCACACACTTTAGACATGGCAACTAACACATGGAAGTGAGTCGAAGGATATCATGACCAAGGCCGGCGTCCCCTGCATCCCAGGCTACCACGGTTCCAATCAAGATCCAGAATACCTCAAAGAGCAGGCAGCGAGCATCGGCTACCCTGTGCTCCTCAAGGCCGTCAAAGGCGGTGGCGGCAAGGGTATGCGCATCGTCAATACCGAGGCTGAGTTCTTCGATCAGCTCGCGTCGGCAAAATCAGAAGCACGGAATTCTTTCGGCGACGAAGTCATGCTAGTGGAGAAGTACATTACCACACCTCGCCACATCGAAGTCCAGGTCTTCGCCGATAAACATGGCAACTGCGTTGCGCTGGGTGAGAGAGACTGCAGTATCCAGCGTCGGCATCAGAAGATCCTGGAAGAGTCACCCGCACCACACTTAGATGAAGCCATTAGGCAAGATATCTGGGAGAAGGCGAGGCAGGCTGCGCTTGCAGTCGGTTATGAAGGAGCAGGCACAGTCGAATTCATCTTCGACAATGAGACTGGCGAGTTCTTCTTTATGGAGATGAACACAAGACTGCAAGTCGAGCACCCGGTTACAGAGATGGTAACAGGCGAAGACCTCGTGAGATGGCAGCTCATTGTTGCTGAAGGCGGAAAACTACCCCTTACCCAACAAGAGATTGAACAGAGGATCAAGGAGAGGGGCCACGCCATCGAAGCTCGCATCTACGCTGAGAACCCAGACATGAACTTCATTCCCGATTCCGGACTTTTGCTACATCTGAAGACTCCCGTACCCACTTCCACTGTTCGTATTGACTCTGGCTTCATCGCTGGCGACGAAGTATCCTCGCACTACGACCCCATGATTTCCAAACTTATCGTTCAAGGCCCCACACGTGAGGCTGCTATTCAAAAGATGCGAGCTGCCTTAGAAGAGTACGAGGTCGCAGGTCCTATAACGAACATCGAATTCATCAAGCGCATGTGCGTATCACCAGACTTTGTCGCTGGCGAAGTAGAAACAGGATATATTCAGAAGCATCACGCTGAGCTTTTTACGCCTGAGCCCCTAGCAGCAGAAGTTTACGCGCAGGCCGCCTTAGGTCTTGCGCTGCAAGAGATTTCCTCAGCTAGAGGAGACGTATGGACTGGACCGCCAGTAACAGCTGTAGGATTTGGTTTCAGCAGCTCATACCAACAGCGGGAATTCAACCTCATTGAAATCCCCGCCGACGGCAAAGGAGAAGCCAAAGCAACAAAGGTCAGCATCCGGCAAACCAGCCCCCAAAAATTCGACATCAGCGTTGGCGAAAAAACATATGCAAACGTCACATCAACCTTCTCCCCCTCCAATAACACATTGACATCTTTCTACCCACACACCCGCCTAGCCACAACCTTCATCCGCGACGAAGACCGCCTCACTCTTTTCCACCTCGGTCGCCAACACCGTCTCAAGCTCGCAATGCCCGAGTGGACGAAGAAGGCGCTTGGCGTCAAGGACGTAGCAAATAGCGTTCTTGCACCCATGCCTTGTAAAGTCCTCAGAGTGGAAGTCGAGGAGGGCCAGGAGGTCAAGAAGGACCAGGCGCTTGTTGTCATCGAGAGCATGAAGATGGAGACTGTAATAAGGAGCCCGAGTCACGGCATCGTTAAGCGGATTGTGCATGGCAAGGGGGATCTGTGTAAAGCAGGGACTGCGTTGGTGGAGTTTGAGGAACCAGATGCAGAGGCGGAGTCGAAGTAAGAATTCTGTCTACACATTTCACACGTGTGTGCAATCACAGAAAGAAAAAAATTTACGAGTTATGATATGTATACTGTTGACCGGAAATTTATTTATAGATTCTGTTTCTGTCTTTAGTGACGTGAATATGAAAAGAGTGTCTGGAAGTAGGTGCTGTATATGTCTACAAGATAGCTTATACTTGGTGCCAAACTGCTCAATGACATTGATTGTACCTTCTACGCAGCGAGTTGTGTTCAATGAATCATTTCATTGTGAGCAAAACTTTCCGTGCAAATACTGTTCGCGGAACACACAGGCGAAAAATGGAGGCTATACAGAATATAAAGTAGTAGACAATATGTTTAAACGAGTCTTCGCTAATGAAATAAATCACAACAATTACAACCCGCAGAGCTCCTTGTACGTATCAGTACATATGCATGAATTAAGAACGATAGAGTATTGGATTCATATCTAAACGTGTTCTTTTACGTACATGTTCCAATGTCTAAGGTCATGATAGATTTCTATGATATACGTTCAAGTCACTACTAGCTGGAAACATGAGTGTCGATGAGGAGAAACACGTAGCAGATGACTTTAGCTTAACACATCCCGAGTAGCATGGTGGCACCATTCATATAGTCCAGTGCTATATGAGCGGTAACACATTTCTTACCTAGCTGGATAGGTCGAATCGCAGTAGCGCAGAGCAACATTGGTATGGCTACTGCAAGTATCTGCTCTTTCAAAGTATCCCTGTTGTATCCATGGGACCGAGATGTCGACTCTGGAGGGCGAGGCTACGCTGAAGGTGAGATGAAGGCGTTGGGAGGACGAGAGAGGTATGCGATGGGTGTTGCTCGTACAACGGGGGAGGCGTAACGGGGCAGGCTGGGTGACTTGGCTGGTAGGGGTTGTTGTCTAGTAGGTAGGTAAGTTGTCTGTAATGACTGTAATGTCTGGAAGGGAAGGATCAAAATAGGCTGGTCGCCCTTGTGGTTCTCCAATACACAACAAATCTACCGTTCATATTGGTCGTTAGAACAGCGTTGTGACAAGCCATGGCTAGCCACAGAGGACGAGAATGGTCGCAAGATATACGTCATGACAGTCACGGGAAAAAGGGTTCCTTATGTGAGCCAAGTGCTCTTTTACAGGCAAGTTTGTTTTTGCTCGTCACCCATCTGACCAAGGCACCGTTGTATGCAGTATCTCAAGACCCAGTGCGGATCAGATGGACACGCACTGGACCTCCGTTCCACTGTCTTAGGGTCCGCGATCTGTCATCGATCTTGAGAAGCATTGCATGACTAACTTGCTGTAAACCTCCGCGGCCCACAATTTAGTCAAGACCCAACAAGTCTGATCTTCACAAGGTCGTTGACCGGAAAGGGTCGCGGATCCGACTGTCGGCTGCACACATCAGCTGTTCACATCAGTCAGTCCATGACGGGACGATGAGCCCGACCATAGTAACGACAAGGCTTCCCCTCCAGTGTACCGCAATGCAGTCTGTGAGTTCGAAACGCCCAGGACAGTGCCTCCCCCATCTCAGCACTGCAGTAGTTTGTGGCAAGAAAAGTTTCTAACCAGGTCTAGGAACTCTTGTGCCGTATTTGCGGTTTACTGCCCATGTTCAACCTGTGACTGGTGGAATGCGCAAGCTGGGCTTGCCTCAGAGTAAGTTACTTTGGGCCACTGATAATCCCGGTTGTTGGCTGTGCCTTGTTCCCCCCGTCGACCAGGAACATCCTACTAGGACACAGCCAACGAGATGACTGCCAGCTCATCTATGTTCCCCGCACACTTGCGTTTCGCTTCAAGCTTCACTTGTTTTTCGGGCAGTCGTGACGAGCCTGGGTCTCTTTCGGATCAAGGCGGACGGTTAGAGCAACGGCAGGTCGATGCTGATCTTGGGTAGCAATCATGTATACAGTAAGCCGCAGTGTGACGCGTCAGAAGGTGGGCCGATAGGGTAAGAGTGTTGAGATCTTATGGAGACTGCAGTGTATTTTGGGCTTTGGCTGTTCCAACGGTGGGGAACGATGAGGAGATGGTATGAGCCAACAAAGGTTGTCAAGCTGCTAAGATGCTTGAGAACGGCAACGGTGTTCTCACCAAAGTGAGGCGGTCACTGATGACTGTTCTCTTGACTTATCAGTGAGAATGCAGTAAGCGGACCGAGCACCTCGAAACGTTCATGCAGCGCGATGCGAGTGCTCCAAGCCGGGCATTTCTCCGTTGCGCATGTCAAAGAGTGTGTCTTGGGTGTGGTTGTCATTGGAAATGTTCCCGGCGGCACGCGTGTGCTGCGTAATATGAATGGAAAAATCCTGATCTCAAGCCTGATGCGCTCCCACCAACAACATCCAAGAATATTCTTGCTGCTTGTATGAAATTGGCCATGACATCTTTGACTGGCCAGATACTCCCAGCGCGACAGCCGGACCATGATTGCCAAGTCGTACGATAAGGTTGAAACAAGTCGAGGGAGCCCAGCCTCCCAGATCCTAGATGAAATACAAGGCCGTTGGCAAGATGTTAGTCCCGATCGTTTGAGTTTGAAGGCGTCCGGCTGTCAATGCGGGACGCGACTGTGAAACACCAGTTTGAGCATCTTCTCGAACATGTCAACGTTTCATGAAACCTCGGTATATTCGAAGCAAAAACTGCGTCGCATATACTCACGACTATGCGCATTGCACCGGCACGTATGTCTCTGCATATTCCGAGAGTACATGAGTATCATTCTTGCGTTGTGGTCCCAAAGCTATTTTTGAGTGTGAGATTCCTGTGTAAGTTTCGGGGCCGCTGTACTAGGCTCGAGGTCGTGAAACCTCATCTTCGGGGTCAATTTGCGGTTGCACGCTACACGTGGCGCATGGGGATGTAGTTCCGGTTTTCGTTTGTGGTTGCATCCAGTGGTCTGGAAATGGAATGCGCGACAAGGAGATGAGCATACGATTGACGTGAAGGAAATGCAAAAGGAGGTTGGTTCTGGCGCTTTGTTCACTTTACATGTGTAAGACGAGCTCTCTTGGGAACATCGCAGATCGTGATCCGTTGGTACCCCCATCAGCACGCGGTAATGCCGAAATGAGATGACGAAGGCCCTGCAGTGCAGCTTGAGATGACAATACGGGAGACAGTGCGCATGAACAGAGCAAACGTACACACGATCGCAAGGCTGTTGTGTCGAAGTCCTTGACTCGTGTTTTGGAAAAAGCATGGAGCATTGGGCGAGCACATTGGTGATGCAGCCTTCTAGAAGGACGCTAGAAGGACGCTAAGATCGTGAAACACATGCCGGAGCCAATCACAAGTACCACTTTGGTAGGAGCACGTACTCAGCTCTAGTCAAGCAAGCCTCAAAAGTTATTTTTTCTGCAGCGTAAGGCAGACCACTGCATCTGACAGACGGGCCGATTTTGCTTGGTCCCAATCTCCAGCGCAACGGCATTCATGCACCGCTCTATCTAGGACTAGATATGGATGCATGTACTGGTGCTTTGGGAGGCAATTTCTCGACCAGCATGTCGACTAACAACTCGTGTTTGGTGAAGTGTGTCGGTGTCCAGTGGTAGTGAACCAGTACGATCTAGGAGAAGTTGAACTTGTGGTCGAGCGCATTTGAGCCGAGATAGAGCCAGCAGTACGCATCTGCATCAGGATATCAGCAGCCGGCTATGGAGAATTCCACCGAGAAGGCGATCTCCTGACACATTGCCAAGTTTATATTAGGAAAACGCGATCGTGGGTCGCATATGTAGATAGGCCATGTAGGCAAGGGTCACGCGTCTTAGAAAGAACGTGTCATGTTATCGGAGATCTGTGTGGATTACAACTCAAAAATTACAGGTGGGCATTCGAACTACACAATGTGTCGACATGCCAGTGCTTGGAGGGGTACGGTACGCTGGTGTGGCGCGTCTCTGTGTATTGAAGGGGCTGGGTCTAGACGGCTGACAAGCCGAGACGGGCCAATTCGTCAAGCAGCTTGGTGCAGTACATCGGGAGCTAGCGCTGACTGACATCATGGAAAACAGCGGCTAACGTGCTGCTGCACCCATCAGCCCATGTCGAATCCTTTCCACAAGTGTCCGCTCGAATCAGTGCATCCGTCAAGCCTGGTGAGAACAGGGAAAGTACGGGAGACCGGCCGGACCTTGTCGCAGCTCGATGATATCGACGGGGGTGGCACGGGTCACTCCGTCTCATGATAAAAGCCGGCAGAAGGAGAGTGCTCCTCGAACCAATCACGAGAAAGCTGTCGCCTGTCAGAAATGCCGCTTATGCAGTTACGTTCGCAACTGAGTGCTCGGCTGGAATAATAGCGATTTCAAAGCAGAGGACGAGAAGGTCTAGTCCTTCGATCACAATTTGCGAAACATGTGGCACTGCGGCATCTTGGGCGCGTACTCGTTCGTGTTCGGTACAATGCATCCCTCGTGCCCACTGAAGTGATACCCCGGAAAACAAATGTCGGAACCACACCCAAGAGGCACAGCGACCCTCGAGGGCGGGAAGCAAGGTCGAGGGGGCCTGGGGATCTGCCAACCGGGTGGACAACTGGAGCTTGCATCCCCAGCATCAAGATCTTATCGTACAATCTGATAGACAGTGATCGGGTCGCACTTTTGGGCGTGATTGATATCTGCCGATAGAGCTGCAATAAGAAATGGAGGCCTAGGCCTTTAATGACTGTCTAACCTATTTCACACGACAGCTGCCGCGAGCGGAGAAAACTTGTAATGTAAAAATGCTCGTTGTGATGGGGCTCACCTGCCGATCGCTGCCCGGTCAGTCGATAAGCAGTGAAGCTTCGGTAGATGGACTTGAAGCCTGCGGCCTATCTTCGCATATCGTGGAAGATGTATGCAGCCTTAATCTTAGGCGTAAGGTGACGAATCGGGGACATGCGGTAGTCTCAGTGGTGGTGGTGTGCTGCAGCTTCCATTCTGCAGTGGGCGAAAGACTTACGGGACGAGTCGGATCCATGTACGGTAGCGTCGCGCACCTTGTCCCTTGTGATCGTCGACCGTTGTTGCCCAGGCATGTATCCCTGCTTCCCGCGAGTGGACAACGGTGTGCGGAATATGGTTGGCTACGACGATCACCTGTCAGCCAAATAACCGCACGCG